TGTGCGTGTGTGTGTTTATGGCCCCAGCTAATGCCATTGGAAAGTCCGTATGGCAAACTTGTCCCGTGCCCTCCCATAGGTCGACTCGGCCTTAAATGAGTGCATGATGCAGTGTAAGATCATCGTAATGAGCAATAATGCAATTTGTAAAGCCCGCAATTTTCGTGAATGACCAATTCTGGGGGGATGAAGGCGGTCCGGTGTGGTGCTGGCGGCTAAATCATCGTTTAGTGCCCTGTACTGGCCTCAATAGGTCCTCGTGGTACGGCGACTTGCCACTGAAATATATAAAGCTGTATTGGGGATCTTTGGTTTTGTGTATGTGCACATTGTGATTCCTGAACTTACCATGTTTGATTTGGGTAGTTTCCATGTTTAAATTTTTATACACGAGTCTTGCATTTGTGTGTGTGTGTATCCAAATTACATGTGTGCGTGAGTGGCCATCCAATGTATTGGTAGTCCCAATAGTCCAAGTGGTAGTCTTGGTAGTCCCATTGGTAGTTTCAGTTCTGCGAGTAGTAGTATTGGTGGTCCGACTCAACGAGTAGTCCGCTGATCTGGTAATCCAACTAAAAAATCATGAGTATCACCCAGCTCTAGTGTATATACAGAATACGATCCGAATCTTTATTTATACTGGAGCAATCGGATGGGCTATGAAGCTGTTTTCCACAGATGTCCTGTATATATATACACGCGTGCATACTGTACATACTGTACACCTCGTTCTATGGCGTGCAAGACCTGCTTTCGTTCGAGCATTAATTTGTATTGTACATTCAGTGGATGTTTCAGAAAATGTGTGGCAGTAGCAGCCGCCACGGTGGCGAGGTGTTAACTACCTCGCCTGGTATACAGGAGATTGTGTGTTCGATCGAGTCCCTGATGCCTGTGTATTTGGTTTTTGCGTCCGGTTTTTCCCTCCACATTTAGAATCAACATAATACTGTTAGAGTATATTTTTCCGCTGTAAATTTCCATGTGATAAGCCACTTCATTGAGCAATTATTTGTGGCCAGGTCGCTTCTGAAAAATTGCTAAAAACAAGTTCCGCGTGGGCCTTACCTGGTCAAATAAAACAAGGTTAGTTTTTGTTAGTTAAGTATGCACGAGTCGCTAGGTGGCTAGGAGATGGCAACTTTGAGTGTCGCGTCACACTCTGGAATGTGTGGGGTGTTCTCTGGCTACTCCAGTTTCCTCCCACATGGAATTGGCCAAACATCCCAATGCAGGATCCTCCTTAAAACACAGTCTTCAGACTTTGTCAGGCTTTCCGATGTCAGTAATTGGCATTGTACATATTGCTCCAAATCAAAAAGCTCTGCGAAATTTACACCTACAGCTTGAAATTTCCACGCACGCGAACCACCATTTCGGCACCTTTTTTACGTTTGTGTGTCACGTCTATCGTTTGCATCGGTGGATTTAGCCCTCGCTTTCTCCACCCCCCCCCTCCCCCCCTTGGCGATTTTAGTTTGTTGGCTATCTTTGTTGAAGCTTGAGACGACACATGGAGCTTTCGCTCGGCTCTGCACCACCCAGTGGCGCTCTTCCTCGGCCACGCACGAGGAGGGGGAGGGGAAGGGCCAATGTCTCGAGGCGATGCATTTCGCGAGCGATCGGCAAACATCACTCCCCACGGGGCTCTTGTGATTGTCGTGCTGCGATTAGCTCGTTTATGGGCGATGCAATAACAAAAAAAAAACACAACGCAAGTGTCGGTATCCCTACGCCAGCTCGCGGTCGTTAAAATGGAATGGGTCGAAGTGAAATATCAGATCGGAGTGAAGCTTCCGGGGAATTTCCAAATTGTTCTCCTTTGTTTGGGCGTGCGAAGCAAACAATGGGTTGGCTGAGCTGCTGTGAGGCTCATCGGGATCGCGAACACGCGTTAGTTTTTAGAAGGCGCTCGCTTTTGACGGGGGAGGGAAGGGCGAGAGCGTCTTCCGAAAAACATGTGTTCCTGTAAGAAAAAAATACAAGCAAGTTACAAGGTCGCCTTGCCAGCACGAATATATATGTTTGTCGCACTACTTGGGAAAGAGATTATGAACGGTTTGAGAGGATTAGGCTGAGCAGATATCGCAAAACGGTGTTTTAAACCGCCAGGGGACCTGGGGGGAAGACTGGCGGATCACGGAGGGCCACCCTGGACGTGCGATGTGTTTTTGTCTCGCGCGGCCCCTCTTGAAATGCGCTCGTGAAATTCTTGGGCACAAAAGCCGTGGTCCTGAGTGGACTGAGGGTTTTTGTAGCCGTGTGCTTTGTATCCCGTATTCTTCTTCTTCTAATACGCGGAACACACGTTTGCCTCGGAAGTTTCATTCTTTTTTTCCCGTGGCTCTGTTAAGGAAATTAATTATTCCGGTCGACAGTGCTTTGTGGTCACTCAACCGTGCGTTGCGCTCTAAGTTGACTCTCACCCTAACCAGGTTTGAACGTAATCAAAACTTTGGAGACCCAAACCACCACGGCGGCCCCTTTTATTTGTCATCATAAAGGTCATCGTATTCATTTTAGAAGCGATCAATTTGGACGGCATTTTTGTCCCTTGGGTGTGACCAGCGGGAACAACTGATGAACCTGCTAATTAAGGGAAGTTGTGAGCTTCAAAGGGAATCTCTGGCCATTCTCTCGCGATACGGGGATTTCGAGGGGTGGATTAATGGGTGGGGAAATAGCAAAAGAGAGGGTATTTTAAGGTGGGTATGCGGGGGGGGGGGTTGTTTGAGACAGATACATCCACACGGGTATTGTGTCATCGACACCCCCACCTAACTTATCCCCACCAGCATATTCCTTCCTCGGAGGACCAGTCGAAACCAGTCCGAACACAGGGATGTGATTTGTTGTGGGGTCGTTAAGTTTGATGGCAGAGAGATAAACTTCCTTTCTTGTTCCTTTTGAATCTCGACTCTCTGCCCCCCCGCCCGCCCGCCCCTCCATTATCTGCAGCCCCTCCCTGTGCCCTCCAGGTTTCCTGCGGGAGCTTGTTTACTTGGTAAATAAGGGCCTGGACAAACACAGCTAGAGCCACTCTGGGGACTTATCCCATTAGCCCTCCAGAAATGCCGAAGACTTCCCGGATACATTTTCACATCCGATTGAGCAGGAAGTCTTCCCGGTTCTATTTCTTTTTTGGGTCTTCCTTTTCGGCCGCGACTGGATTAGGAGGGATTGTCTCTCGCAATGGGGGATGATGCAACTGTGAGTGACACCTTATAAATTTGGTATAGTTCTAATTTAAAGAAACAAATAAAAAAATTATTACCTGAAAATAATATATATCGCCTTATCCGAGGCGCTTTACACAGAATGAACAACAGTACATATGGATGTAATGGTGGGGATGAGGTGAATAAAATAGATGAGAGGAAGCAATGGGTGGCAAATCTATGACGTGTGAATTCGGTGAAAGCGAAATTGATGACAGTAAATGATGACGAATGATGATTGAATGAATGGGAAATTAGTGAAAGCCGTGTAATGAGAATATGAAGAGGGGAAAGTAATGGCGGCGGTTAGTCTTTTAAATTCCCACTTTATTTGAAAAGTATGAAAACTTCCCTCTTGTCCCCATGATGCATTTGACACTTTTTAGTACGGCATCTTCAGATGCAGTAGCAGTTTAGGTGCACCCTAACATCCACATTGTATTGTACGCAATTTTCATAAAACACTGTAAGCTCTTTATTATTATGGCACATTGTCCGAACATCACGATCAACGTTCATTGTCGACAAGGTGTAAGAGACGTTTGCTATTGGTGTTGTGTGCGACCAAGAAATAGAACCTGGGTCACCAACATCATTGCAGCAGCGCATGTCGCATACGCCCGCACACAACAACAACCACAACCAGCAAGTACGGTGATGTCACCACGGGACTTGGGGTGCCACTGCGGCGATATGTCAACTCCCTCGCCTGGTATGCAGGAGGTCGTGGGTTCGATCCCGACCCTGACGCCTGCTGATTATTTGGAGTTTGCGTGTTCTCCCCGTAGTGGCGTGGATTTTTCTCTGGGTCCTCCGGTTTTTCCCTCCACATAAAAAAAAAATGCGCGTTCAGAGTATTTGGCTACGATACATTTCCACGTGATGAGCCACTTCGTTGAGCTATCATTTGTGGCCGGGTCGCTTCTGAAAAATAACTATATATCTCAGTGTGCCTTATATGGTAAAATGAAAATATATAGTTTAGTAGATTAGTTTCACTTGTGCCATCTTAGGTGCACATTTAGGCCACGTGAATTTCTGAAGGCTTGCTGGCAAGAGTTCACGGGGCAGAGTGTTTTAGAATAACTCGCAGAGATGACTGGCAGAATCACCACCTGTCCTCCTTGCTATGCCAACTTGCCATGTTTTAGCCACCCTTACTGTGCTAATTGTTGTGGGCATCATATGGTCGAGGGGGGCTGCTGCCCTTTGCCAAGTATATACTGGACATCTATGAAAAAGCGCTTCATAGCGCATCGGATTCCTCCAGTATAAATACATATTCTGATTCTGATTCAGTAGCTTGTTCCACGACCATCCTCAAGAGGCTGATTTTGGCACTGCACGCAAATAGACTTTCCCCCACTGATCACTCTCACTCACACAGGCTCACAATAACAAAAAAAGGTACATTTAGTATTCACACGATTATCATAGTGCAAGGTTATCACGTAAGCATTGTTTTCACAGATACGTATAGTCTGGTAGTAGGGGGTCGATGTTGCTATAACTAAATTACGACTCATTTTTCAAATTTGACAAATGCAGACTGGCAAACGTTGCCAAATGTGTCCTATTCTTTAAAAGATATCATCACGGAAGCCCTTTAACGTCTGCCGCCTTGCAGCAGGTCGCGCGTATTTTACGGGCTTATACACCCACAGTATTAGCCGGAGTGGCCGCTGGTCTCGAACCGCCAAACCACTGCAACAAACGGCCACAAAGCGCCACCGCCCGGCCGCGTCGCCGACCGCCCCTCACCGCGACAGTCGCCGTGCCCAGGTGTTCCAGGTGGCGTACGTGATCGTGAAGGCGGCCAACTCCCCGCGGCCCGGGAACTGGATCCTAGAGCGCTCTCTGGACGGCGCCACTTACCATCCATGGCAGTACTACTCCGTGAGCGACAGCGAGTGCCTGACCCGCTACGGCATCACGCCCACCGTCGGCAACCCCGTGTACCGGCGGGACGACGAGGTCATCTGCACGTCCTACTACTCCAGGCTGGTGCCCCTTGAGAATGGCGAGGTGAGGTGCGCCCCACCTACCCCCACCGAACCCCACCGGGCCCATCGGCCCCACCGACCACCACCGACCCCCACCGAACCCCACCGGGCCCACCGACCCCCACTGACCCCACCGACCCCACCGACCCCCACTGACCCCACCGACCTCACCGACCCCACCGACCCCCACCGATCCCACCGACCCCCACTGAACCCCACCGACCCCCACTGACCCCACCGACCCCACCGACCCCCACTGATCCCAGCGACCCCCACTGACCCCCACCGGCCCCACCGACCCCACTGACCCCCACCAAACCCCACCGACCCCACCGACCCCCACCGACCCCACCGACCCCACTGACCCCACTGACCCCACCGACTGAGCGGGAGGTCGTCGATTCAGCGCTTGGAAGCTGTGCTCGGTTTGAGCATTGTTGGTACTTGGTAAATACCAACATGGTTTTTTGTTGCTATTCTTAGTAGTGGTATTATTAATGGTGCATACTAAGCGTGTCATCTTGCATATTAACATATAAAGTTGTTAATTTACTCATTCTTAAATTGTTTTCCAAATTGGTTGTTTATTTATGCCTCGCCCTTCTACAACGTTTTCACTTATCCAATAATAAAGATTTGCTTACTCTGCTAATTTTAACATTTTGCTTAATTCACGGAAACTTTTGTAACGGCTGACAAACTGAGATATAACAGCTGGTTAACACTTCCATAGGTTTGACAAAGTTACTGACAAGTGGGTCATGGGGTGGAATGTAAATTGGGAGACCTAAGAGATTTATTGAGCATCTGTTCAACGTTTCAGTGAGAGCCACAGACGTGAAAGAGTTTATTAATCGTTTCAAATATTTTTTTTTTATCTGGCTCTGGGTAAATTAAATGTGCTGAGCTTAATGCAAAAGGTTAAAGGCTGAGGTTCATGAGGTCAGATATTTAGAATGTTTCAGGAAATGCACACGAATTTAAGAGCTGAATGGGCTTTGTGAAAGTGCAATGAAGGTCAGATTGTTGGAATAGCTAATCGTTAAATCTTTAAAATATTTTTTACAAAAATTCCTCTATCATTGAACTATACCACGCCGTGAAGCGAAAGGTTAGATATTTACTCGCTTCTTGTGACCGTTCATCAGGATCGCAGTATAACATTTCTGATTGATTTAAGTGTGCGGATGGGTGATTAAGAATCATAGGTTTAAAACATCGAGGGGTTGCAGACAGGCTTGGGCTCGGAGAACACTTGCAAGGCAACGGTGGTAATGGGATATGGGAGAGCTGCAAGTAAAATAAGATTAATGAAAACCAAGACGATAATAAAACACGGTAACTTAAAAATCCGTCAAGCGTTATTAAAATTGATTACTTTGGATCGAATCTCATTTCACAGGGGTGCATTTGAAAGCGCACCTTCCGAAAGCTTAATGCATCCCTTTATTTGGAGTGAGAACAATGTCAGCGCTGTTTTATGGTCTTAGAAAAGCCCCCCCCCCAAAAAAAAAACATAGCGCCATTCTCTATCCACTGTTGGCTAAAGTCTTCCCATTTTTGGCAACATCGACTCTGAACCTGCATAGTCACAAACCGACTGATTCCTGCAAGTAGTTGTGTCGAGGTGTGTGTAGATATATGTAATCACGTTTCACGATGTATGTACGATAGTGCAGTACAATGTCATATATACAACGACGTTGGGTACTGGGGTATCGGGGGATATGTAAAACGGTCAGATTTGTGAATATCTCTACGACGCGAGAGTTACACCACCATGCACAGATGGGTCACTCGCCAAAATAAAGCACAGGCTGCTTTAAACGTTGCGGAATGCTTTCATGTCCTGTGGCAGTGAGAAGGGTGCATGCAAGGCTTTAAGAATGCATTTACTGCGCGTGCGATAAAAAGATCGGTTTCGGCAACATCTGCGGAAAATGCCCATTGCACCATGCACGAACGCTGCACTGGGCGCAGGTGGTTCATTGGCCAGGGTGGATTTGTGACGGTCCGATATGCAATGTTGCACCGCGCACACACCGGTCGAATCCCATTGCCTGAATGCGCGTGGAAATGATGACAGATCCATACGTCGCTGATTAACGGGCGGCCGAGCGCGGACGACCCCTCGCCGAAGCTGCTGGACTTCACGTCCGCGCGCTACATCCGCCTGCGGCTCCAGCGGATCCGCACGCTCAACGCCGACCTGATGACCCTGAGCCACCGCGACCCACGGGAGGTCGACCCCATTGTGACGCGACGGGTGAGCGGATGTCACCACGGCAGAGAACAACCGCTCGCCGCTGACCCCAGCTTCAATCCTCTGCCTTCTGTGTCGATCCGCTGTTTGATGACGCCTTTCCCCACGGCGTGGCAGTTATGCGGGGTGGGGGTAATGCTCGCCAGGAATCAAACTCGGGCAGCCGGGTTCATTGCACAGTCTGCTAACTAACTGCACCACCGCTCAACGGGAGCATCACTGACTCTGTGATAACCGTCGACTCGAATGCGCTTAGCAGATAAGGTACAGATTCTCAGGATCAGGGTAATGTTCGTCATCGTAAACCAGGAGCATTAAAATGTTGTTGACTACTCGAGGACTCCTGGGTGACGAGATGTTAACTCCCTTGTCTGGTATGTAGGAAGTCGTGGGTTCAATCCCAACCCTGACGCCTCTATATTTGAAGTTTGCATGTTCTCCCTGTGGTCGCGTGGATTTGTCTCCAGGTCCTTGGATTTATCCCTCCGCATTTAGAATCAACATGTGTTTTAGAGTTTTTGGCTGCTATAAATTTCCACGTGATAAGCCACTTCGTTGAGCTATCATTTGTGGCCAGGTCCCATCTAAAAAAAAAGAGCTATATAGCTCACTGGGCCTTACCTGATGAAAAAAAAAATTAAAACGGTTTAGTTTCTCCCTCTTTCTCTCCCTCTGTCAAATATCAATACAATGTGTACCTCCAATACGACAGCAGACACGGGGGGGGGGAGGTTTAGACTAAGGGATGACAACTCTTCACGGGGAATGGAACCCAGGCACTTCTGGCTGTGAGGCACATGTGTTGTCACCCTGTAGCCCACCGTGAGTGTGTGTTCAACGTGCTTCAGTAACGTAATGAGCGTGGGGGCAGGGGGGTGCCTTGCCCTTCCGCCTTCCCCCCCCCCCGTGGCAAAAGCTCCGAGTTTGGGCCCCCTGGACGACCACCATGAAATATGTATTCAACAACAGTGTAAAAGAACAAACTGATTTTTGCGAAGACGACGAAGCGCCCCTGCAGCGTTAAATGTTCGATACCGCGAGCGCAATGATGGCAAGAGGAGCCGCGACATGTGTACACAATAGCCTTGGGTGTGGCCGTGCGAGACGAGTCAAATACTGGGGCCCCACCTGACCGATTGCCGCACTCCCTGACCTCACAATGTAGTTATGCCACTGATGCGCCTGTTGTTTTTTTGTCTTCCTCCCGCTGACAGTACTACTATTCCATAAAGGATATCTCCGTGGGGGGGATGTGCATCTGCTCCGGGCACGCCAGCACCTGTCCTTGGAACGAGGACACACAGGTCTCGCTTGAAGCAAACACAGATGACATCATGGTGTAGGGGAGTAGGCGCAAAATCGTTCGGTCAGCGGCCAGGTGCAGTCACAAAACAGCCCCTCTCTCGGATAGGGTTACCATTGTGCTGCACCTCCTTTTTGATTGTTTACTAAGCCATTTCCACGGGGTGTCACGGGATCCTTTAATCAATTGCAGTTCGTTCACAATTGCCCAAACAATTGCCATGCACGTGGTAGGTGCCAATAATCCCTTCAAGTGGATTTTTTTTCTATTGCTGAGCGGCCTGCTGGCACAGGATGAGGCATGTTTGCTCAAATTTACGGGCTAGGGAAAGATTGCCTGCTGGCCTGCTCTTTTAATGATAATTGCAGCTTTTAAAACTAGCAGGTGCTAGACGATGTTTTGGCTTCCAGAGCATTGCGTCTGCAATAGCAGGTGCCATTTCATGCTTTATTCTAATGCAAAATAGACGCGTGTACACCGCAGACATTTTTTTTCAACCTCGCAAAGCATGTAATTTCAAGATAACTTTTGTGTAAAGGCAACATGCTATTATTATTGCGTGTGCGCTTCTCGCAGACTCGGTTGAACACACTTAATGTCTGGTCGGACAGTAATCACCACCTACCACTTTAAATGTCACAGATGACATGTGACTGGTCCTGGATAATCATATTGTTTTAACTGCTTTCAGTGTAATCTGCATATTCTGATAATTATTATGTTGTTTGTCGTGTACCGATATAAGAGTTTAACCCTAACAGGACACAGTTTTGTCTGCTTATCGATTTTGTTCTTTATATTCTCCACAACGAAACTATTTTGAGTTACGTTTTACAAAATGTTGAAATAGGACCCACACCTCAGAGAGGGTTCTTGCCTGTAATATCTGGCAGGTCACCAGCATTGCTTCAAAAAATCCTGATTGCTGATGAGTCGCTGTTTGTCAAAATCCGTACAGAGTTTGCTTGTCCTTAACGAATTCTGGTGAAATTAATGATCACAGAAGAGCTCGATAGAAGAATCGAGGCATTGTCACTCGGCTAATATATTTTGTATAACTTGTGATGAAAACTGTTATTGATTTGCAGTTACAGTAACAGAACCACTGCTCTTCAATGTGGCTTTACTGCCCTATAGCCCCAATTAGTACCACCTTAGTTTCAACATGGTGTAGAGCAATCAGCCTCTTCATGGTCTGATATTTGCATTTTGAATATAAGGACAATATACGGATCAACTGTGAGTCGTCAATCAAATTAGATTCTTAGGCACACAATGCACACATTGACTCGTGTGTAACATTTGATTACACTTCATGAAAATTACATGCAAGTGATATCGCATTATTCAATTGAGGCTCTTGGAGTAAACCAAATGAGATGTACAAAAAACAAATAAAATACAAACGACTTTGGAAAGTAAACGCGAGACGATTAATAATCTAAAGTCAAAACGAATCACGAATCTTAAAAAAAAAAATTGAATCGCTGAGGAGCCATGAATCGTCATTACCCGCCTGCTGGCAGACGGCGGCGGCTGTCTGAATTGTTCGTTCGTGCAATGCGTGTGTCTGTGTATCCGTAACTCTGCACAGAAAATGGAGTGTCAGTGCGAGCACAACACGTGTGGGGAGAACTGCCAGCACTGCTGCCCTGGCTACAACCAGAGGCGCTGGAGGCCCGGCACCATCAACAATGGCAACACCTGCGAAAGTGCGTGTCTGCCGTGTATCCCTGTGTCTCCCGTGTATCCCTGTGTCTCCCGTGTATCCCTGTGTCCCCGCGTCCTCCTTGTGTCCGCGCGTCCCCCGCATCCCCCTCGTGTCCGTGTGGCCCCCTCGTCCGTGTGGCCCCCTCCTCCGTGTGGCCCCTCGTCCCCGTGACCAGTGATAGGCTGGGACTAAAAATCAGCCCAGGGATTTGTAGACACACCGGCCCCCAATTTCGGGCTATGGACAATTTTGTATATATTTAAATGGCCTGCGATGTGACATTCACGTGATTTTTTGCTGTGCTATCTCATTGGCCCATTTGGGCTGGGTCCAAAAAAATAATTGGGACAGTGAGGAAGAATATTTGGAGCTGCCAGATATAGGAATTAATGCCAACTGAGAGCGTAAATAAGCAATGAAGCGTACACGTTAGAGGTAATGAAGAAAAATCGACTTCAATCACATTTGCAATTTCCCCACACAGACCGGCCCACCGTCTCTCGGAATGGACCGGTCCACTGTGCATTTGCTCGGACTGCCCTATGGCCAATCCGGACCTGTCCGTGTCCCCAGCGATCGCATTCGTCCTGAGCCACACAGGGCTATCAGACTTCATGACCCGAGCCATATAGCCACCCATGTTCAGACCCATGTTGTACCTGGTATGGCCTACATATAAGCGGTATGTCGACACGACCAATAGATTTGCCTTGTCTCTTGAGTCCAAGGGAGAAGGTTGGTTGCCATGCTGGGAAGGTGCACTCTAAAAAAAATTCTCAATGTTTTGTTGAAATGTACAACTTAACAACAGGTGTTAAATTAACCACTGGACGTGCATATTTGAGGTATAATATAGCAGCTACTACATTCTCGCCTGCAAGCCGCTTTTCGGAAGCACGTGATTATTTCAGTTATTACAACCACGGGAGTAATCGGGGTGACCGCGAGATTCGAACCGTGCAACAAGCGGTGAAGGCGCCACCGCTAGGGCCCGTGCCATCGCTCGGAGGTGGACGGAGGTGGTGGGGAAGGAGGGGGCGGGGTTGGTTTATGAACCCTGCCACATTGTTTTATTTGCCACGCCAGGAAATCAAACCGCCGATCTCTGGAGCGCAAGTCCAGCGTGGTAACCATGGCAGACAGAGGGGTGTGTATGTATATATTATAATGGTGATAAAATTACTGTCCAAAACCAATACACTTCTCGATGGATTGTGTTGGTCATGAGGAGTTCTTTGACCATATTTCACCGGGCTAGCTGGTGAAGGGGTAAACCAGAACTGGTTCAGATATCCTTCGCCAGTGATTTTATCAGTGACCGGAAACATTTCATGTGATGTCGCCAGCATTGCTGGGTGCAATGCCCCAGATGATACAGTGAACCAGTGCCGGACTAAGCTAGTGCGGGGCCTGTACCATGTGTTATAAAGGGGCCCCTAAATATAAAAAAACATGTAAATGTTAAAACACGTAAATATTAAAACACATTTTTTTTACTTGCATAGTAAAGTAATTGCATATTTTTATTTGCTATACAGCCAGATAATACGACAAATCGCGAACCTTAAACACCCAGTCGTTCATAAAAGTTGAATGCAGTATAGTACTATAGTAATAGAGCAAGTGCAGAATCACTGAACCGGAATTGATAGCTTGACAGCATGTAGCGCGGGGCCCTTGAAAGTGCGGGGCCCGTAGCTACTGCTACTACATGTAGCTACTTTTGCTACGAGGATAATCCGGCACTGACAGTGGTTGCATATGTTCATTGAAATGTAATTGCTCCATCAGTTTGCTGCAAATTACATGCTGCAAATTATATGCTGCCAACAAAATAGCCACAATTTATTTACACGTCTTCTGCTGAGCAATGAAATACTTTTTTTTTGGGGGGGGGGGAGGAGGGGAAGAAGAAGTCGAGGTTTTTAACCGATTATGTGAAAAGTTGGGCTCCTGTGACTAAAGTTTGAGCTCCACTGGCTTAATGGAGACAATGGCCTCTCTCTTGTTTCCGAGCTTTCCGAGTGTCGTCATGTGCACACTCTCCCGGGTTCGTCTCGGGGAGCTCGTAACCACCCCTAAGCCCACTTTTAGCTGTCGCTTCCACAACCGGCAGGAACCGCGCTGGTCGAGGTGCTGGCTCGCTTCTCGCGGCAGAGAGAGAGAGAGAGAGCATCTCCACCGCCGCCCTAGTTGGCGAAACTGATCCCAGCACCAGGCCCCCTGGCTCATCACTTGATCCGTGATGCACACTTTTAGGGCTGGGCGATTAGTCTCGATGCCACGGGGTGCAACACAACAGCGAAACGCTCGCACGCTCGCTCCGGCACGTCATTCTCTAGCGGCAGCGCCTCGAGGTGCCACTTATTGAGAGTGATCCAGTCCCCAGGCGAAGCGTGGCAGTAGATTAATGATTGTAATGTGAAGGGAAACAACGATTGCCCAATGTTGGGCACTTAGGAGACCAGTGCTGCTGGGAATCTGCATTCACTGTATGCGCCTAATGATGGCGAGGGGGCAAAAGAAAGCAATGAAGTCCTCGGCCATTGCATGGCAGTAAATTAATTCACCTGACCATCTCACCTGCGTCAAGGAAAGCCTGAGGCAGAACCAGCAGCGCCCGCAAGCTGGAGTCACGAACTGCTTTCTCACCGTGCGTTCGGTCTTAACCTTCGTGAAGTTCGAACTTTGCGACTTTAGCAGCACAAGTAAGCAAGTGTAGGGCTATACCTTTTTACTAAGGGCTGTACGATTTGGGGGAAATATCTAATCGCGATTTTTCTGACAGATATTGCGATTGCGATTTGATTTGCGATTACATTTTTTTAAAGTCAAGCTTCAGTTCAATATTCACTGTGTAATAGATTTAAAACACGTGATGGAGCATTAACACATGATACCATCAAAATATGAACTGCTCTATATATGCTAATGCAAGGATGAGAACTTAAAATATATTAATTGCTTCCAACATGTATTTATAAAGAAACAATCGAAATAGAACAATCAAACGTAGAACGATTGTTAAGTAAAATAAATAAAGTTATCATATTACAAAAAATAAAAACAATTCCAACAAGAAAGTAACAGGACTCTTGCAAATCGCAAAAAAAAAAAAATCCCAGCCTTTGCGATTTCCTAATCGCATTGTTTCAAATTGCGACTAATAGATTTGAAATCGATTAATCGTTCAGCACGAGGCGTACCACCGCCGAGTAACCGCTGTGTCGACAGAGTGCAACTGCCATGGCAAGACGGAAGACTGCTACTACGACGCGGAGGTCGACCGCACCAACCGAAGCCTCAGCGTCCACGGCCGCTTTTCCGGCGGCGGCGTCTGCGTCAACTGCAGCGCCAACACGGCCGGCACCAACTGCGAGACTTGCCGAGACGGCTTCTACCGGCCCACGGGGGTACGCGGGTTGCAAGGACAAAAGATCCCCCGTATAGGCTTAACAGACTGTCCGGGGCAAGTGCTGTTAGCGAGGGGGGACGGGTGGCCAACACCACGCCCGGCCGCCTTTGTCCCCCAAGTGACGGTGCTTACACACAACGCACCAGGTACTCATTTGAGGCTGAGTCGACCTAGGGGAGGCCCAGGACTGGTTCAGATAATCGTCACTGGTGTTGGCTGTCAGCACACACGCGCACGCACACACGCGCGTGCACGCTTCACGGAAAACAGTCACATGCGGTGTTGTTCGTTAAAGACCCCGGTCAGGTGGCTCAGCGGTGGAGCGAGCGGCTCGTAGGTCGGAGGGGGGGTTGTGAGTTCGCATCCCGGTTGGGGTGGGGGGGGGTTGACTCGGGTCAATCGTCATTTCCTCGAGTCGATAATCAAGGGCCACTGTTGCGGGGGAAGTTAACAGTAGTTTTGCTCTGTGGATATACATGCCCCCATCATAGGAATGTGGAATTTACACCACTGCTTCAGAGCTGTCATTGGATGATGAGCACCGCCTCGATGCTCATTTGAGCACGAGCTCAGTTTGACTTCAGTATTTTTAAGAAACATTATTTATCTGCGTGTAGCCTGTCCGTCACAACTTACTCGAGTTTTTGTTGTCATGCAGAGGTGAGTGAACGCTCATTCTAATTGGAAGAAACCAGGGACCTATACTTTTCACTGATAATCTTACCCAGGTGTTAAGTATAACAATGCTTCAGAGCACTCATGCAATGTGATTTGATAATAGTTTAGAAAAATTAATTCACACCGACTGTAGGACTAGCTGGTACTATGTTGTAAATATGAAGTGCATTGATTGTAAACATCGCTTTGTTTTAAAATGTTGATTCTTGGCTGACTATACACGGGTTCTCTCTACGTTTAAGACACATCTACGTTTATTATGTCCATCCCCTAAGGAAGTAATGCCGAAGAGCTGGCTTTTAAACTCTCCTGGCTTCTAACCTTTGCCCTCAAGCCTTTAACCTCGAAACCCAAAGCCTTACCCCCCATACTCTAATCCTTGCTCCAAATGCCACTCCTTCCTCGGCCTCTAATCCGAAGCCACACTAACTATAAATAACCAATGACTTACCTCCATGAAGATGGAATGAGCAGCCATGATTTTAGTCGCAGTCTCTCAAAACGACAAAGGTAATTCATCGTAGTGTATAAAAAAAAATATTTTTTGAGCTCTTTGTCAATCCGCAGCTGGAAGAGGGCCTCATTATGCGCTGTGTCCACTCAATGTCGCTTTGTGAGCATACTTCACCATGCTGGTCTGTGGTAGGGTGCTGAAGAGTGGGTACTGGGTTGGATATTGCTTGCCACTAATTTTCGGCATGGCCCAACTGAGCTACCGCTTCACCGATGAACTTAATTCATATTGGTATTTTATTAAGAAGAATATTCAGTTCAATAACCATGTCTGACTGAGCTGTTAACCAATGTTAATCTTAAATATGTGCTCCATGCTATGACTGCATTAAGGTCACTCGGCATCTACATTGTGACCCGCAGGTTAGTGTGGGCCTGGCGTCAATTAATGCTGCTTTTGTCTGTTTGTGTGTGTCCAGGTGTCGCCAAACGACCCATACCCCTGCCGCTTGTGCCAGTGTGACCCGCAAGGATCTCTCAGCCAAGTGTGCATCAAAGATGAAAAGCATGCCGATCCCGAAAGAGGTGGAAGAGAATTTAACAATAAAAAATATCACACATACACTCACATGAACCCTTGCACAGTGACCAACACAACACACATTTTGAACCACTTCATAGATACAGTTTTACCTCGCTTCGTGCGGTAGATGTGTTCCAAAAAATATAGCACGAAAGAGAAAATTAACGAAACGGCTGTCTGCCGAGTAGCGCACACAGTACCACGCAACGTTGTCCACGGCTGACCGCATAGCCGCGTATGAGCGAATTCAAACCGCATATCGCGAATTGTGGGTAGAAATAGGTGAGCCACATATGTGCGGAATGGCACAAAGCAAACCCGCATAGAGCAAGGGAAACCTGCACTTATTTCGAGGGTCCGTCTGAAGTTACTGACCTGGCTAAGACACTGAAATGACCAATGCAGCTAGAGATCTATCAATTTATGTCGTATGAGAAGCCTTCATTTCAGAATCTCGATCAGAATCTTTATTTAAACTGGAGGAGTCCAGTCTTCGCTGTAGTGTCACTCAACAAGTGCGATATCCGGTGTTTGTTATGAGCGTGACATTTGCATTATTGCACTCATTGCTTTAATTGAATTAAATAATAAAAAAACAATCCACGCAAATGCTCAGCAGCACGTTGATAACTTCATTAGATAATGACCCTGATTGTGCTGGTAATGTCTGTGACCACATCATCCTGCATACGCTTGATCTCATAAGATATCAGAAACTGAGCAGCGTTGACCCTGGTTGGTACTTGCATGGAAGACCGCCAGGGAATACCAGGATTGGTAAAAAAATTGTTGGAACTATGAAACCATTTATTTTATTTTACCAGTTAAGGCCCACAGAACTATACAGCTCTTTTTTTCAGAAGTAACCTGGCCACAAATTATAGCTCGGTGAAGTGGGTTGTTGTTGTTGAGATTTATCGCAGCCAAATACACGGGGAAAGTGAACATTCAAACTCCAAATATACAGCAGGCATCATTATAAGGGTCAGGATCGAACCCACGACCTCCTGTATACCTGGCGAGGTAGTTAACATCTCGCCACCTTGATGATGATGATGAGAGAGAGAGACACGCATACTCCAAATATACAGCAGGCGTCACGGTCGCGATGGAACCCACGACCGACTGTATACCAGGAGAGGTAGTTAACATCTCACCACCTTGATGATGATGATGAGAGAGAGAGAGACACGTATACTCCAAATATACAGCAGGCATCATTATAAGGGTTGGGATCGAACCCACGACCTCCTGTATACCAGGCGAGGTAGTTAACATCTCCTAGCCACCGTGGCGCCCCTTGTAAGCTTGGGCTCTGAGCTGGCCAGGAGAAACATGACAGAAAATGATTTTGAATCTTTGTGAAGTGTTTCTTCTTGGTATACGTGGGTTTATTTATTTATTTTAACATACACTGTTTTTACTTTTACACGCCACATTCACTGATGTAATTGGCCAAATACCCTAATACAGAAAATATATTAAAAAAAGAGAGTCTTGATTATGTGGTGATTTTTTCCCGGGTGAACACATGATATTATGATTACTGGAATGCCATATTCGTATCATATCGTATGTTGAGCTTCTTTCTGTCTCTACGTAGCCAACCGTGCTGGGTGCGGGGGGACAACAAGCTAAACACAAGCATTAGCAATGTGTGGAATAATTGCCTCTTTTCTTTTCTCTTTCCCAACCCACACTTGTGCCTGCCCGTTTCACCTCCACCCCCCCCGCCCCCTCCCTCCCACCCACGTTAGACCTGTCACCTGGGCAGTGTCTCTGCAGGCCTGGCTTTGCCGGCGAGCGCTGTGAGCGGTGTGCCTTTGCCTATCGCGGATACCCCGACTGCAAGCCCTGCCTCTGCAGCATGGCAGGAGGCACTAACGACGACCCCTGCAGCGAGCCCTGTGTGTGTAAGGTGAGACGATCGTGGATCGCAGCCGATGGATGGGATGGGGGCAGAAGCTAGCGTCATTCCACGGGCAGAGGTCATTGGTGCCGGTATCAAATCAAGTTCATTTGGGGAGGAAAAAAAGGCACGTAGCAAACATCGCCCTCCTACTCGTAGACTGTTATCAATTCTTAAGTCTCTGCTGCATATACCTTGTGCCACAAAGGGACAGCTGCCACTGGGGGTGTCCCCTGAGCTAGAGTGCAGTAGGTTATTGGAGTGGTTGAGATGAGATTGCGATATAATGCTTTTTTGAGTTGCTGGGGCAATTAGGTGCTCTTTAGATGCAACTCCTTAATCTTGGACATACTAAAGATGTCCTATCTAGTTGTATATGTCATGTATATCTACGAGCATGTTTGAAGCTGAAGTAAAGGGTCAACCAGCTTTCATTGGATGCGCTCCAGCTTCAACATGGAAGGCTTTGAGCCCCTCTAAAACCCTCCAGTGACAATTGGCAATTCCATGCTTTTCTTGGACGTTTGCTGCTATTCACAAAGTAAACATTCGGAACGCGTGTGTGTCTCCTGTGTGTGTGTGTTTTAACAGCAGTAGTGTAGCGGTTAGCGTGCTGCACTACAAACCCGGCGACCCGAATGTTATTCTCGATCTCATGATCAATACCGGTGACGATTATCAGAATCGTTTCTGGGCCCCGCCGAGGTCGACTCCGCCTCAAACGGTGCGGTGTATAAACATCGCCACTCGGTCGACAAAGGTGGCCGGGCATGGCGCTGGCCACCCACACCCTCGTGTGCCATGCCGGCCTTCATAGGCGCTCGCTAACAGCACTTGACCCAACAGTCTGTTACGGTTATATTGGAGGGAGTCTTTGTTATTTGTTTTAACAGCTTCGTTGCTTGAATAACCGGCCGGATGCTACGACGATTACCGGTCGTTGAAATTGTTGCGTCATTTCTGGATGAAGCCTCGCCTCTCATTGGGATGGTCAAAATTTCGCTCACCTGTCGGTTTCGTCGCTGGCCCGTGCCAGGAGCGCGTGGAGGGTGAGCACTGTGACCGATGCAGGGCCGGCTTCTACGACCTGCGGCCGAGAAACCCGCGTGGCTGCTCCGCGTGCTTCTGCTTCGGCCTCTCCAGCTCGTGCCGGAGCCTGCCATGGGGCGTCACTCAGGTAAGCACTCGCACGAGTGGCGCTCGAGTGCGCTGCGATGCAAAGGTAAACGGTGATGACGATAACGGTGGCAACTTCTCGAGCACGAAAACATGGCAAGCCGCCACTACGAGGGCACTGGGTTTGTTTTAATGGATACTCTTAGAGGTGCATTGTACATGGTCGGAGATATGGCATTCCTGTGTAATGCTGGCATTTAGCATCGTTGTTCCTGAAGAGGTCCCTGTGATAAAATTGCCCTGAATGCGCCTGATGCCATCAGATCTCAAAAACTAAGAAGAATTTACCTGAATTTTTATTTAAAGCTTTCGTGGCTTCAGTGATTCATATTCTTGGTTCTTTCGGTAAAGTCACGTTGAAGGGAAACAATAAAATAATAAAATATATATAAAACAATAAAATTCTCACGACGTTTCGACTTTACCGAAAGAACCAAGAATAAAAATTTACCTGGTTAGAAGTTGGGTGGGCGACTGCCATGGCCTGCTAGATGTTGCAGCTGCAGGGCTGTGTGGTAGCCCGGATATGGCAATGCTGCGTGTCACTCCCTTCTTGTGTCGGTTCCTGTAAGGGCACTCATGAATGGTATTGGCCAACCATTCCAGGGTAAAGATCCTCCTGCAAAAGACCCTTGAGACTCGACTAAGTTTTTCTGCGTAAATACTCGGCATTATCATTGTCATTGGATACTCGCACGTTACCCCACCACAAGGTATTTGCCAATTGACCCACAGCAGTGCATCACAATTCCTGAAAGGTAGATAGAGTTAATGGTAAGATAAAGAAACTGGCACTGTTTTAATTACATTGACTGGCAATTTACACCGTGAACCATTGCACATTGTACGCTGTTAGCCTCGCCACTCGAGCAGCTGTAATTATATTGAGGTCCACCGAGACGTACAGATTTTAAGAGCGAGCCCAGATGATAACACTTCACGGCAGCTTGACAGACGGGAAGAAGGTCAATAGCTGTCCCCACCAAAACAAAGGCTTCGCTACAATTCTCTCTCTCTCTCTGTAAGGGAACCTCGTCACATGGGACACCATGGTCAGATTCCTCCGCTTCCTCCCTCCCGACCACTGTGACTGCTGGCCACGTGTGCAGGTGGTGGACATGCGCGGCTGGCGCGTCACAGACCGGCAGGGACTGCGCAAGGTGAAAACCTTTGTGGAGGTGGACCAGGTCGCCGTCAGGAACGCGGACGTGCGCCGCACACTGCCGGCATTGTACTACTGGCTGGCCCCCACTTCCTACCTGGGCAACAAGGTACCGTGGTGTTTGGTGCCCCCCCCCACCTCCTCCCTACCCCCACCTCTCGCCACCCCCCGAATACGCCCCTCCCGTTCCTGTCCGCTGCACCGTGCATTGCGCAGTTCGTGCAAAGACAAAGGTCCCCCATCGATATTCTTTGGTTCTTTCGGTAAAGTCACGTAGATGGAAAATAATAAAATAAAAATAATTCCAATATTATTATTTTTTATAATCGCCTGATGACGACCGCTTGTGTTGCGATCGAAACGTCGTGAGTTCTTGTTTTTTTTATTAAATTTGTATTATTATTTATTTTCTTATTTTCCATCTACGTGACTTTACCGAAAGAACCAAAGAATATTAATTCCTGCAGTCACGAAAGTTGTAAGTCAAAATTTAGTCCCCCATCTAGCCTTGAACTGAGTGTTAAAGCAAGTTGTTAGCGAGCACCTAAAGAAGGCAAACACGGCGCACAAGAGGGTGAGGGAGGCCATCGCCACTCACGGCCACCTTTGTCTTCCCAGTGCCACGCCAGATAGAGTGCTCGTTAATAGTTGTATTCAGCTATGTTTTCAACTTTCGTAAAAATTCATCTAAACCATTCGACATTCATTTAAAGGGTCCTGTGCATGATTAATAAATGACAACAAACACAGCGTAAGCATGCACCTAACGCTTCAAATTAATATTGACCCTCGGTCCAAAGGTTGATTTAGCATGTTTGGGCCAATATTAATGCGAAGGGTTTAATGAATGATCAAGTTTTGGGTTTTCGTTTCCTATCTTAATTACCCATGCATCTAAACCCTGACAGCTAATATTGTCACCAACGTGCTGAATCAACCTTCGCACTGCCGTGCAGCGCTGGGCTCGCTCTGTACATGGCACGCGCAGGCGAGTGTCCACATGGCGCTTTTGTCCAACACCTCGGCCCGGCACAGATCATTAGTCTGCGGCGGTGGCATTTTGGTTTTCGTTATCACGTAGCGCAAGCGCGGTCTGTGGCTCGGTCATTTTTCTTCCCTTCCCCTGCAGCGTTATCTCTCGCTTCCTCGCTCCTTCGCACGTCACCTCCCCTCCCCTCCCCCCCCTCCGCACCAGCCCCCCTTGGTTTCCCATTCGCCGCACGTTGTCTCGAGTGCGGTAATAAATTAACCCTCGACTTTACTGCTTTGGGGATGCCATCGCCTTGTCGCGCGCGTCCAGCCGCGGAAATGGATTCCGTCGCGCTTTTCGTACGGCGCCGTAAGCAGTGCGAGCGTTGACGGCACGAGGCATTCCGCCCGTGACAGGGTGCGCTCTCTAATGCCGCAGAGCAGCTGTGGAGGTGTAAAAAAAAAATTACAAAAAAAATCGCACAAAGTCGCCATTGTTTGGCTCGATTTGAATGTCTGTCCAGGTAGTTGCAGTCAACAGGATTAAGAATGACAGTCCGGTAATGAAGTGTCATTGTACTAATAGGGTTTTTCCCCTTTTTTTCTGGCAACAAAACTGAAACCTTTTTTTTACAAGGATTCATGTCTGCATTAACCACAATACCTGCAGTCAAAATGCAAACAAAAAACATACTATGATCATATATGCATTGTTCTTGAAACTGATTGGTCCACACCAAGGGACGGCTTTCTTTTGAGCCTCGACCCAATTGGTGCTCGACCAGAGGACGCCAAAAGGCATTTTGACTGCAGGTATTGTGGTTAATGCAGACATGAATCCTTGTAAAAAGGTTTCAGTTTTGTTGCCAGAAAAAAGGGGAAAAACCCTATTATTACATTTTGGTACTGGCAAAGGAGGTCTAATTATGTCATTGTAATGTTATAGGCTCATCGAATAGCTCATTACAAGGCAAAAAAAATGAACCATATTGCATTTTATATATATTATTAAAATCCATATATGTTTAGGTATTCGAACTTTGTTACTATATATTTGTAGAAATTCATAGTTTTGGCTCCACAGAGCCGCACCCTATTTAGAATCGCTCTCGGTACCCGGGGGAAATTGCACGAACTTGCCACATTTGATCATTGGCCAAACCTCATGAAGGAAATATCCACGTCAAGACATGTGGCGGCTCTGTGGCAGGTAACGTGGGAACATTGACGGTGTGGACAAAGATACAAAGACAAAGATCCCCCAATATAGCCTTCAAAGACTGTTGGGGAAAGTGCTGTTAGCGAGTAGCACCGATGAAGGCCGGAAGGGCACACGAGGGGGTGGGTGGCCAGCACCATGCCCGGCCACCTTTGTCTCCCTTGTGGCGACGTCTTTTACACATCTCACCAGGTACTCAATTGAGGCTGAGTCGACCTATGGGATGCCCAGGATCGGTTCAGATAAATGTGACTGATGTTGGCTGTGAGCGGGAATCAAACTGGGGTCACTGGGTTCGTAGCGCAGCGCTCCATACGCGCAAAGATACAGCCGCTTGCGTTCACCCGATTAAGACCTGACTCATTTCTCCATCAGGGGCCGTCCATAAATGACGTCACGCGATTTTGGACGATTTTTGCCCTCCCCCCCCCCCCGTTCGTCACACGGCGTCACAAAAAGTCAGACCCCCCCCCTCAAATATGACGTCGCAAAGATTTGCCCCCCCCCAAAAATAAAATAAAACATGCTTCAAATCGCTTTAAACTATTGTCATTGTAGTGCGTATTTAATGTGGCGCTGCTGCACTCTGATGTTGTAGGAGAAAACATTTATTCAAAGTCATTTTGATGTGACGTCACATTTCTCACCCCCCCCCCCCTCGTCACACATCGTCATAAATGTCTGACCGCCCCCCCTAGGTGCGTGACGTCATTTATGGACGGTCCCTTATGTGCACTTTACTGGACACTCATTTATTTTCCTCGTCTATTTTCTCCTTACTGTCGTCTTACATTCCCCCCCCCCTTTCCCCCCATGGTTCTCAACCATCCCTTGGTGAGCTCTACAGCTCTTATTCACATCTTTCTTCATCGCGACCGGCAGCTTCAGGGAAGTGTGCCCCACTCGCTCTTTTCCCTTCCCATTGCTGTCCTCTGCCGGTCCTGTTTACGTTTGTTTGAACGAATTTCTTCTTAAAATGTTCCCATTTTGAAATGCTGAATGCAAAAGGTCGAAAACATTTCCAGGCTCACGGTCAACACAGTCATCGTATAAACGATAGATACTGGAGTAACCAGTTTGCTAATCCACTGGAGCTGTGCACTTTTAAATCTCGATTGAAACCTCATTTCTTTAGAACTGCTCTTTGTGTTTTAGTTTGTTGTCCTTCCCCCGCACCTCCGATTTTAGCACGGTTGGCTACGGAGTGTGCGAAAAGAAGTTCAACCTTACACACGGGGCCTGTTCATTGTTTTAGAATGCGAGACATTGCGACCTAAACAATAGCCACCTTCTTCAGGCGAAGGTCCGTCCTTGACGCTCTGTCTCTGTCATGTGCGCACCAGTTGACTGCGTACGCTGGCCACCTGCGCTACAGCGTGTCCTACGACATCCCGGTGGACAGCACGGACTCGGAAATGATCTCGGACGTGGACGTCATCATCGAGGTGAGATCACCCTTGGGATTTGTTGTCGTCGTAGGCATGCAAAGGGGTTTCATTCTCCTTGCGATTGTAATAACTGTGCTGATTAGAATTGTCAAGATTGATGGTCACGATTCGGGATCGCTTAAACTAATTAGACTTTATAAATAAATGTATTCTTAAATGCGCAGTTTCAGGAAGCTATCATAAACCTTCCAATTTTGAATTGATTAATTAATGCATCGTTACATGCCTTTATCTTTTGTTATTTATTTGCGCGATTTGTAAATCTTACATTTTATTGAGATCCACGAGTTCAACTTGTCGACATATAATGGTGTCTCCTGAGTTTTTCTGCCAATTGTCCTTGCTGTTTGGATAGTCTTGGCTTTAGCTGAAGCCACCAGTAAACCTCGTGGTATAATGCGAAGCGAGGTGCTTTTAACTTTCTAACGCCCCTCAAGGTAACACGGATTAGGTCTGTCCCTGGGGATGGCCGAGCATGAATAAGGGCCATTGTCGACGTCCATCCCATTGTCTGCTGTCACCTTTCACAGTCCTCTGCTATCCCCTTACCTCATTCTGGGGCGCCGCGGTGGCGAGATGTTAACTCCTTCTCCTGGTATGCAAGAGGTCGGGGCTTCGAACCCGATCCTGACACCCTGTATATTTGGGAGTTCGCGGTTTCTCCGCGTGGTCGCGTGGATTTTTCTCTGGATTCTCCAGTTTTTTTCCCTCCACATTTAGAATGGACGTCAGGCGTTTTAGAGTATTTGTCCGCTATATGTTTCCACACGATAAGCCACTTCGTTGAGCTATCGTTTGCGAGAGCCAGGTCGCTTCTGAAAAATAAACTATATAGCTCAGTGGGCCCTTACCTGGTAAAGTAAAAAATAAATAAGTTTATAGTTTTAGTTTCTCTCTATTTTCTGCTCTTTTTGCTTCTGCCTGTGCAGGGCAATGGCCAAGCCCTCAGCTCGGGCTCGCTGGGTTTGATGCTGCAGCCATTCGAAGAGCAGACCCTCTCCCTCCGCCTGCTGCCAGAGAACTTTTTTGATTTCCGCTCCAATGCTCCCGTGTCGCGCGACGCCCTCATGACGGCGCTGGCCAACGTGACTCGCCTCCAAATCCGTGCCAGCTACAGCTCGGTCAAGCAGGCTGTGTACCGGTGAGTCAGCCACGTGCCTGGAATTTAAACGTGACATGCGGATTAGATTTGTACGAGCAATACGCACGTATTATGTCTGACGGCGGAGCGGTGGTGTAGAACTTTGAAGTTTTTTTTATTTGTTACACGGATGATCCCGTTTATTAACTTGCCCAGCTATTTTACAAAATGCTCATTACAATTTCTGAGCAATGTTCATGGACTAATTATGAAACTAAGCTGTAGTAGATACAGAATGAAATGTGCGTAAAGAAGATGCTTTTTCAGAGTTAAAAGCAACCTCAGAGCTAAAGCTAATTCTCTAATCTGAATTAATTTTTGCCATTTAATACAATCAATTGGCCAATGCAGTAAAAAAAAATTGGAAAAAGAAACATTTAACAGTTGCATTTATTCATGAAGGCACTGTAGTTCATTTGGCAGCTGTATGGGCAGTATACGCCAATATACATTGTATTGAAGCAGTGAAGAACTGCAAATGCAGTTTAAATTCAAACCGCACATTCAAATCCCCCCCTCCTTGGACTGAGCGGTGGTTTTAGAGGCTATGCGCCGCTACGATCTGCATTCAAAACCGAGCAAAAGCAAAGTGGCCAGAATGTTCTCGTTCTTACTCCGCAGCCGTGCGTGAGCCACCTCTGCCCTTGATCCCTTTGCAGGCTGAGCGCCGTGTCTCTGGACGTGGCCTCGCCGGATGCGGCGGTGGGGAGTCCCGCGGCACTCGACGTCGAGCAGTGCCACTGCCCCCACGGCTATGCTGGGACTTCCTGCGAGGTGCTTTTTTATTGTCTTATGTCGGCACCTCCGTTCTCCTGGCTCGTGCCATGTGCTCCGATGCCCCCTCCTCCGTTCTCCTGGCTTGCGCCTCGGCTTCCGATCCCCCCCCTCTGTTCTCCTGGTTTCTGATGCCCCCCACCCCCCCCCCCCCCCCCCCCCCCCACCGTCCGGTCTCCTGGCCCACGTGTTCCCGCGGTTGCAGTCGTGCATGCGGGGACACCGGCGCGTGGACGGGACCCTGCACGGTGGGCGGTGCGAGCCCTGCCGTTGCCACGGACACGCCGACGACTGCGATGACCTCAGCGGCGACTGCATGGTGAGGGCACCGCCGCACGGAGCGAGGAGCAAAGCCACTGCCAGGGTCTCGTGGATGATGTCCAGATGGCCCGCGGTATTTTGTAGACACGGCTGAGGGACGCGCGCAACATGTTTGAGACCCACATTGGTCAAAGTTAAACATTCAAAAGTCATTGCAATTCGACTGTGGTTTCCCATTTTGAACCGTGTGTTTCTTCTCTCAATATTTTTTTTTGCCGAGTACTCCTGCCGGCATATTCGGCTCCTGATGACTTGTGGACATCTTGGACCCTTGAAAAGGTGTTTGCGTTTAGCTTGTTGTCATTCCACCCCGTACCTCCGATTAACATGGTTTTTGGCTATGCTACGGTGCGAAAGAAGTTCGACATACATATACAAAGGTGCCTGCAGTACCACGAGGCAAAGGCTTGAAAAAATAAATACTCGGCACTCAGCATAAACCGAAAAACCACGTTTGATATATGGCCGTCCATACCCGCAGTATCAAAACTCAACCCCGCTTAGCTTCCGAGATATAACGAAACCTGGCGCATTGCAGGTGATTTGGTAAAAGGCGGCCTTGTACTCTATAGTTCCGAAATTAAACTTGCTCTAGGTGTCGACCGGAACACCTCAAATGCTAATCGGAAGGATGAGGTGTTGCTCATAATGGTGCTATATTCTTGGTTCTTTCGGTAAAGTCACGTAGAAGGGAAACAATAAAATAATAAAAATATAAAGCGTGACTTTACCGAAAGAACCAAGAATATGAATTCCTGCAGTCACGAAAGCTTTGAATCAAAACATAATGGTGCTGTCAAACATCTGGCTATCGTATCCGCTTAGTACACTTTAAATGGTCCAAGTAACGCATTGTTGTCCACTGCTTGTGGACTTTGTTGGCTGAAGTTGCTCTCGCTCATGGTCAAGCTGACTGTCGTCTTAACTCTGGCCACTACTGCCTTCTGCAGGCCACAAACAAACATGACAGATAGCGGAGCGCCGGATTGCGTTGGCTGCTCTCTGGCAATGTTTGGACGTACACATGTATTTGTGCTGAAATATATTATTTGAAATTTAATTAAGGGTGTCGTTTATCATCACATGCTGATTTTTTGAGTCGCAATTTTCAGAATGAATGATCCTAGCTGTTCACATGTCGGTTGTAAATAGGTAAAAAATTTGCTTTTAAGACCATAAATAAAAACTCTGATTAGTTATTTTGTAAATTTTCATTTACTTTGTATCCTAATTCAAATCATTCGAAGTCTATCAGTATAATATATTGAACATCCAACTGAAAAATATCCGCCCTGACCAATGAGCAGTTGCAGTACGTGATGGTGCAACCGTGATTATCAACGTTTGCTCACACATCCCAGCGAGTCGGATGTGTACCATCGTGGTGTGCTGCTGAGGAATGGTTCGGCACGAATGCTGGGACGAGTTTGGTAGAGCGCCCACGCTGAGCCCGTTCCTTCTCCTCGTGCCCACAGCTGCCTCTGAGCGGCTGCCGCCACAACACCATGGGGCCGCACTGCGAACTCTGCCGCCCGGGCTTCTACGGCAACGCCACGCGCGGCACGGCAGACGACTGCCTCCCCTGCACGTGCCCCCTGTCCATCGCCTCCAATAAGTACGGCCCCAGCGCTTTCTCCCTCTCCTTCCCTCCCTCCCTCTCTCCCACCCTACCCCTCCAGTCCACTCCCCTCCCCCATCTCCCTCTTCTTCCTCCCACCCCTCACCTCACTCCCTCCCCTCCTCCTCCCCTCCCTCCCCTCCTTCCCTGCCCTCTCTCCCTCCCCTCCATCCATCCCTCCCTCTTCCATACACACCTCTGAATACCAATCGCAATACACCGACATGTGAAGCCGCTGACCGATCCACCGTTGCCGTGTTCGCTCACAAAGGGACGCCTGTTATTACAAGCGCCTACGTAAAGCGCAATGGAATAAAACGGCGTTTCATTATTTATTTCTGGGTTTGTGAAAGAGCTTAGTGCGTACAATTCGCTCTGCCATCACCTTCAGCATTGTCTCGAGTGCCCTGTTCAACTGTATGGTCCTTGGCCCACTCAGGCCATGCCTTAGAGGAAAGTGATAACATACTCCCCCCCCCCCCAATCTCTAAATGTGACGAAGCTCCGTTTTTAAAGATTGTTTTTGTTAGGGAGGATGTAGAATTATGTAACAACATGAACAAAAAAATATATACGTCCGTGCTAACATTAAACAAGGATGTAAGTTCCTATTCCATTGTACAAATGTAAGATTCCCATTTTCAAGTTCCCCAGACCCATGCCTAGCTCTGCAAATTGACCAATCATTCTCAGTTAAAACCCACAAATGTAAACTCCAACTAAAATATAAAAGTGAGCGAGCTCGAGAGTAACTTTACAATTCTGCAGGTAATCCATCATCTGCTTTGTAACGAACATTTTAAAATCTGCTCATCATAAGTAAAATCCTGTATTTATGGATTACAAGTAACGTTGAGCCAAACAAAACCGGTAAATAAAAAAACTACTGTATATGAAACGTGTTCTCCCTGTTCTATTCAGTTTCAGCCCGACCTGCCACCAGGATCCACGCGGGGTGCTGACCTGTGACCAGTGTTTACCAGGATACATTGGCCTCCGCTGTGAGAGGTGAATACCTGAGTTCTTTTGGCAATGGTTTATTTTATCGGTCTATATGCGTTTTTATAGGCAGCACAGACACAAAGAACCAGGCTACGCATCCGCCAAATGACCGGCACGTTCACGCATAATTATAGCGATCCCCAGCTGTGATATAGAGTGAGTGATCTATAGGACAGAGGGAGAGAAAGAGGGATACACTGTACTATTTTTATTTTACCAGGTAAGGCAAACTGAGCTGTATAGCTCTTTTTCAGAAGCGACCTGGCCCGAAATGTCAGCTCAATAAGGTGGCTTATCGTGTGGAAATGTATAGCAGACAAACACTAAACGCATGTTGATTCTAAATGTGGAGGGAGTAACACCGCGGAGGGCCCTGAGAAATATCCATGCGACCACGGGAAAAAAAACATGCAAACTCCAAATATACAGCAGGTATTTGAGTCGCGATCGAACTCACGACCTCCTGCATACTCGGCGAGGGAGATAAAATCTCGAGGAGAGAGAGGAAAAGGAAAGCAGAAAGGAATAAAAGCATGGCAGGCATACATTATGCAATACACGGAGGGCGGCAGGGTACGATCTTAAGTAAATCAATGAATAGCAGACCAAGTATTCCTGAAAGCCATGAGTAATCCTGAAACAGAGCCCCTAGCTGTCCAAGGGTGGATATATCTTACGAAAAATTAACCAGTGTTTAAGTGTGGGTAAATCACAGGCCTTCCATTGCTTTGTGTGATGTTTTAGTATTTCACCATGACATTTGCATGGTTTTTAGAACGCTGCATTGAAGCTCAAAAACAGTTTTTGAAGCTTGAAGCGAACGCTGAAAGGGGGTTCCACAACAGCTGTTGCAGTGCGGGGGGGCGGGGGGTGGTGGAATGTCTTTTTTTTCCGAGCACACTCACATTTTTTCAGCTCGGTGAACCGAAAGCCCTGTGGCTCATTGCCCCTAATACGATGGTGCGGACACACGAGCAGTGTCCTCTTCCCAGCGTTGCACAACAACCTTTTAAAAATAATTTTATTTCTTGCTCGCGTTTGCCAGCGTCATGAACTCAACGAGCTGGGCCTATTTTACTCGTGGCGGAAAAAAGGGGCCTCACTCCAACGGCTCCGTGGACCCCGCAGGGATTGTTTGTGTCCCCTGCACTGCCCACTGTCAGGCTGTCAGGGGAGGTGGGGGGGGGATGGCAGCAGCGTGACGCTCGCAACCCGGGGGGCTAGAGAGAGCGGCATATGGGCATGGCGCCCAGGGGCCAGTTTCCGCTCTTTTTCCCGCGAAGCTGACGGCCGCCGTAATTGTCCGCTGGCCGTGTAATCCGGGTCTGGCAGCGCTTGCCAGGGTCCGTAAGGCCAGCGGCTCGTGAAAATCGCTTGGCCACCAAAAAATTGTAACCGGAACGTTTTTTTTTTTTAGCAAGAACAAAACTTTATTACTGCCAACAGATACATTGAGTAACTGAGGTATGGAGGGTGGAGGGGGGGGAAGTACTGTATGTTTAAAAAAAAATAATTATTTGAACAACAAACTTTTTAATCTGTTAGAGGTTCACGCCTTTATCAAACGCTCCAAATTGAGGGTCCTTCTTGGCCTGTTTGGCCACAATTATTTTTTTTGCAACCTGTAGGGGAATCTGGAGTACCCACAGATACAATGTGGAAAATACTCAAAACACCACACGGATAGTTAAGCAACCTACTTGTCCTGTGCCCCCCCCCCCACCACCCCACAACCGCCTTCAAACTAAACGGGAAGAATTGAATCTGACACCGTGACGGGGAAGCACAGGGGCCCCCCAAAGCACGGGGCCGCTGGTGGCGTTTACCCCGATTCGCCGTACCCCTAGGGATGGCTCCGTCGACGGCCTGTTACAAGTTTCAACTTTATTTTTTTTGCTCGCCGCATTGCCCATCGGTATCGATGAGCCTGATGCCGCCGCCGCCGCCGCCGCCGCCGCCGCGGCTGCTGCGCTATCGTCGCTGCTGCCATCTTTTAACGGGCCGGGGTGGGGGGGGTTGCCAGGTGCGCGGACGATTTCTTCGGCGAGCCGAGCTCCCCGGGCGGCTCGTGCCGCCGCTGCGAGTGCAACGGCAACGAGGAGGCGTGGGGAGGTGGCCGCGTGTGCGACGCGCGCACCGGCCAGTGCCTCCGCTGCCGCGAGCGCACCGCCGGCTTCCACTGCGAACGCTGCGCCGACGGATTCTACGGGGACGCCACCGGCACGGGCGGCTGCCAGCGTAAGGGAGGAGTCGAGGCGTGGTGGATGGCAGAGCCAGAGCCGCCACCAACCCACCGCCACCAACCGCCCTACGTTACCCCTCTTTTCTAAGTAACATGAGTACATTTTTTTACTTGAAACTTTCGTGGCCGCAGGAATTCATATGCTTGGTTCTTTCGGTAAAGTCATTGTAGATTAAATATAAAAATTATAAAGTTAACATTCTTTTCAACGTGTTATTTTTAATTTTATTTTACTATTTTCATTTTTATTTTCTGTCTACGTGACTTTACCGAAAGAACCAAGAATATAACATAACTAATAGAAGCTTCTTGTCAGCAAGTGAGGACCCAAAATTTACCACATGTTACATTACAACAAAACAATTTTTAATATCATCTTAGCAATGTTATTTGTTGCATTAAATACATGCATTAATGTTTTATTTATTTATTTGTATACTGTATTTACACAAACACACATGCATGCCATAACCTTGACGTTTCCCATTTTTTGGCAATGGCTAACAAAAATAATCGTCCTCAACTCGAGCGCTGCTCTATGAAATTCGCTCAATATCGGACGTGGAATGACGCTAACACTCTCGCGGTTGTGTGGTGCGTGCGACAGCTTGCCAGTGTCACCCCGAAGGAGCCACCGCCCCTCAGTGCGACCGCATCAACGGGCAGTGTCCGTGCCGCCCCAGCGTGGTCGGCCGAACGTGCGAGCAGTGCGCGGTGAGAGCTGCGCTCTCCTCTACTCCGCTGTCTTCGCTCATTGGCTCAAGGGGAAACGCGCATGGGGTGGCCGGGAAACTGAGATCCCGGTTCATTTGCATCCAGGCAGACGCCTCGAATTAAACACGATCCTCAATACGTCGTGAATTCACGGCCTCGACCCGGGTCACCAAAGATCTGCGGGAAGAATCGCATTAAATTTAGCTTCATCACATTGGCACAATTCCACCACCAATACGTCGTGAATTCACGGCCTCGACCCGGGTCACCAAAGATCTGCGGGAAGAATCGCATTAAATTTAGCTTTCTCACATTGGCACAATTCCACCTTCGAGAATTTAAGTATCGGCTCGACTGTCATTCGACGGAGGCCACGGTCAGTGGCAGACGGGGTGGGAAAGTGCTGCCGCGATGGATTTTGCCAAATATCACCTTGAAGGGATTTCGGAGGCAGCTCTGTGATATCTGCCTCCGCAGGCCATTGTCTTTTGTGAAGGTTTACACTTCAGTGGGAGATCGAAATGTATAAAACAATGTTTTAATGGCAATGATGAGCAATGCTTGATTGACAAGTGCCTTGTACATGTGATAACTTTCCTACTGCCCTCATCTTGCTGTGTTTTTCTGGTTTCTCTTGCCACTGCTTTTACCGCTATATTATGCATCTCCCTGCGCTGCTAGGATCCGTCCCATGCTGCAAATACTGTCAATTTGGAATTTAATGACGAATGTATTTTTTGTTGTGTGTTTAACCGTTAAAACACGTTTCTGATGGAACACACTCTAACATTTGTGACATCTGTGACCCGATGATATCTGAACTGTGGAGGATATTTTAACTAGTCTTGGGCGCACACCCTCCCTTTAATCAATCCTCACTGGCTACAAAAGCGAAGAATGGTCAAACAACCTCCTTGACTGTCATAGCATGGGGTTAGGCCTATACTGAGTGGTGGATTAACAAAAGGGCTGTAATAAATGTAAATAGAGCCTTTTCTAAAATTTGGAAATTTATTAATTTTCCAATGAAACTACTTTTTAATATATTTAACCATGTCTTTCCAATGTGCATCAAAGTAGTTAAAGTTTATAGTGACTCATGTGCAGAAGGTGAAGGTTAACACCCCTTTCATTACTGTCAAGATGTATACTATTCTGAAACCATATTTCTAAAAATTCAAATGTTCACTTGAAATATGTTGGCAAGCATGCACCAAGTATATTTGGTAAAAAAAAAAAAATGTACCTTATTGGTAAAGCAATCGTGGCTTTATAATTGCAAATGTAAAATGTAAAAACAACTAAGTAAACACGTTTATGTTAATTGGTTCAGGAATCTGTAGCCAGTTGCATAAATCATCTTTACAGATTTTTTTTTTCATTTAGTTCGCCCATCATAGATGCATACGTTGACATTTCTTTCACAAAACATAGTTTATGCAACCAAACACCGACCTCTAGTTTCCAAAGGTCCCCAGCCTGTAATGGCGTGGTTTCTTGCCTGAGCCTAATAGGACCCGCCTACAGGCACAGGCGTGCTTACCGCTTCTCAACAAAACTCTTTTTTTTCTTCATCTTTATTGACCGGTTAATCCTTCCCATGCGCACGCAAATCGTCATTTGCCCCGCGGGTTTACGTCGTCGCTTTCAGATCGGTTTCTACGGCCTGAGCTCTGGCGCCGGTTGCTCCCCGTGCCCCTGCCACCCGGTGGGCACGGCAGGCGTCGCCTGCTCTGCCGACGGGAGGTGCCACTGCTGGCCGGGCGTGGAGGGGAGGTCCTGCGACCGCTGCACCTCTGGCCACTATGGATTCAAGGAGGGCGGCTGCACACGTGCGTAGAGCTAGATGCAGGGGGCGACGATGTCACTCTCAACTGGGCCTCGTAATCTTTCCATTGGAGGCCTGGGGCAGAATGCCATGTGGTAGAGGTGGGGGGGGGGGCTTATTTGTATGTATGTAGAACTTCTTTCGCACCGTACATAGCCAACCGTGCTAATCGGAGTGGGGGAAGGACAACAAACTAAACACAAAAAGCAGTTCTAAAGACATTCGTTTTCAAATTCACTTTGTTGATAAAATAACATTTATTAAAAAACACAGGTCCATATGTGGAGGGAGGGAATGTTTTGTTTGCAGCCCAGGGCAAATTGCCCCCTTTTTCCCTCTGCCCTCTGGGAGGCTCTGCCCGAGAGCATCATGCCCTTGCAACATAGGAAACATTGCGACATTACTTGACAGGAGACGATGGCAAGCACCGTCTATTAATATTTGACTGCCAGATTAGCCAAGCAAGTAACGTTTTCCCATTGGTAATCGTATAATTGACTCTTTCCAAATGTCTAATTAGCCAGCTGTGTAATTTAGCCCCAACCGACAATCAATCCATCAAATTGCAAGGGATACATTTAGAGTCGTTGCTAAAATTAGATGGGTGTTTGTGTGCGGTGGTGACCTGTGTCTGGCAGCATGCAACTGTTCGCACACCAACCACCATTGCGACCAGGAGACGGGACGCTGCCTGTGCCCCCCAAACACTGAGGGCACGCGGTGCCACCGCTGCATCGACGACCACTGGGGTGTGAACCCGCACGCCGGGTGTCGCGTACGTGAACCAAGCACCTTGCAACACGGCGCGCTGCTGCCACTGCTAAAAAAGGCCATGCCGGCAAAACGCTGCCTCTTTGTCACACGGTGACAAACTCTGTATTTTGCAAGCATCGCATCATTTACAGCATATCTATTGATTTTTGCCAATGATATTTTTTTTGGTATGCAGCTCTGACTGAAATATAGGGCCCAATTTACACGCAAGAAAATGTTCATTTTCACAAACATTTTGCTGAAAAATCCGCCAATGTCTTGATTATCAATAGTGTAGAAAATTACATCGGTGATGCGCGTTGTATTTTAGCCATATTTTATAGACATTGATACTGGCCCAGAGAGTTTGAAAGAGGCTGACGCACAGTGTTGAACAATTTTCCAACTGACTTTAGGATTTATTAAAGTGTCCAAAAAAATATATGATCTCAAAATTGCGTAATAGCGAATTCCATCATATTGGGAATAGGGTAACGATTGGGAAGTGAGTAATGCCCTGCACGGTTGTAGCAGTGCAACATAAAACACAGGGTGCTGTGTACAATTTATAATGCCACATACAAGCTCGAGTTTCGTACCCGGCTATAAAAAAACGTTGCGTGACTTTGCTTCGCGATTTCACACCCTGTCTCGTGATGAAAAATAAACGACGGAGGGCCAAGGTCCTTGTTTCATTTCCCACTGCCCAACAGGCGTGCAACTGTAGCGCCGCGCACTCCCGTGGTGCACGATGCGACGAAGCGAGCGGGCAGTGCTCCTGCCTCGACGGGTACGGGGGCCGCACGTGCGGGGAGTGCGCGCAGGGCCGCTGGGGGTACCCAGCGTGCCGGCCCTGCGAGTGCCACCCGGAGGGCACGCGCGCCAACACCTGCCCCGCGCCGCCGACCGGCTCGCTCTGCGGCTGCGACGAGCGCACTGGCCAGTGCGCCTGTAAGGTGGGCGCCTGGGGCGAGCGAGGGGAGGGCTCTTTGAAGGGTTCCTCCTGTCCTTCGCCAGGGTTGAATTGGCCCTCACCGCCATGGCCGGCGACGGTGCCGGGCTTTCGCAGCGTTTTTCCACTTGTCGCACGGGTTTTGCGTGCATGACGTCGATTTCGGAAATGTACGTGAAGGTAATTGATGGGGTGAGGGCAATTTCACAGGGCATCTGCGTGTTTGTAGTCAATGCAATTGTTTAATTGGTCTCGGTTTAATGGCGTTTGCGTTGAACACAAATGCGTGTTTTGATTCAGAAAAACTCGTGGCAGGGCTTATGTTGAATGAACTGCAGCTGAAGAACATATTACGTCCTCTATATTTGCACCAGAAATACAGCAAAGCGCAACAATACCGAAATTTCGATTTAAAGCTTTCGTGACTGCAAGGATTCATCTTCTTTGGTTCTTTCGGTAAAGTCACGTAGAATGAGAATCAAATAATAAATTGATAAACTCCAGCGCTGTCCTCCAGACAGTCTCGTCCCTTCACCTGATGAAGGCCGCTTGCGTTGTGGCCGAAACGTCGTGAGAATATTATTGTGTTATTTTATTTTATCAATTTATTATTTTATTCTCATTCTACGTGACTTTACCGAAAGAACCAAAGAAGATGAATACCGAAATAGTTTTTTTTTTTAAATACGATTGCACAGTGACGGCGAGATTAATCGTCGCGTTGTAAAGCGTGATGCCGTATCGTGAAAAATGATTCCGCGGCAGCGCTGATTGATGTCGCCGACCTTGCCGACCGGCAGGAGAATGTCGGTGGGACGAGGTGCGACGCGTGCCTGCCTGGCACGTTTGGGCTGAACCGGGAGGACCCACGCGGCTGCACAGCCTGCTTCTGTTTCGGCGTGTCCAGCGTGTGCCGTGAGCTCCAGGGCTTTGTCAGAATGCAGGTGAGGTCTGCAGGTCCCACAGTTTGCCACTCCCACAGTTTGCCGTCTTTTTTTGCCATGTATTGGATTTGATGGACAAGTTGCTTCGCTTATACGGACCACCAAATTTAGTGTCCTAATAGTTTACATTTCATAGCCGTGACCGTTTTTATTTTATTATTTTTCTCTCAAAACATGTTGTGATTTTAAATGCGGCCCTCTGAAAATGCATTACTCTCGATGTGATTGCACTGGCAGGAAGAGCGTCGAGTTCAAGATGTCATTATCGTGCAATTGGTGTGGTGCACTCTGGGCCATTTCACTGGTTGCACTTCACAAACATTCTCATGAATAAATCATGAGCCATGGACTCTCTGTTTATATACTCGACTGACCCGATGTACAATGAGCCATCAACATCTTTTGAGACCAGATTATTACCATCATATTCATTTACGAATAAAAACATTTATTTAGCATTTTAGTATAGCATTATTTTTATATTAAATTTAAAAGTGTTACTGTGTTCAGTGGTCAGCTATTTGTTTCAAACAGTAGTCCATATAAAAGGGGCCTCCGTGTATTCACAAAAAAACCCATAAATATTTTTAAAATTGGTTCAAGCCCTTCTTTCGGTCCGAATTTTTTTTACATTTCACTTTCACTGGATTCACTTTATGACCCAATTCTCCCTTTAAAAAAAAAATGTTAATGAACTCGCACCATTGCTTTGGTTACCTAACAGGGCTGGAATGATTTGCCCTCCATGCCGATTCAATTTAAATCAAGATTGCGGTCATTTTGAATTCATAGTGAACGATAGTGCCTCTAGTGGCTGCAGGGGTGATGTAAAGTCAAAACAACATTCTTACGCGTGTGATTCAATGCATGCATCACGAACGTATTACTCAATGTTCTACGTGCTTCGGTCCACAGCTGCTCCCTGCCTGCACACATATACATGGTGATCCATTTACACTCAACAGTTGACTTATCTATCGATTTGCTCCATATCTTACAGGCAAGAGTGTTAGCCGACTTAAATAAGTGAATTACGATCAGTGGGATGCATTTAGAGGCTTTGAAATTAAATTAAATACGATCTCTATCGAGTCCATGCAATGTCTGCCGATGCTTTGGTGCAGTACCTCGACCTGGACCACCCTGTGTGTTAAGTTTACTCTTCAGTGACTCCACTTGTGCCAACCTGCCAAATCTAATCCAGGTATTGGAATGGTCTCCGTAAGTCCTGACCATGTCCGTCCAATGATCGCTGGGCTGCGCCCGTCTGGAACCCACTGATTTCCGATATTAGGAAGCCACTGGAGCTTTGCACTTTTAAATCCAGATTTAGCATGTTTGGTTACGTGGGGTATGCAAGAGGTTCAACATGTGTGCATACATACAAAGTCCGGTGATCAAGGGGGAAGACCTAAGAGCAGTTGGTCGAGAACTGTTTGGGCAGATCTTGGAGCCCGCTTGTCTACTGCGCGGCGGCTGCGCGGGATCTAACGGAGGGTAAAAAACGCGTTGGCGATGAGGTGTGGTGTTGGCATCGGCGGCTTTGGCCAGGGGTGGTGACATCCTGGTCTTGAATTGGCAATGCCGCCGCCCCTCCTAGGTCTTCATGGTGGAGGGACAGCGGTCCATGCCGGTCGTCAACCAGGTTGGGCAGAGAGAGACCATGTCTGGCGTGCGCTACCAACACCCAGAGATGATCCTGCATGCCGGGGAGGTGCTGAAGACGCTGCACCACGAGCCATTCTATTGGAAACTGCCCTCGCAATTCACTGGGCCCAAGGTGGGTTTGACGATTGTTGCATGCCCACTGCACGTTGTTGCAGGCTCAACTTTGAGCTGTCCGTGTGAATGTGCATCTAAAATGACCGAAGCAACAGCAAAACAAATACTAAACGTCACATTCGATTCTGCGCTTGATTTTGGATACTATTTCAGCTCTGATAATTAAACATCTGCTTGTGCGTCATGCAGCGCACATTTATCTCGCGTGCAGACCGGGTGGGAAAGTGCCACACTGTGTGGACCAGTGGTCGCCACTTGGAGGGATGTCAGAGATAGCTCTCTGATATCCGCTTCCATGGGCTCTTCCCTAACACGAAAGAGTCGCACCGTTCTGCGAGAGACCTGAATGGATTCTTCACGACATGATACCTAGAAGCTTGATCGGGAGAGAATTGTTGATTTTATTTGTAGAACATGTCTTGTCCATTTATTTGCAAGTAAGATCGTGGCCTACTTGGTGAAGGGAGCCGGTAAAAGCGTTAAGAATGTAACGCGACCAGATTGTGCTCGAGGGAAAGAAACCACGGTGGTGTGGCGATCTCTCCTGCCCTGCAGCTCACGGCTTACGGGGGAAAGCTGCGCTACACGGTGTACTTCGAGGCCGAAGATGGGAGCGGCCGTTCAGACCGAGAGCCACAGGTGCTGCTCCGTGGCGGGCGCAACAAGGAGCTTCTGATCTACCGCGACATGGCGCCACCGCGCCCTGGGCAACGTACGCAGCACCAGATGGACATGACGGAGGTAACCGCGCGCGCTGTGCACGCCCACGAAAGATTTGGCAACGGCAAATGGCAAGTGGTTGTTGTTTTTTTTTTTTTTTGTTGCTATGATCGGTTCGATTAGTAGACGTTAAGGGGTCCAATGAATCTTCGATGAATTTATTATTTCACAATCGGTCGTATTATGGAGCTGAGTCCGGACATGATCCCGTAATTGGCGATGCAGCACACAAAGACGTGAGGAAACGGGATTCGGGGAAGACGGAGAACCAGGTGGATAGAAGCAGCGGAAACAGATGTAGAAGAAAATGTATTGCGATTGAGCGCAGTCGTAATCCTGGTTTCACGAAAGAGAACCATGGCGGAATTCATCTTCTTTGGTTCTTTCGGTAAAGTCACGTAGAATGAGAATAAAATAATAAATTGATAAAATAAAATAACACAATAATATTCTCACGACGTTTCGGCCACAACACAAGTGGCCTTCATCAGGTGAAGGGACGAGACGTCGTGAGAATATTATTGCGTTATTTTATTTGATCAATTTATTATTTTATTCTCATTCTATGTGACTTTACCGAAAGAACCAAAGAAGATTAATCCTTGCAGTCACGAAAGCTTTAAATCGAAATTCATGGCGGAATTGTTCACTTCTGTCCACGGTCATAAGCTGACATAAGGTGGCGAAATGTTAACTACCTTGCCTGCTGTACAGGAGGTCGTGGGTTCGATCCCGACGCGAACGCCTGCTGTATATTTGGAGTTTGCATGTTCTCCCCATGGTCGTGTGGATTTTTCTCCGGGTCCCTCAGGTTTTCCCTCCACATTTGGAATCGTGCGTTTAGAAGTATCTGACTGCTATAAATTTTCACGTGATAAGCCAATTCATTGAGCTGTGATTTGTGGCCAGGTCGCTTCTGAAAACGAGCTACATAGCTCAGTGGGCCTTGCAAGTTGAAAGAAAAAAATGTCCATAGTTTATGAAGATGATGATGATAAAGCTCATCGTACATGTAGTGAATCACGTGTGTAAGAGTAATAATTGTATGATTCATGCATGCTACATGCAATGGATTAATGTCAACCCTGGAGCCACGAGCGGTACTACTAAGCATACTTCATGGAAATGTTTTTTGTAATATAATTGAAACAACTAATTACATTTCCAGGGCAATTTATTGTTCAACCCCCTAATGGATATGATTGTAGCCTGCAGAAGTGATGTCAAGCCATTCACCAAGATGATAGCGACATATGTGTGACAGCTATCACCTCATGCTGTTCTCAACATAACTATGCGTTAATATACCACGTTTTCTTATCACGGGCCTCATGTAAAATCATACTGGGTTTATTCTTCACAAAGTGGAGGATAGGACAAATTACGGCTTAACTTAAACACGTTTGCATCATTACCTCCCTTTGTGACTGTCCCCACACAGTCAGTCCCATTGTTTTGTACTGCGTCTTGATATAAAGTGGCATTCGGATAATTTATTCATCAAAATTCTGATTGTAGTCCTATTTTGTAGCTGACGACAAATTCCTAGTTCTCACAGAACTGTTCCTAAAACTACAACCCACTGCATCTACATTTTTGTTTTTGTCTCACAAAAGCTCCGAACGCAGGCGATGCCAAGAATTACAATGATACAAAACATTAAATCCTTTTCAGCGAATGCCAAAGCTCCGATGTCATCCGCTGAACAAGCCACACCAACTTGCGTCATCAAAGCCCAAATGGCCTGGGCCACCTTCAAGTCAACCCCCACTGGAGCTTGAAGTGGAAATCGTAGCGGTGCGCCGTGTTAGATGCACGTCGGCACAAACGGCAGCATTGTCCCCCAGCATCGTGGGGGCCACGCTCACCAAATGACCCCTTGCACCCCACCCCCCCCTCCACCCCCTGCTCTGTACGACCGTCAGCACGAGTGGCGTTACTTCAACTCCGTCCTCGATCAGCCCGTGAGCCGCGCCGACTTCATGTCCATCCTCGGCGGCATTGGGAACATCTTCATCAAGGCCTCCTATGGCAGCCGCATGACCGAGAGCAGGTGCCTCTGATCGACGTGGACACCACCACCACCATGTGCGCTGGCGTAGCCGCGACATCGTTTTAGGCATCGCGACACGATGTCGCTTGATCGTGGATCTCATGTCGTACGATACACACTGCGGTATCGCCACTTCTCGGCGACCCTGTCGCACACGTGGCAACCTTGGGGAGCCCACGTGCCTGAATTGACGTTACAATCACGGCGATTAAGTGCTGTGCATCTTGCCACATTGGCTTGGGCAAGGGACATCCTTACAATACTTTATAAGTCATTCAAAAAATAGAGAATAGATCAGCAGACAGTGTCTCCTCCTCATGCATCTGTCTCTACATTAAACAAAGTATTTGTTCCACACAACCCATCTGCCACACGGCCTCTTGGGAGTAGAAAATTTGAGCATCAGCTGCTATTTGTAACTCGTGCAATAATATTATTTGGTTCTTTCGGTAAAGTCACGTAAGAGGTCGTCATCGTCATTAGAAGCGGTCGTCATCTCTCCGCCTGATGACGACCGCTTGTGTTGCGATAGAAACGTCGTGAATTTTTAAAATAATTTTTATTATTTTTATTTCATTATTTCTATCTACACGACTTTACCGAAAGAACCAAACAGTATGGATCCCTGCAGTCACGAAAGCTTCAAATCAAGAATATTATTTCCTGCAGTCACGAAAGTTTTAAGTTAAAATTTAGTGCAATAATGTGCCTCTGTCAGTCTATGGTGGCTCTCTACCACCACTCAGTGGGTTATCTCAGAACTCCACTTGTTTTATAGTTTACGAATGTATGTTAAACTTCATTCGCACCGTATGTAGCCATCCGTAGCTGGCATAGCCAGAAATTATGCCCACCCAGCTGTCATCGTTTAGGTGAAAGATTGTCTTTGCATATTTCTATATCTCATCATCACTATCCATGGGCAGATAACCCGTAGGTGTCCCCTGTACATTTCGTCATTTGTTTCCACTTTCCACTGTCTTGTGCCAATATGCTCAAGTAGGTGCACCTCTTTCTGGCAACCAATCTCTTTTGTCGTCAAGCCATTCTCTGTTAGGTCTGATATATATATACACACACACACACATCTGGATAACCTAGGAGTGTGTGCGAGCTCTGTTAAAGTGCTGTGCTCTGACCGCTTGGGCCGCAGAATCTCGGAGGTGTCGCTTGAAGTGGCGGCCAGGGGGAATGGGTCGAGCCACCTGCAGGCAGCGTGTCAGGTGGAGCAGTGCGAGTGCCCTCCCGGCTACAGCGGCCTCTCCTGTCAGGTCCTGCCCCCGATGCGCACACACCGTCACTGCCAAGACGCAGCCTCAAAACTCGCCGATTATACACACGCACGGCACGACACGCCCGCGGTCAACTCCTTCAACATACACCGTTAAAACGCACCTTCGATACACGCCAATGATACACCACCGTAACAGACACCCACGTCATATACGGCAATATACACCGACCGTACGCACCAATAATATACGCCCTTAATAGAGGTTTTTGGGTTAGAGCGCGTAAATATATAAATGTGCCGTTAAAACCCGTCACCACCCGACACAGCCAACTAGTAAGGGTTGTCATGTAAACAGAACGTGGCCAATTCGTCACGAGTACAGCACTAACCGGTGTGTTGGAGAGCCAAGCCACAGCATTTACCAACTGAGTACTGAGTACAAACTGAGTACTTTGTAAATGTTGTGGCTTGGCTCTCCAACACACCGGTGTGCTGTACTCGTGACGAATTGGCCACGTTCTGTTTACGTGACAACCCGTGCTAGTTGGCTGTGGCGGGTTTTAACGACACATTGACATATTTACGTGATCTAACCCAAAAACCTCTCTTATGGATGGTATTGGTCGTGAAAGCCTACTACGTTTTAAACTGAATATACGCCCTCAACGAGTACCCTCAACATACTCAACACTCGCCACACACACCCTCACCACCACCACCCCCTCACCACACACGCTCACCACACACACTCATCACACACTCACCCCACACACCCTCAACGACTCCACTTTGCCAGTATCTAAACAAGGATACACAGATACAAGAGTTCCAATGCAAATTATGTTTAAATTATTTAACAGATGAATGAATGTACTGTACTTTTAGAATCCCAAAGGGTGACGATTGGTGTGGAATCTATTCGTCAAACTTAGCTTGAAGCGCTCTGAAAGAAAAAAAATGTTCTGAACAATGTGCGTTTATTTAATTTGAAGAAATGCCATATTTAATAATTTCAATATGAACTTCTTTGCGATTAATTAAAAACGGTTGCTTTTACACTTTCTTGTTTCAGGAATGTGCACCAGGGTTCTTCCGAGACGTTTCAGCCAGACACGTTCCTGGACAGCCGAGGCTCGTACTCGGCCCTTGCATCCCGTGCCACTGCAACAACCACAGCGCATCATGCGACCCGGAGTCTGGACGGTGTCAGGTAAATTGTTTTTGTTTGCTTCAATGAGACGTGCATACACTGTCCCTCCGCTCTCCCACTCGGAGTTGCCATCTTGTGAAGTTTGCGCACTCAAAGCGGGGTGCTACTCATGGTGTTGTGGTCATCAAGTCAGGGTTGCAATACAAACAATGGTGCGAGTTTCTTAAATGCCGCTCAGCGGTGTACATGGGCCCGCCACAGTCGATCAACAGGTCACACACGTGGTGTGGTAAAGTGTGAGTACTCCCACCTCTTCCAAGATGCCTGGCCCAGCGTGGAAGAGGAGGTCAAATTACTTGTATAGAGAAGGCCGTGGGTTAGATCCTGACTCTGACACCTGTATATTTGCAGTTTGCACATTCACCCTGTGGTCGCATAGTTTTTTTTATCCGGGTTCTTTGGTTTTTCCCTCCGCATTTACAATCAAAATGCGTTTAGGGTATTTGCTTGCTATAAATGTCCACATTATTAGCCGTTTTGTTGAGCGATAATTTCGTGTGACCAGGTCGCTTCTGAAAAAGAGCTACCTGGTAAAATAAAATAAAAAAAATTCAATAGTTTACTTACTAGGCGGCCTCTCTGGGTGCCTCCCTCGAGCAGAGGACCTTCCTCCCGAAGTGGCATGAGCCAGACATTTGCATGGCTGCACTTTTACCTTGGCGTGCGGGACCGGCTGTGCACATTCGCTGCAACCGCCCGCGAGCTTGTCACTCGGTGCTCATGGTCTACGACTCGACCGCAAACGGCTCGCACAGAAATGCTGAGGGGAAAGCGAGTGACGGCGCACGCCGTTCGAGTGCCACGCACGGTCGCAGTGTTTGTCACGACGAATGTGGCGCCACCTTGGCGGATGCGTGTCACCAGGGCTGTCGGCACAACACGACGGGACATCACTGCGACCACTGTGCCCCGGGGTATTATGGGAGGGTCAAAGGTCGCCCCGACGACTGCACTGCATGCGCCTGCCCGAAAAGTAACCCAAACAAGTAAGGCCTCTCTTTTCCCACCACTCCTTCAAAGCCTTGGCCAGAGACGCAGAGAGAGAGGTGGGGGGGGGGGTGGTGGTACAGTGCAGACTGTAAAAATATACAATGCTATTACTAAGGCCCTTTGAAAACATAAGCCTGGGTTTTGAGAAACAATTTTCAGTGCAGTGACTGTGTGATGGTCATTGTGTTCTTCCGGCTGTCAAACTTGCAATCATGTACTATTCACAGGAGGGTCATACATATTTAATTGCAGCAACACACCACCAAACTGTCCCCATTTTCCACATTCACCACAGGCTATTGTAAATAAAAAGAACACATTGAAGGGAAGTGAAGGGGCTGCTTAACTCTCTACTGACCCATATATCTAGTTGCCGACTGTTCATTCCCTCCCTCTGTTCAAGTCCAAGCTCAAGGCTGGTCTTGTTTCCTCTCCCCATGACATCAGTGAGGGAAAAAAAGCATTTGATCCCCTGCTTATTTTGTACGTTTGCCCACTGACAAAGAAATGATCAGTCTATAATTTTAATGGTAGGTTTATTTGAACAGTGAGAGACAGAATAACAACAAAAATCCAGAAAAACGCATGTCAAATGTTATAATTTGATTTGCATTTTAATGAGGGAAATAAGTATTTGACCCCTCTGCAAAACATGACTTAGTACTTGGGGGCAAAACCCTTGTTGGCAATCACAGAGGTCAGACGTTTATTGTAGTTGGCCACCAGGTTTGCACACATCTCAGGAGGGATTTTGTCCCACTCCTCTTTGCAGATCTTCTCCAAGTCATTAAGGTTTCGAGGCTGACGTTTGGCAACTCGAACCTTCAGCTCCCTCCACAGATTTTCTATGGAATTTGACCCCCTCTCAATCAGAAAGATTTCTGGCTCCCAGGTGTCTTTTATACAGCTAACGTGCTGAGATTAGGAGCACACTCTTAAAGGGAGCTCTCCAAGGATGTCAGGGACAAGATTGTAGACCTACACAAGGCTGGAATGGGCTACAAGACCATTGCCAAGCAGCTTGGTGAGAAGGTAACAACAGTTGGTGCGATTATTCGCAAATGGAAGAAACACAAAAGAACTGTCAATCTCCCTCGGCCTGGGGCTCCATGCAAGATCTCACCTCGTGGAGTTGCATTGATCATGAGAACGGTGAGGAATCAGCCCAGAACTACACGGGAGGATCTTGTCAATGATCTCAAGGCAGCTGGGACCATAGTCACCAAAAAACAATTGGTTACACACTACGCCGTGAAGGACTGAAATCCTGCAGCGCCCGCAAGGTCCCCCTGCTCAAGAAAGCACATATACATGCCCGTCTGAAGTTTGCCAATGAACATCTGAATGATTCAGAGGACAACTGGGTGAAAGTGTTGTGGTCAGATGAGACCAAAATGGAGCTCTTTGGCATCAACTCAACTCGCCGTGTTTGGAGGAGGATGAATGCTGCCTATGACCCCAAGAACACCATCCCCACCGTCAAACATGGAGGTGGAAACATTATGCTTTGGGGGTGTTTTTCTGCTATGGGGACAGGACAACTTCACCGCATCAAAGGGACGATGGACGGGGCCATGTACCGTCAAATCTTGGGTGAGAACCTCCTTCCCTCAGCCAGGGCATTGAAAATGGGTCGTGGATGGGCATTCCAGCATGACAATGACCCAAAACACAGGCCAAGGCAACAAAGGAGTGGCTTAAGAAAAAGCACATTAAGGTCCTGGAGTGCCCTAGCCAGTCTCCAGACCTTAATCACATAGAAAATCTGTGGAGGGAGCTGAAGGTTCGAGTTGCCAAACGTCAGCCTAGAAACCTTAATGACTTGGAGAAGATCTGCAAAGAGGAGTGGGACAAAATCCCTCCTGATATGTGTGCAAACCTGGTGGCCAACTACAAGAAACGTCTGACCTCTGTGATTGCCAACAAGGGTTTTGCCACCAAGTACTAAGTCATGTTTTGCAGAGGGGTCAAATACTTATTTCCCTCATTAAAATGCAAATCAAGTTATAACATTTGTGACATGCGTTTTTCTGGATTTTGTTGTTGTTATTCTGTCTCTCACTGTTCAAGTAAACCTACCATTAAAATTATAGACTAATAATTTATTTGTCAGTGAGCAAACGTACAAAATCAGCAGGGGATCAAATGCTTTTTTTTCCCTCACTGTATCTAACTCTGTCTCTCTATACAGTGTCTCCATTCACACCTTTTACTCTACTTTGATCGCCCTCCCCTCCCTGTCCTCTGTAGCATTCTATTCCTGGCTCCCTCTTATCCTAATGGATGAAAAAAAACATTGAAAAAATATATTATCTTCACATTATCTTTACGTGCTGTCAAAATCCACTTGTAATTGTGCTTACAGTCATGTGTACAGATAAAGTTTCACACAGCCCTGTGTTACTGACAGACATTCCTTAAATGTCGATATTCACTGCTACTGCATATGCATTTGTATTGTAGTGTAGGGCAGCGGTCCGCAACCTATTTTGCATCAGGGACCGGTTTCGTGGAAGACAATTTTTTCACGGACCGAGGGGGGGGGAGAGGGGTTCATCATTTGGTCTTTCCCCCTTTTCAAAGAAGCTCTCCAGCGACGTTTGTTTTTTACTCATTGTGGCTACCGGGGTTAGAGCTTGTGGGCTTTATACCAACACTGTGACTGCGACAAGTTTCGCAGTGCGGGAAAGAGGCGCGGAGGGAAGTGGTAAATAATAAAATAATGGGGGCAGACCACGTGCGGACTCACCGCTCTCACCTCCTGCTGCAGTGCGGCCCGGTTCCTAACAGGCCACGGACCGGTACCGGTCCGCGGCCCGGGGGTTGGGGACCCCTGGTGTATGGCACAAACACCACATTTCTGACTCGCAGCTTATTGAGTTAATGGAACATGTGTGAACATCTATGGAAAATGACAGTTGACCTGTGTACAAATCATTTACTGCACAAAAGTCAAGAACAAACGGCTTTAAACACGGACAAATGCCTTCAATAAGAAGTTCATGAATGCACACATACTTAGAACGCATTGTCGTGTGCGGAAAGTTAGTGTTTGCGAAAAATAACGGGCGTGGGTGGTTAATTTTGGTCGGGGTGGATATGTGTCGGTCGATCGTTCGGTCGGTCGGTCGGTCGGACACGCGATGTTCTACTGCACTGTGGGCCGAACGCGAGGGGACCCCGATGGGTTTTCTTCTCATCATTCATCGTCGCGCTGTTGCAGCTTCAGCCCGACGTGCACCCAGGTTGGCGTGGACGACTTCCGTTGTGACGCCTGCCGCACCGGCTACACCGGGCAGTACTGCGAGCGGTAAGGACGTTGACTCGTCACCCGGCGTCGTGCGCGTCGCGTCGCTTTTGCGATTGCTGGATTTGGTGACCGTTTGTGTTACGGTCCAAACGTCGTGAGAATTTTATAGTTTTATAAATATATTTAATTATTTTATTGTTTCCCTTCAACGTGACTTTACCGAAAGAGCTAAGGATATGTCGACTCGCGATCGAACGACCGGTGGGCACGGTCCGCGATTTTTCCATTCGCGACGCTCTTGAAAAGTTTTTGGGATCCAAAAAAGAAATTCGGTGTAAAACACAGTGTCGTCGTGGTCACGTTTTTTTTCTACTTCAGCGCCAAATTGCTTGCTTTAAAAAAAAAACAGGACACGGCACCAACATATGCCACCTTATTTCCCAGTAAACCGACTTGGGCCGCCAACAGATTTCCTCTCATTCGCTGTCGTTTCTCCCCCCACCACCCACCCACCCACCCTGCTCCAGGTGCTCTCCCGGTTACTACGGCAACCCGTCGTTGCCCGGCGAGCCCTGCCGGCCCTGCGGTTGCCACGGCGACGGGTCCCTGGGTGGCGAGTGCCATCACGCGACGGGGCAGTGCGCGTGCCTGCCGGGCGTGATGGGCCGTGCGTGCGATCAGTGCCAGCCCAGACACGTGCTGGTCAACAAGAACTGCCTGTGTACGGTCCTCACCACTGCCACCAGAGGGCAGCACAACGTGGGACCTTTCTTTGGCCAGTATCGAAATAAAACGATTGGTTTTTACCCCTTTCTGGCAATTAAAAAAAAAGGTGTTAAGATGTTAAAACACCAAACGGAATCCGTTTTTTTTCAAGGAATCATTTTTTCAAGGAATCAAAAAAAGCTGTCTCTGGCGTGGACCAATCAGTTTTAAAGACGATGCATATATTACACGATGTAACACAATTTTTGTTCCTGGGTAGTAAGTGTTATTTCGTAATATACTGGCCTTTGAACACCGCTACCAAGGACAGTATAACCAGAACATGATGGGAGACTACATTTGGGGGCTGATTCGTGAAAGTGATTTACAGTATAATCGTAAATCTCGAAGAACTACTCACTTCTAAATCTTTTGTGGTAATTTTTGTATTACTTAAGTATAAATATAGATGTTAATTTTGATTCATATGTTGTTTTTTTCTGACTTTACGTGAACGAAAAGACACATTCGCCCGTTTTCTCATTGAAAATAGGTAAATTTCAAAATATCACTGTCCTGGTCACAAAAGCAAAGGTTGTGGGGAATAATAGCCATTTTCTGTACCGTTGAGACATAAGCAATTAGGAAATAACACTTACTACCCAGAAACAAAAAAAAAATGTTACACAGTGTTATCAGAGCATGATTTTTGTTTGCATGTTCACCACAAGTGCGTGTGGTTAGTGCATACAGGATTCGTTGAAAAAAGGATTATGTTTGGTGTTTTAACATCTTAACACCCTTTCTATTGCCAGATAGGGGCAGCACTTCAGCTCCAGAACACCACGGCCAGTGTTAATTCAGTCGGCATTTTATTTACGCTAATTTTAGTTCCCGTCCTAGTTTGGTTGACGACCACCTGTTGAGTTTTAGTTAAGCCTGAGAGTGCGTGGATTTCATTTGGATGCTCTCTTTGTCAAACACTTAGTCTGCCTTGAGTCGGTGAACTTAATGTAATTTCATCCAATCGGTAAACTCTGTAAATTTGTATATAAATATATGAGGCCAATTGCCATTTTTGTTTTTCTTGAATACACTGCGGTCTTGAATACCATAACTAAGTTATCTTAATCGGCATCTTCATTGAGACTCGCTAATTTAATCTCATAGTTGGTGACCCTTGTGGTGAGTAGTCATAGCTATCGTCATGCTGCATGATTTTCATGCACCCCCATAGTCATCGTTGATGAAAATAAGAACTTGTGTAAATTCATATTTTCGTCACTAATTTCAGGAACAAAATTAACCCTGTTAATCCTGCACTTACAACTAGAGCCAGCGGTGGTAAATCTTTCAATGATGGATGCCTTATTATTCACGATGCAATGTTAAAACACCTATTCAATTCCAACTCCTGGCTCTTGGCTTATAAGTTTAAATATTAATCTGCAGTCTGAACAAAACTCATTTTGTATTTCTGTGGTGGATTGAGTTATAAATTGATAAACAAGGGTCGGCCTCTCTGCACAAATTTAAAAATCAAATTTTCGTTCAATCAACGTATGGGCCCGTGTGGTCCTGACTGGGCCCATATCTTGAAACATTTCGTTTTATTTAGCGTAGTGAAACACACATCCACGTATATTTATTAGCTTGTAGTTCGAACAGCTCTGCCTGTTAATCAGCAGTGGGACTGCTGAGTTAGAAATCCAAGTACATTCACTGTGGACCATCTGGCACCCATCACACGGACATGTTTTACATTGCTGGGAAGCATGCCCTGGCTTGAATACCGCTGGATTTGCTCTTGATTAACTTTATTAGTCATGCAGCTTAGAATATTTTATTTTTCTACCTACGTGACTTTACTGAAAGAACCAAAGAGTTTAGAATCTAACCTATAAAACATGCAGGTGTGGGCTTACAAAGTAGCACGCATTTCTTCAAATGCCTTTGCAAATGGTATAATACTGTTATGGGTAGTGTTTGTAATTTGCGTCGCATTTTACATTTATGTTGCACGAGTCACTGCTTCTGCATCGCCAACCATCTTCCTCCAGCCTGTAATGACGACTGCACGGGCTTGCTTCTCAACGACCTGGATGTGCTTGCTGTGAGCGTGATGTCCGTCAACCTCACCGGCCTCATCCCTGCTCCGTACTCACGACTCGAAGAGTTCGCGAACATGACCCGAACACTCGGGGCAAGTGTGGTCATGATATGTGGTGCCACTAAATGTACCTCACTTATCCAGTTCACTTTGTTCTGTTAAAACATTGATATTGTTTGCAATGTTTGAAAGTTTTAAATTGTCTTTTTTTTGTTTATATATGAACAGATGCCATATGGTATTATTAACAATTTATACATCTACTTGCAGGATCAGCTTAAATCACAGAAGCCACCTTCCCAGATGACAGATGCTGCTACTCGGGGAGTGGCTGATGTTATCGGAGAGATCGATGCCTTTGATAGCCGGGTGAGTTCGCTGATGGCGTTTGACCTGTTGGCCGTAATTAGACTTTTATACATTATTCACCATTACTCTCTAGCAGGGCACTTGGCTAAATCACTTGAAAAACCCACTCAATAATGCACGCTATTATATATACAGTGAGGGAAAATAGTATTTGATCCCCTGCTGATTTTGTACGTTTGCCCACTGACAAAGAAATGATCAGTCTATAATTTTAACGGTAGGTTTATTTGAACAGTGAGAGACAGAATAACAACAACAAAATCCAGAAAAACGCATGTCAAAAATGTTATGAATTGATTTGCATTTTAATGAGGGAAATACATATTTGACCCTTCTGCAAAACATGACTTAGTACTTGGTGGCAAAACCCTTGTTGGCAATCACAGAGGTCAGACGTTTCTTGTAGTTGGCCACCAGGTTTGCACACATCTCAGGAGGGATTTTGTCCCACTCCTCTTTGCAGATCTTCTCCAAGTCATTAAGGTTTCGAGGCTGACGTTTGGCAACTCGAACCTTCAGCTCCCTCCACAGATTCTCTATGGGATTAAGGTCTGGAGACTGGCTAGGCCACTCCAGGACCTTAATGTGCGTCTTCTTGAGCCACTCCTTTGTTGCCTTGGCAACAAAGGAGTGGCTCAAACCTACCATTAAAATTATAGACTGATCATTTCTTTGTCAGTGGGCAAACGTACAAAATCAGCAGGTGATCAAATACTTTCTTTCCCTCACTGTATACACTTAATACTGCCCACAGACTGATCACGTATATCGAGCAATTTTATTTTCAATATGTAGGATTGAATTTTGATTTAAAGCTTTCGTGACTGCAGTAATTCATATTCTTAGTTTTTTCGGTAAAGTCACGTTGAAGAGAAACAACAAAATATATATAAAACAATAAAAAAATTCTCACGACGTTTCGACCATAACTCAAACGGTCATCATCAGGTGTGTTGGTCCTGGGCAAACTGCCAAATCGCTGCGCGTGACGCCAACGTTTTTTATAAATAAATAAATGTGCCGTTTAAAAATAAATTTATGCAAACCAACACACCTGATGATGACCGTTTGAGTTATGGTCGAAACGTCGTGAGAATTTTTTATTGTTTTATATATATTGTTATTTTGTTGTTTCTCTTCAACGTGACTTTACCGAAAAAACTAAGAATATGTAGGATTGGTTGAATTATTATATTAAATTTTTGGTGAAAATAATTACAGTGGCAAATGATCAAACCTTAAAGCATTTTGATGTTTCAGATGTTTCAAAATAATGACGTGACATACAGAGGTGATTTTGTCTTCATAGCTATACCTTTATATTGGTTGTATAGATACCCATGAATGATTGATTGGCTTTAAAGCAGGTAAAAGTTTGTTGAGAATGGGCAGGTGCTCTGAATCACCCCTGCCATTCTCTCCCCAGCCGTACCAAAGAGGTGTCCCAGAGTTAAGTCATTTGGAAAGGTGTGTGGTGGGGTAAAGTGTGGGTTCTTCTACCTCATCCAAGATGTCTGGCCTGCTTCACGGAGGAGGCCAAAATACCATCTAGAGGGGGCTCCCCAGAGCTCTCTTTAGCGGAGGCCGTACTGGCAGCGGTGGCGTGAGCAAGCAATAGCAGGGCTGCACCTTCAACGTATCTGCACAGAAGCCAATATCATCGCTCCAGCGATATATATCTACATTTCGGGGATAAGCAAAGCCCCCCCCCCCACCACTGAATCAATGCACGTGGTCTGCAGGCCACACGGGTGCTGGAGGAGGCGCGTGCGACCGAGCAGCAGCTGCGTGAGACGCAGGAGCGCGCTGGCGCACTGCTGGCGAGCGTACGCAGCGCCTTGAACGCCGCTCTGGGTAACGCGCAGACGCATACGCACGCATGTACGCACTCAAGCACGCAGGCATACCAGGGTCAGCCCACTGCCCGACATCCTACCAGCCTTGTATGCATGTGCGTTGGACTTCTTTCGCACCGTATTTAGCCAACCATTCTCATCGAAGGTGCGGGGAAAGGACAACAAACTGAACACAAGAATCAGTTCTAAAGAAATTAGTTTTCAATCTAGATTTAAAAGTGGCTTCCTAATATTGGAAGGGAAGAGCGTTCTAGACGGCCACCGAAGCACATTTCAAAAGAGCGCGAAGCAGTGACCATCTTTGTTCGATGGCACAGTAGCAACGACATATCCTTAGCAGTGACATTGCAGGACATTGGCAATCGCGGTAAAAGCTTCGAACCCCAAGCAGCTCAATGAGCCCCAAATTCATGAAAAAATAAATGAGATGGACCTGATGTCAGCGAACATTCAGATCCTCAAGAAAGGTATTATAAAAGTAAATTAATCAGCAAATGTTTTCTCTTACATGACTACATTTCAGTCTCTTGTCTACTTTCTCTCCATTGAAAACGAATTTCTTTAGAACTGCTTTTCGTGTTTAGTTTGTTGTCCTTCCCCTGACCTCTGATTAGCACAATTGGCTACGTACGGTGCGAAAGAAGTTCAACATACACACACACATTCCTTTCCACCCAAAATCATAAATGGGTACCACAGTGAGTCAATTGGCAGGTCGCTCGTGGTGGGGGTAAAGTTACTTGCATATTCACTTCCTACAAGACACCTGGCCAGCATGCAAAGAGTAGACCAAATACCCTCGGCAGCCGTGGGCTCTCTCTCTCGAGCGCTCCTACTAGTTGGGGGCCCTTTTGCCAGCGGTGGCCGTGAGCAAACAATTTCAGGGCTGCTACTTCACCTCCATCACCGGTGCTTTTTTTGCACATTCCTACCGCAGAGCTGGTGGGGAACGTGAGCCGTCTGCGCGAGCTGGCGGTAGGCGGCGAGGATGGCGGCGGCACGGTGCCGCGGGCGTTCGCCGACATGGAGCACCTCGTCGCTCAGATCCGCGCCGTCAGCCTGGCCCGGCAGCGCGACGTCGCCAACAAGGAGCTCGGGTCAGCAGGACGGTCCTTCCCCCCCCCCACCCACCTGCCCCCAACTGCTATGCATAAGACAAAGATCCCCCGTATAGCCTTGACAGACTGTTGGGGCAAGTGCTGTTAGCGAGCAACTTTGAGTGCCGGCACGGCACACACGAGGGGGTGGGTGGCCAGCGCCACGCCCGGCCGCCTTTGTCTCCCCAGTGACGAAGTTTTTACACATTGCACCAGGTACTCGATTGAGGCTGCGTTGAACTAGGGAAGGCCCAGGACCGATTCAGATAATCGTCACTGGTTTTGGCCATCAGCGGGTTCATAGCACGGCGCGCTAACCGCTACACTACCACTCCCCCATTAATGCACGTCCTTATGCATGGGCACATAAGGACGTGCATTAATTCAGCGCTTACGTGCAATACGACGTCTCTGCGCGTGCTTCTTACTTTCCCAGCATTGTGTTTACAGACCGCGGTTCTCAATGGCGGAGCCAGGATTTTCAGGTAGGGGGGGGGCAACCCCTCCAGCAATGAAAAATAATAGGAGTTGTTAGTAAGTAAAGAGCTGTTAGTAAGTAAGGAGTTGTTAGTAAGTAAGGAGTTGTTAGTAAGTAAGGAGCTGTTAGTAAGTAAGGAGTTGTTAGTAAGTAAGGACTTGTCCCTTGCTTTTTATTCGACGCGTGTGCGGTGATGGCGCGGCCATCGATCGAGGTGTCGAATTCGAACCGCGTTGTGTGATCGGCATCGCGCTCGCTAAAGGTTTTGATGCCTTCAGGGAAGTCGTGTGCTGTATACGCAACTGCGCACAATTCTGTGAGTCTATTATAACTGCTTTGTCGTTACTTATTGGCAATTATGGACTCAGACTATTGTCCTATCATCTCATAGAGTCCCTGGCAAGTAATAATATGCTACACAGTGGCAGTGGGGGTCGCAAAATTCCGATTTATTACTAATAAACCCCAATGATTCGATCGAAATTAGGGATTTCGCACGAATCATTGAGGGGGGGGGGGTGGGGGGGGCACGTGCCACCACCCCCCCCCCCCCCCCCCCATTGGCTCTGCCAGTGGCGGTTCTTACTCGGACTCTCTGCGCTCCCCGTGCCAAACATCTCATTCACTGCTTTCCGACTGGCAAGTACGTGCCGTCTCCATTCGGTACAATCTCTTCTGACTTTCTAATATGTTTGTCTCTGCCTCTGCCCACCCCTCTGCCACGTTGCCAGGGCTCTTCCCCGCCGTGTGTTTACATACGAGGGCCGTTCCCACGTGGCTCACTTCATCACTTCATAGGATGTGTTTGATCCATGTCCAACATCTTTTTTCCATTGTGCGTGATACGTTTATAAACAAGGTTCTGTATTTTTTCGCATGAAAATAGAATAAAATTATGCTTTGGGACAATAGTTTCCAACAGGCTGATAGACCCTGTGGTAATATGCCATGATTATCAGATATCTAGATATGTGACTCTCTTTCAGTAATCTCTCTGCTCGGAGGACAAAATTACTAAATTCATGAAAAATCTGAGCAAATAATTGTGCCATTTCAGCTGGCATATTGCAGTGTATCATTGTTGAGTCACGATAGCGCATTCTGCAGCACTTAGCATTGGCAAAAAAGTAGGTGTTTATAGCCGACATAATTAAATAACATCTGTGCAAAACACCAACATGTACAGCTCTAGGAATAGGTTTTACCCTTTTAACTGGCACAAAAACTGACACCTTTATTCAAGGCATCACGTTTGCAATAACCACAACACAAGCAGTCAAAATGCAAACAAAAAAGACAACTCTGATAATAATATGCACTGTCCTTGAATTTGATTGGTCCACACCCCAGATGGCTTTTCTTAGAGCCTAGTCTCCATTGGTGTTGGACCAAAAGACGCCAAAAGGCGTACAACTCAAAAACAGCGCACTATCAGAGTATTGAGGGCTCGGGGTGAGCATTTACATGATGCCTTGAATAAAGGTGTCAGTTTTGTGCCAGTTAAAAGGGTAAAACCTATTCCTATATCTTGTTACTGGCAAAGGAGGTCTCATAATGTACAGCTCTCCGGTATGTTTTTGAGTTTCACTGCATGTTGTTTGGCGCACTGTTCAACATTCTGCGCTGTGGGCTGGGAGCTTCTTCAGGAACTGCCCAACAATGCATTGTCTGAAGAAGCTCCCAACATGCGGAGTGAAACGCTGGACATCGTGCCGAACAATACGCGGCACAACCCGAAATAGCATTGGAGGTCGAGACGGCGCAACCGTGAGAAATTTCGCGATGGCTTTTTTTCTTGGTTTTGATGGTGTTCTTTGCACAGGAAATCCAGAGAGCTGCTTGACAAGGTGAAGCAGGCCTTTGAGCAGCCTCGTCAGGCAAACGAGGGCTTGGCCCAGGACGTGTCGGACCTGCTGTGGGAGGTCTTCAACCGCCTGTCGGACCTGCAGAGGATCCTGAACGAGGCCAAGGAAGCCACCACCATGGCCGATGAACTCAACCAGAGCAACAACAAAAGCCTGGTCGAGCTGAAGGTGATCCACCTACCTATGCGTAATACATGCCATCTGTATTGCCACAGTAATTGAGCATGCGAAGATGCATTGATTCGTCAATTACAATGTATTATTACGGTCACAATACATTATTGAGTCGTGCCTGCCATAATATCTGATTTTAATTTGGTATATATTGTAAGTGACGTTTGGTGGTGGTGGAGAGCGGTAGTGTAGCGGTTAGCACGCTGCGCTATGAACCCGGCGACCCGAGTTTGATTCCCGCTCATGGCCAACACCCAGTGGCAATTATCTGAACCAGTCCTGGGCCTCCCCTAGGTCGACTAAGTCTTAAATGAGTACCTGGTGTGGTGTGTAAACATCTCCAGAAGGGATACAAAGGCGATCGGGTGTCGTGCTGGCCACCCACCCCCTCGTGTGCCGTGCTAGCCTTCATAGGTGATCGCTAACAGCACTTGCCCCAACAGTCTGTTAATGCTATACAGGAGATCTTCATCTTTTATAGTGGCTAGTGCGTTGTGCTTGAACCCACCTACCTGAGTTTAATTTCTGCCCATGACTATCGCATCATTTGTGAGTGATATCAGCATTGGTCCTTTCTCTCCCCCCCCCCTTCACCACACCTGCACTGACCATTATGGTTATGTACAGTCAAAAAGCCCCATGAGTTATACAGTATAGGGATTCCTTCATAATTTGGTGGACTAAGTGGCTGGATGTTAGTCATGTTTTTGTGTATGTTGTATGTAATTGATTTCTTCAATTTATGCAGCCACTAGTGGCCCTACATTCACCACAATTTCAACAATAAGAAAACATTATTGAAGCAATTTGTTTACAATTCACTAAATCATGACCAGGGTGAATAGTCGTGTGCCCAAAAGTTATGAACACTTTTTTTTGGACGTGATACGCGCAGAACTAATACCATGATTATTCTCTCTGCAGGATAAAAGTTCAACGCTTGAAAGAAATTTGAATTCGACCAAGGAGATGATTTCCCAGGGGGAGAAGATTCTCGGCAACGTCAAGCAAACAATTCATGAAATTGATAAGCTGCTTAAGGTAAAATTTTGTTAAAATTACGCCCATCGCACTGCAATTTGAATCCATAAAACACCTACGTTCGACTGCATCTCAAGGTTCTATTCGCCAGGAAATATAAACACATTATGAGAATGTCAGGGAAGATCTGGCATGTTTGCTATACTATGCTTTTTTTATCTTGAATTTCATTCCAACATTTGCAATATGATTGTGGACCATGTATAACCGCTCGTACCTTGTAAATTTGGGTGCTCCTATAGTGCAAAGGCTGGCTCACATAGGTGGTCTGTTCAACCGGCTCACGCGGCAGCTCAAACAGTGGCACAAGTTTCATAACCCCCCCCCCCCCCCTGCCATTACTCTGTACACCCAGCAGTATGAACAGGCACACTGCAGTTTGTCGATCCTGCGGTACGTATGTTTTGTTGAACTTCTTTCGCACCGTACGTAGCCAACCGAGCTAATCGGAGGTGCCGAGGAAGGAAAACAACCAAAAAACAAAAAGCAGGTCTAAATAAATTAAATTTCAATCTAGATGTCTACAGCTCCAGTGGCTTCCTAATATCGGAAGGACGAGCATTCCAGACGGCCGCAAAAGCGCATCTGAAAGTGCGCATTGCAGTGACCGTCTTTGTTCGATGGCCAGCCAAAAACCGCTGCGAGGATGAGGGGGGTTTGCGTGATGGTTTGTGCTCCTTGACCAGATCAGCAAGATATTGTGGTTTATTCGTGGCAAGCACTCTGTGTGTACTGAAGGTCATGTGTGGTGTTGGTAATTCCATCTTCCAATTATTTATGGCCAGTGTGGAAGAGTAGACCAAATACCTTCCACCATCAGTGGCCTAAGAAAGTAATTTAAAGGCTGCACTTTTAACATTCACAGTGTTTATATTTCGTTATACGTCTAGCATTTACTGTAGAACTGTGGACCATACTTTAACTATTGTGTACATCATACTTTATATTGTATATATTTCCTGCGTGACATATTTGTTTAATTGTTTGGCCCAAAATGAGGCCTTTCCTTGATTTTCCAGGTGGCTCCCATTATGAAGATGTAATACTGTACAGCAATTGTGATTTGTCCGGAAACTACTAAATTATTATTACGTGAACTGTTTCAGCTGTCTTTGATGTCAGCTATTATTATTTTGAGTATATTGTTTCGCAAAAACATGTAACTGACAATTGTTGTATATGTGTACATTTCATTACGAGTTACTCCCACCACAATCTATCAGTTTATCAATCAAATTAATCATATCATCATAACAAACACATTTATTTATATGTATTTGAACAGTAATTGCCAAATTGGGAAGATATTGAACTAGAAAACACCCATGGACTTCAACAGTATAAGATTCTGCGTCTTGCCCTTTGAAATACTCGCCTGCAAACATGAACATACAAAGACAAAATGAAGATCCCCGTAGAGCCTTAACACACTGTTGGGAGCAAGTGCTGTTAGCGTGCCCCCATGTGTCTTTAACATACGCACATGTACTCGCGCGCACACACACACATGTCGTCATCACTATTTATCAGCCATGATCTATCGACTGCTGGATGAAGGCCTCCCCAAGCCATCGCCAGCTGTTGGGGTTTTGCAACATAACCTAGCACCTGCAGATGAATTGATGTCTTTACTCAATTGCTTTCGTCAGATGTCCTCTGTTCTCTCCATTGGTCTTCTCTCCTTTAGTTGCCACTTCCATCGTTACCCTCAAGGACTAGCTATCATCCCTTCTCATGAATCGTTCTACTTAAGCTCACTTACGTTTTTTTTGTCTCAGTCCATACGATGCCTCTAACTCGTGTGTATTATCTAATCCACGTATTCCTCTTTCTGTCTCTCAATCTATTTCCAAGCACGCATCTCACCCACACACATATACACAAATGCACATGTATGTATAATACAAGGTGTTTAAAAAAGATGAACCCGATTTGAAATCGCTATATCGCTGCAACCACGAACCGCCCATGAATTTAACTCTTACCACTTGAAAAGGCGGGGCATAGAGTTTCAAATTATTACCGCCAGATGCCTCTCCCAGCACACAAACAGCCCCTAGCCTCAGTCAAGGCAAGTTCTCGGCTGGCACGACGAGTGGACTTGCACGGGCTACGCAGAAAACTCTCTTGAATTCTTCTCACGTTTTCCTCTGAGGTGCGCGGTCACGCTGTGCTCTTCCCCTTACATAAACAACAGCCCGCTTCCTCAAATTGTCGGTACCAACGACGAATGCTCTTTGACATTGGTGGATCAATGCCAAAATGCCGTTGAAACGCACGCTGCACCGCAATTACGGATTCAGTCTTGCTGAACTGCAGAACGCAAAATGCCCCTTGTGTTGCGGGGTCACCATCTTGCGAATGACTGAGGCTAGGGGCTGTTTGTGCGCTGGGAGAGGCATCTAGCGATAATCATTTGAAACTCGGTGCCCCGCCCTTTCAAGTGGTAAGAGTTTCATTCATGGGCGGTACGTGGTTGCAGAGATATAGCGATTTCAAATCGGGTCAATCCTTTTTAAACACCCTGTATTTATAAAATGCATAATATCTATATTGTATATATAGATCCCCTCTATAGTCTTAACAGACTGTTGGGACAAGTGAAGCAATTGGCGGGACCCTGGGGTCCCATCACTGCCCCGGGTGAGAAAAACCGCCTAGCAACACGAGTCTCGCCTTACCGACAACAAAACTAGCGTCACTCGATTGGCCTCGTCGAGAGCTACTCGGGGCACTAAGTTTCGTAAAAAGTTGAAAAATTACATAAACACGTTAAATTCACTGCGGGGGCGGGCTCGCCTTGGCAAAGAAGCTGAGGATCGACGGCTGATCGGAGGGCGTTGTCGCCGCGAGCGACTGCGGCGGACGCCCCCCGGGGCTTGCGTTTGGCCGGTGGGGTGGCGCCCATTGTGTTGATCGCCGCTTGCTGCCGGCGCTTGTTGGCGCGAGTCTGGGCGGGCGGCACGTTGCTGTCGTCGTCCAACTCGGCAACGAGATTGGGCGGGATGGCTGGATAGTAGTCGAGGCAATCGGCGGGGATCGAAAAGTACTTCTTGGCGAGCGACTTGAGCTTCTTCGTGGTGATGGTGCCAAGAGGCGCCGTCTGCAGCACGACGGGAAGCTTTTGTGTGCGGCTCGGTGGATAGACGTGACGCTGGGGCTGAAGAGATCGCCGAGGTGCGCCTTGCGGGATCGCGAGTGGGCGGACTGAAAAATAAGAATTATTGACCTGATTTTTGCGGGACCCCGGGGTCCCGCAAAATGATTCAAGTGATGTTAACGAGCATCTGTCAAGGCCGGCACGGCTCATGAGGGGATGGGTGGCCAGCACCGTGCCCGGCTACCTTTGTCTCGTAAGTGGCGATGTTTACACACAGCTCCAGGTACTCATTTGAGGCTGAGTCTACCTAGGGGGGAGTCCCAGGACCAGTTAAAATATATCCCACTTGTTAGCGGTCGTGGGCCGGAATCGAACCGGGGTCGCTGGGTTCGTAGCGAAGTGCGGGTAACAACATTACTTCACCGCTCAAACACACACACTCGCACGTACGCTGACATTACCCACATTCTGTGTACAGATAGAACTGTTAACGCGCACGCGGTGCATTTCGCACGCCTTCCCGACGCAGCAAGCGGAGCTCGACCAGGAGCGTCTGGACACGGCGGCGCCCAAACTGCGGGACCGCGTGGACGCGACGGTGATGGCGCTGCGCGAGAAGGGGCTCATCGAGCTCGTGTTCCGCGCGGAGAACCACTCGGCCGCCATGCAGGCACTGGCCGCACAGCTTTCCCGGTGAGCCGGGCCACGTAGCCTGTGTTGCTAGGCCTCACCCGCCCAACGCCGCGCTCCTTTCGTGGTCGTTAGCGGCTTTTTTTTTTTGCTGTCGTCATAGTCGCGAGACGATATAACGTGCATTGATGTCCCGGTTTACGTCGGGGGTTTGCCTTCCTGAAAAGTTCCGACGACGATTGTCGAAAACGAGGTGCAATCGAAGCGATTTGCAAGGTAAGGTGGAAGCAAATGCCGAGGCAACGGATAACAAAAAAAGGACAGACGATGCCGCCGTCGGCGACGTGGGTGTGGGGTTGAGGCGACGCAAATCGGGTCGTGGTGTGAATAAAGTGGCGACGTATTTGTGAGAAACGATGTAAACAAAGGGGGGGACGTACATTGGGGTATTACCGCTTTTGGAACTCTCGCAGAGCAGTTGCATGCGCGCCGTGCGGCTTAGAGAATGAAAGATGTGGAACAATTTCTTCTGAGACCTATTCAAGTGAACCTTATGGCGGTACCCTGGGGTACCATAGTACCCCGGCTCTCGCACAATGTCCGTGATGCAGTCATTTTTAGTCTGTTGATGGTCGGCGATGCGGCAATCGACTCATCTCGACGAGCCGTACACGATGCACCACCACGGTGCGTACGAGCGTTCAGGGTTTCAGCGCGATCGCCCTCGCTGCGTTTCGACATCGCGGAGTAGCACCACCGATTTCGGATTGATTGGTACCCCAGTCGCGGAGTTAAGTAACACCCCTGGAAATAATAGTGTCCTAGAAATAAAATACTGAATTGTGCTCTCGCACAATGTCCGTGATGCAGTCATTTTTAGTCTGTTGATGGTCGGCGATGCGGCAATCGACTCATCTCGACGAGCCGTACACGATGCACCACCACGGTGCGTACGAGCGTTCAGGGTTTCAGCGCGATCGCCCTCGCTGCGTTTCGACATCGCGGAGTAGCACCACCGATTTCGGATTGATTGGTACCCCAGTCGCGGAGTTAAGTAACACCCCTGGAAATAATAGTGTCCTAGAAATAAAATACTGAATTTGCCTCGGCCATTTTGTATTATTTGGTACCCCGGGGTACCGCCATAAGGATCACGTGATCCTTTGTTATAGACACACAGGGGTGGGTGGGTGGGGGGGGGAGGTAGCGCTTTCCCACATGTGAGACGTGTACATGTCTGGCTGCAATAGCTGCAGGTAACAGCAACGACTGGCGAGCATAAGTGGTCGTAACCATTGGCTATAATGTTCTGGGTTAGGTCACGTAAGAATAAATGCGGTGTTAAAATCCGCCACCACCTGACACAGCCAATTTAGTAGGGTCCATCACGTAAACAAAACGTGCCAATTAGTTATGAGTTCAGCACACCAATTTCTAGTACGACGTTTCGCTGATAATTACAACCAGCTTCACCAAGCGACAGCCAGAATTGCGGAGAAATCCTCCTGTTTCGGTCTTAGAGGGGTAGATGTGATGACGTCACTCGTGGCCAAGTCAGGTGCGAAGACCAGAGGGAGGCGGGCGGGGGGGTCGCGGGGGGTTAATGTCGTCATTTAAATTGCAATGGATATATATTAATGGTTGAATTATACACACTCTTTGGTTCTATTCGGTAAAGTCACGAATAGAACCAAAGAGTATGGATCCTTGCAGTCACGAAAGCTTTAAACCTAGAATTTAATTATACGCAGTTAGATTCAACATACATCATTTATGTGCATTAATAACCATTTACGTTTCCACTTTACTGGTTTGTGGCGTTTAAGCGGTGGAACAGCGGTCGGCACATTGCTGCTATGAGCTCAGCCTTTTGAGTAACATTTTCTGCTACGGCTCACATCTGTGGCGAGTGATATCTAAACTTGTTCTGGCTCCCAGTTCAGGCAGGCGATTGAGCTCCAACTCCAGCTTCCTAATTTGCATGTTATGTTATGTAAGCAGTGAATTGATTAATCAATGGGAAAGCAGAGCCACATTTTAACGAAATGCACCGGTTGGTTGCTCGCTAGGCCGTTGCCAACCTCTTCCCCCCGTAGGGGCTGCATGCTTTTTGCTTCGGCTGCGAGACGCCAAGTGGCAGGAGGTCACTGCGTGCCCACCTTAACTGGGACCAACATTTTGCCACTTCACCTGTAGTTGTTTTCAACAAGTGTCAAATTATACTAAACCGTGCTCGATCGGTCATCGTTCCTTCCGAAAAAGAACATGCTCTGGCCATGTCTGACCACCCCCCCCCCTCCCCGGCATTTGAAGATATGAAGTGTGGATGGGTGATACAGTAACTGTGGCGGCTCTGTAACTCGCACAAATGCGGTGCACCTGGCCGTGCTAAGCCTTTGCTTTCATCTATCGCCATCGCACTTATTGCAAATTGTGTAACAACCCATTTGCACAGAAAAAGCTCAGGATAATTCTAGCCATCTCACTTTGGTACTTATTTTGCCAAGAGTTGCGCACCCTGTAATAACAGAGTTTCGAATTATTTTAAAGCATTGTAAATTATAATACAGCTTTCATTAGCAATTTTCAGGGATCACATCTGCAGCTGCTTCTGTTGGGATAATTTTCTTATATGCGGAGTATTGTTAACAGGTTGGCACAACTGTTATTTCCTGTCTGGTCCTGTGATGCAGGTCTGCTACAGGCTACTCATCCCATAATTAATTGTACTGAGGCTGAGGGGCGGGGAAGAGTAGCCTGACTATGGAGGACACCTGAAATTACTGTCGAAATTCTAATATTGAAATCCATTCGTAATGGAAACTTTGGTTTTCACATAATACCACCACAAAATTAAACGTACATACATATTTATACCTACAGGTTTCCCTCGCTTTATGCAGGTTCGGTTTGTGAGACGTTGCGAATATTTCTACCCAAAATTCACCCTGCGGTTTGAATTCACTCGCACGTGGCTACGCGGTCGGACGCGAGACAAAGTTGTCCATGCACTGCGTGCGCTACTCGGCAGGCAGCTGTCTCGTGCGGTTTCGCTTTGTGCACCCGTTTTTTTGGAACGCATCTACCGCATACAGCGAGGGGAAATCTGTTTGTATATATATAAGATGCTAACCTCAATTTTAATCAATAGCGCCACCGAATTTTAGGAACTGGAGGTTAGAGAGTGCGCTGCATTTATATGGGGCAATTCCAAAGCAATGTGTTTTCGCCTGTGGTTTCCAATCTCAGCACATACTCCCGAGCTTATGGTGATTTCCTGACACTTGCTTTAGAAAGAGCTCATATATGTTCCTATTTTCTCCATGCACCCCCCCCCCCCTTTTTTTTTACAGCATTCTTGATGAGACAAAGAACCAGACATTTGATGCGACAACTGCTCTGAATGCGTACGGGGCCATTGTTCAGGCGGTGGCAGACGCGGAGGAAACTGCTCAACAGGCCGACAGCGTGGCCGGCGAGGCGCTTGCTCAGGTGGGGTCATGTCGCAACTCGTCAAACACCCCGTGATTACGGCCGGAGCGGTGTTAGATCGCTCCCGCCGTTCGTTTCTCGCCGCATGTTGCAATGCGGTACGAATCCAATTTAAAAACGTGCGTGCGTTATTGACAGGGGTTGGGGGGGGGGGGGTGAGGCCCTTTTCCGACGGTCGTGTTTTGTTCGATGGTTAGGCCGCGGGTCCCTCTGGCTCCCTGGAGCAGGCTGGGAGGGCGTCCCTGCAGCTGAGCAGTGAGCTGCTCCGAGAGACGAAGGACCTCAATGACAAGGCCACCGGTAAACCTGCACGTGCTGAACACTCCTGCCCACTGGATGGTGCGTGTTTATTACGCGCTAAAATGCTCAACCACTAAATTGCAGTAACTTGTTTCATGTAGTTTTTCAAATTTGTGCTTAAGATTATTGGGTTTCTTTGTTAAAGCGTTAGCTTCAACACGGTGATTATGCATGTCACCAGCATTGTAAATGTGTGTACACCGCAAGTTAGTTAATCAGCAGGTCGTGTGTGCTGGGCCAATGTGGGGATATCCCCACGTCTTCCAAGACACCTGGCCAGCGTGGAATGGTAGGCCAAATTGCCTTCTTGAGTTTCTCTCCAGAGTGTCCTTCTAAAGAGACTACATCTTTACCGTTAAAGTAGTATGCATGTAACACCGATGTCATCAATGGTGTAATCGTGCTACCGGTCAAGTATCGCCGTGCTTAGGGCGTGAAGCTCGTAGTTGAAAGGCTGAGAATCAAAATGGCGGTTGGATGTTCACGTGCCGCTTCCTCTGTCCGATCGATCAAATGATAGAATCTCTATAGAAAGAGAAAACTGGCTGCACTTTGGAATAACTTTACCCCTGCCATACAAATACGGAATTTCCATCACGGGCTAAGGGCTATTAAAAAAAAAAAGAGATTACCAAATCCCAACCGTCATTTCTTCAGGGGCACTGTACTGATTGCATTCGATGCTGTGATTCTAATCCTCCATTGCCTCTTCTGCGTGTCGTCGTCTGGGCCACCGGTTTAGGCTTTTCCGACCGCCTGGCGGCCATTAAAATGCAGGTGACAAACGGCGAGGACAAGACCAAGGCTCTCGCGCGACAGCTGGCCTCCGCGCTGGCCTCTCTGGCCTCGCTGCCTAATGGTGCGTTTTTCACCAAGACGCGCACACCCAACGCGAACGTGTCCCGTGCCATATCTTACTACCGCTGTTACCGCTGCGTGAGTGCTCGTCGTTGTGCTCTACAGCTCTCTGGTCTCGGCTTGTCTAGATTTTTTAATAGCACCTTGTTCCGAGGCGCTCTACGCACAATTACAAAATTGTACACGAGATGAAAGTGGTTGAGATAGAGTGGGGTTGTTGTTACGAGTGGTGGTGTCGTCATGGTGACAGGTAGGAGAACTGGCAGGAGGGGTTGGGGTAGTGATAGGGGTTGGGATAGTGAAAGGGGTGGTGATAGGGGTTGGGATAGTAATAGGGGTTGGGATAGTGATAGGGGTTGGGATAGTGAAAGGGGTGGTGATAAGGGGTGGTGATAGGGGTTGGGATAGTGATAGGGGTAGTGAAAGGGGTTGGGATAGTGATAGGGGTTGGGATAGTGATAGGGGTGGTGATAGGGGTAGGAGTAGTGATAAGGGTAGTGATAGGGGTTGGAGTAGTGATAGGGGTAGTGAAAGGGGTTGGGATAGTGATAGGGGTTGGGGTAGTGATAGGGGTGGTGATAGGGGTAGGGGTAGTGATAGGGGTAGGGGTAGTGATAGAGGTTGGGGTAGTGATAGGGGTTGGGGTGATGATAGGGGTAGGGCTAGGGCTAGTGGTGTATGGTTGGTCGTAAGTGGGGGGGCAGGGCGAAGAGAGGAGCACAAGCAGGCTTTGGTCTTAATTAGAGGGAGTAAAGGTGATGTTATCAACACCTGTATGTCAACTAATTCACATTTCTGGCTATCGCTTGATGAAGCTGGTTGTTCATCACCAGAGAAACGTCGTACTCAAATTGTAACCATTGTGGGTTTACTCCTCCACACACCGGTGTGCTGAACTCGTAACAGATAGGCACGTTTTTTTTACGTGACAAACCTTACTAATTGGCTGTGTTGGGTGGTGGCGGGTTAAACGACACATGCACATATTTACACTGTCAGACTTAGAGCCATCACTTGTGCAATATCCAATCACCTGTCTAGAAGCAATGAGGTCATTCGGAATCAACACGGGGTAGCTACAAAATGGATACACCGGGTAAAAACAAGTGGAGGTGCAAAACGGAGTTCTTATGCTGCATTGTGCCAAAGTATATTTCCAGTGTGTATATGTTTTGACAGTTCTAGATATTATGTTCCTTAGACACAAGCCGCGCCATGGAGGGGGTGACGGAGGCTGCCAAGGGCGCGAGCGAGGTGGCTTCGGGGGTTCTGGAGGAGACGATGGACCTCAACAAGAAGATCATGAACGTGTCGGAACACCTTGACAGGGTGGCGGAGAACGAGCGCTCAGCCAACGCCTTCATCGACGACTCGGCGAAGAACAGTACGGACCGCCCACCAAATTACCCCGGAGGGATCTTAAAATATGTAAAATGCGTATGTAAAATTACATAAAATATGTAATTTACCATTGTGATGCAAAGAAGATGCAAACAACTTGGGAGGGGGGTACGCACATCCTCCAAGTGACCAGAGTGTGTGCGCACAATCGTAGGGATCGCCAGCTGTGAACCAAAGGGAGCAGGAGAGAGAGAGAGAGAGATGAGGAGACAAATTGGGAAAACGTAAATGGGGGAGAAGAGAGCGAGAAAAAGGATGGGCCAGAAGGAATAGCGTAACAATTGAGGGGTCGGATGAGGAATGTTTTTTAGTAGCTAGTTTTGAAATTAAATCGTTGGCGTAAAAAAAAAACGATTCGTATCGCGTGTTATACGACGTTTCAGTCCACGTGCTAGGAGCAGGTAGCAGTAGTTGCTTACCCGTGCCCGCTCACTGGACATCTGCGACCAAAAAAAAAGAGCGTAACCCATTGGATGCCTCCCGTCTAAATAGAGATTCCGTTTCTGAGCAGCCGGCAACTTTATATAACCGAGGGCTAATTCCCCCGGCACGTGGGGCGAAGCGTCGGACATCGTGGCGAACGGTTCGTGGTACCGCCCGCGAGCACACGAGGGGCGACGAGCCGACGACCGTTCGCCTTCCTCCCCCGCGTTTCGCCGCAGTTGCCGAGGCGAGCGACAAGCTGCGGGACGTGGAGGAGCGGGCGGCGCGCCTCTCCAAGCGCATGGAGCCCTTCGGAGCGCTGCAGGACAACCTCGGGCGGAACATCTCCGTCATCAAGGAGCTCATCAACCAGGCCCGCAAGCAGGCGGCCTCTGTGAGCATCTTGACATGCGGTGCCACCCCCCCCCCCCCGCCCCCCCGGGGAAGGGCGCACGAGGCCGTGATTGGCTTGTTAACTTTTTCTCAGTAGACCCTTGGTGGTTTGGGCCGTCGGGACATGAATGAAAGTTCCCTTCACCGATATCCCCTCTCCGTCTCTCCGAGTTTGTCGCTGCGTCGGTGGAACTGCACGTGCTTCTGTCTCGCCCGGTGTTTGGCGCTATAGGATGGAGTTCTGCTTGGGACGGCTCGTGTATTTTCTTTCACCAACATTGTCGCGTAATTCGTTTGTGCGATTTTTCGATCTGATATTAGGAAGCCTCTGGAGCTGTGCACTTTCAAATCTAGTTTGAAAACGTGTTTCTTAAGAACTGCTTTCTGTGTTTTAGTTTTTTTTGTCCTGTTCTCCGCACCTCCGATTAGCACGGTTGGCTATGTCCGGTGTGAGATAAGTTCTACATGCATGTTTGACATCCAGTCTACCTTATTGTTTTCATTACTGACATCGTCCCTGTACTCAGTGTCGAATGACTCTCCTCTCATGTGGCCACAGATCAAGGTCTCCGTGCAGTCCAGCACGGGCGACTGCGTGCGGACGTACCGCCCTGAGATCCCGCACGGGAAGCTCACGTACAACTCCATGGTGCTCCACGTGAAGACCTCGGAGCCAGACAACCTGCTCTTCTACCTGGGAGGCTCCCAGAACGTGTGTAACAAAGACAAAGATCCCCCAGTATAGCCCTTAACAGACTCTTGGGGCAAGTTCTGTTGGCGAGCACCAAAATGAAGGCCCCGGCACACGAGGGGGTGGGTGGCAGGCAGAACGCCCGCCTGCCAGTGTCTTCCGAGTGGCGATGTTTTTACATGTCACGCTAGTTGCTCTATTGAGGCCGAGTTCACCTCGGGGAGGCCCAGGACCAGTTTTTTTATTTTATTGTCGCTGGCGTTGGCCGTAAGCGGGAATCGAACTCGGGTCGCCGGGTTCGTAGCGCAGCGCGCTTAACCGCTACACTACCACTTGTACACGCACACACGCATGCGCAATTATACCTTACGAACGTCTGTGGAAAATATTGATACTTGGCCATACTTCACCACACTGGTCAGTGCGGGTTGGTGAAGGCGGAGGCCATAACATGCGGGAGACCCCCATTACCCTTTCCCCCCAACCCGTCCCCTGCTTCTTTCCCTCGCTCCCTCTGCTCCCTTAATTTCTACTTCCCTCACCTTCCCTTCTCATGTAAAAATACAGATTCCCTGCTTCGTCGGTGGAGCAGCGAGGCCTAATCTCCCCCCTTCTCCAAACTCGGGAGCACAGCGTTTGGGACCCAAGTCCAAGGAGTTTCTGTACTCCCCCTCCCCCCCCCCCCCCCTCTGTACCGGGCTCCTCCTGACATATAATTAAAACGCGCAAAAAACAGATGCGGGAGAACGGACATGTGCCGCAGAGTAAAAAAAAACAACAACGCTAAAACGTTAAAGACGCTCGGCAAAGCAGCCTAAGGCGGCAAACCGAGTGCGGGAAGCGGGAGCCGCCGAATCGATTGCCGCCCCCTCCTTGTCTCCGGGCAGCCGGACTACATGGCGGTGGAGATGCGGCGAGGCCGGGTGAGCCTCGTGTGGGACGTTGGCTCGGGGCCCGGACGAGTCGAGTACCCGGACCTCGCCATCAACGACGGCAACTGGTATCGCATCGAGGCGACCAGGTATGTGCCGTCCGTCCGGCGACAGCGTCGTGCGCATGCACGCGCGCTAGAGAGACGCTACACCTCGTGATCATAAGGTCGGTTTGCTGCATCGCCCTCGCAGAGTCGTTGTTATTGCTCGTTCCCGTGCACCTTGATTTGCCAATGCACGTTGGTTCATCCTGAATGTGCTCGTGCAGTGTCATGCCATGTGTGTATGTGTGTGTATATAAATGATAAGTGATAATTCACAGCCTCTTGCCAGTCCACTGCTCGATGAAGCCATCGCAACACTCTGTCTGTCATGGGGGGGGGGGTTGTTTGACCATACTTCACCACTCTGGTCAATGTCGGCGTGGTGAAGGGGGGTCCCAGCACTCGCACACGGATGTCACCTAATGGTTAGGGAATCCAATTCATGTTGGCTGATTAATCGCGCAGTGCGAAGAGTACTGCACCACCGATCCTCCCTGCTGTATATCAACATTTCCCTATTTAGCCTTGCACACATGGAATGCATATTTGGTTTTGGTGTCTGCAACACATTACCGAGTAAGCAATTTGGAATTCAGGCAAAGTGTGCTCTATGCCCGAGCACAAGGAAGTTTGAAAAAAATATGAAAAATACATTGTCATGTCTCCCAGTCACATGATGATCCTACCGCAGCGATTCCTTAGCACATGCTGTTATTTCATGGACAGCTACCACTTATCTTAAAGGAATTTATGTAGCGCCTCAACCAAGGCACTTTACAAACAATTTGCAACGGTACAACATATGAATCTAATGGTGGAGATGAGGTGAATTAATTAGATGAGAGGAAGCAATGGGCAAACCTGCGATGTGGGAATTCGGTGAAATCGAAATTGATGACAGTAAATGTGTATGTTGAACTTCTTTTGCACCGTACGTAGCAAACCTTGCTAATTTGAGGTGCGCGGGATGGACAACAAACTAAACACACAAAAAAAAACTGTTCTATCGAAATGAGTGTTCAATCTAGATTGAAAAGTGCACAGCTCCAGTGGCTTCCTAAAATCAGAAGGAAGAACGTGCCAAATGATGGCCGCAGTGACACATGCAGTGACACATTCACCAGCGGCGGTCTGTATCTGTCCACGCTTGCAATGGCAGGCCCGACGGCGTGTGGTTTGTACATTGGGCTCCATGCGTTCCCAGGTCCCTGAGGGTCGGCGCTCTCTCCATTCGGGCCTTCAAGGGCGACCGAGGCGGAGTGAGCCAGCTGCCCAGCAGAGGGACGTCGCCCGAGGGAAATTCGGCCTTCGACGTGGACGAGACCACTTTGCTCTTCATCGGAGGCCTCACTGGAGGGGTCAAGGTGCGGGCGAGACACGCCTCCTGTGGTCATCTTGTAAAGCCACTGAACGTTGAGCCGCACCCGCATCTGGCAGTGTGTTTTCTTGCCGCGCAACGCGGTGCTTCTAAGGTTCCCCCATTCCGCGGTTGAGGCGAATATTGTCGGCGAGCGGCTCTCAAATCCCTCATGAAAAAAGAAACGACGGGGCGGTGCGACCAGCACCATGTCTGGCCACATTTGTCTCCACAGACGTTGATATATTTTCCACGCCCACTTAGGGGATGCCCAGCACCGCTTATGAAATCACTTACCGCTGACGTTTGCCGTGTCTGGGAATTGAACCTAGGTCACCGGGTTCATGCCGCACTACGCGAACCACTCCGCACCTGCTCCCCACACTTCGCACCAACAAACACACACTATAAAAGACAAAGATCCCCCATAAAGACTTGACAGGCTGTTGGGGCAAGTGCTGTTATCGAGCAACTATGAAGACCTGAGTGGCACGCGAGGGGTAGGTGTCCAGCACCACACCCGGCTGCCTTCGTCTCCCTGATGGCGATGTTTTTATACACCACATCAGGTAGTCAATTGAGGCTTACTCGACCTAGGAGAGGCCCAGGACCGGTTCAGATAATCATCACTGGTTTTGGCCATGAGCGGGAATTGAATTTGGGTCACTGGGTTCGGAGCAAGTGCACACACACAGACAACCACACAGACACACGTAAACACACACACACACAACCAAGATGACACTGTAATGATGCTGATACAGTTGTTTCCCCTGCTGCCAGAAGGCCGATTCGGTGAAGGCCACCTCATTCAAGGGCTGCATGGGAGAGGCATTCCTGGATGGCCGCTCGGTCGGCCTGTGGAACTTCCGTGAGATGGAAGGCACCTGTGGTGGCTGTGAGATCAGGTAAGGCTACCAACGTTCAACAATGAGGGTGGGAGTGTCAGCCAATGAATGGAGTGCGTCTGAGAGAACTTCCACGGCGGAGATGGAATAAAAATGATTACGCTGCAGGATCATGAGAGGTCACAGTGGCTAAGAGAGGTCATCATCCCGCAGCGAACTGCCCATGGCTGATGATTGATGTGACAATTGATGATCGTATTGGCATGAGATGTATCTACATTGTCATTATTGACACTATACGCATTGCCCCCGCCGCCACGCTCCACGCATGTAGTTGCCATCATCAGCGCAGTCATGGCCATGCTCCAGTCGTGCTTCCCGACTCACGCTGTCTATGTGCACCGCAGTCCCCAGGCAGCCGAAGCAGAAGTCTCCACACAGTTTGACGGCGAGGGCTTCGTGCCGGTGGAGCGGCCAATCCGCTGGAACTCCGAGGTCTCCATCATCACCTTCAAGTTCCGCACCTTCTCCCCCAACGCCCTGCTCATGTACTTGGCCACCGCTGACAAGGCAAGCCGCTGTCCACCATTTCGTGGACCGCTCTCACGCACCCATTGCCCTCCCTGGATTAATGATGGGCAGCTGCATCGTTATAAATAACGTGCAATAGTTGTCACTTTTACACGTGTTAGAAATAGCCTTGTGGTGTGGTGCGGTAGTCACAAATATGTTTTTGGCTTTATTCTTCATAATCGTCCTTAAGTTACGTGAATGCCCAAATCTCCGGTGTTCAATGTTAATGCCATCTCCTGTATCATCATTAATGTTGCTTTTCTATAAACAACTCCCGAAAAATGTGTATTTGCTTATAAGTGAGCCTGTTCTAAATAATAACACAATTGTCCGTTTAATGCGTAGCAGCAGGCTTTCACAACCAATATCATCCATAAGAAGTTTTTTTTTGGTTAGATCACGTAAATGTATAAGTGTGTCGTTAAAACCCGCCACCACTCGACACGGCCAACTAGTAAGGGTTGTCACGTAAACAGAACGTGCCAATTCGTCACTAGTACAGCACACCGGTGTGTTGGAGAGCCAAGCCACAACATTTACAATCTCAGTACGACGTTTCGCCAGTAATTCCAACTAGCTTCATCAGGCGACAGCCAGATCTGTGGAGAAGTCGAACTGTTCCGTTCCTTACATAGAGGCGTGGATGTGGTGACCACGCTTCTGCGCTCTTGGGCATATTTCTGTAAGGCGACGAGAACTGTAACGTAACACGTGTGAATGAAAAAAAACTAAAATAATAAACGTCGCTCTCCTGACGCTGCTGTGGGCCACAGAAGGACTTCTTGTCCATCGAGCTGGTGAACGGGCAGGTGCGCGTGTGGTACGACCTGGGCAGCGGACCGGGGAACGTGACCAGCGACAACAAGCACAACGACGGCAACTGGAGGAGCCTAAAGTTCTCCCGCAGCAAACAGATGGGTGCGATCGCCCGTCACTCGCGTCTGCGCATCCCGCGTTTTTTTGAAACGCCGACGCGTTTCAAAGAATTTGGCGCGCACAAAGCGAAACCGGACGAGGAGACCGTTGCCTGCCGAGTAGCGCACGCACAGGTCCCACGTCCGACCGCAAGGCCGCGCTTTGAGCGAATTCAAACCGCATAGCGGAGATAATTTTGGGTATAAATGGGTGGCACAAAACGAACCCACGTAAAGCCAGGGAAAAACCTGCATTTTGTGAAACGCGGTGACACGATACTGCCCTTGGCTTTTTGCGGTCGTGCCGTTCCGAACGAAGCTCCCAGCACGTGGAGCGAAACGTCACACACCGTGCCGTACAGCGCGCAGTACAAACCTGAAAACACATTGGAGAGATAAACATGATTACTTTATGATTCAAAAAGTCGATATTCAATAAATTGATTACTTAACATTGTAGTCCAATTTAGTAGCTGCTCGTGTGACGTTAACCCATTGCGTACAACATTAAAAGAAGAATAAGAAAACACCAATTCTCAAGTATGCAATTTGATGCATGTTTTGTGTGCTTCAGCATCGATATTACTCCAATCAATTATGCTCCATATTGCTCTATGAATCGATGCATCGCCAAACCTCTATTATTGGCTCTGGTGACTGAGTATTCATTGGGTTATTGCACCAGCACATTTAGTGGTCCATTGATGGATCCTGGAGGTTATGGGGGGAATAAGCGTTTACACATATACATGATTACCATGCCTTGTGATTTAGTGTTAATTCCTGTTAGTCGGCTAATGTTGAACTTCTTTCGCATCGTATCTAGCCAACTGTGATAATCGCAGGTGTGGTGGAAGAACACTTAGGGGATGTCCAGCACCGGTTATATCACTGCTGATGTTTTCCATATCTGGGAATTGAACCTAGGTCACTGGGTTCATGCTGCACTGCGCGAACCACTCCGCATCTGCTCCCCCACACTTCCCACCACCCACGAAGACAAGGGCACGCCAAGATCCCCCAGTATCGCCTCAACAGACTGTTGGGACGAGTGCCGTTAATGGAGCACCTAATGAAGGCCAGAACGGCTTCAGCTTCGCTGCCAATTGGGAGCTCCGGCGTCACGTGTGGGTCCGGCCGATGCTTGTGTCGTCTCCTGCCAGCAAGCGTAACGGCGCGAAAGGCCTCTTTGACCACTTGTTGTTTGGTGGCTGCGTGTGCCAAACAGGCACGCTGATCGTTGAGGACGAAGCTCGCAACGTGGTGAACAAAAAGAGCAGGTCGCAGGGCGCGTCGGGAGGTCTCAATCTCTCCTCCATGGATCTCATTTACTTTGGCGGGCTCCCCGACGGGGTCCTACCCAGGTATGTAAGCAAGATCCCCCTGTGGTGTTAATAGGGCTGTCAAATTTCGGGCCCCGTAATTTCCTTCACGGTGATGGGAGATTGTCGGTGGTGAGCTATTTTTGCAGCCGCGAACAATACTTTCGCGACACGACTATGCCTCCAAGGTCTTTATAAAAAAAAATGCCTCTTTAGCCTATTTAGCATACCAGGCTTTGTGCCTGCTCTTTATTTTAAAGGTGCATGGGGAGATAAATTTGAGTAGTGACATGCATGAAAGGGAAGTGGGAACGTTTATCACGTGAAAAAATGTCATTGGCAAAACGAGGGGGGGATAAAAGGTTTGGCCAATGGGTTTTTAAATGTGTTGCATATATCAAGTTGCAAAAAGCTGCTGTTGCGGCTGCTGCTGCCGCTGCACGGATGGATAATCATTTCTCACTGCGGCTGACCACTGCTGTGCTCACAGGGGCGAGGTGAAGAGCCGAACGTTCACCGGATGCATCAAGGGTGTGGAGATCTCGCGCAGCTACTTCAATCTGCTCACCTTTAAGAACTCCATTGGGGTCAAAAAGGGCTGCTCACTCGAGGTGACGGAGCCGTCTCTTCACACGTGCATGCTGTTGTCTTTGTCTTCTTTTTTTTGCTTTTGCGCATTGAGGGAGGGCCCCGTGGCTTACACGGAGTGCTCGTGCCGACAACGTCCGGCCATCCGAAAAGGGCGACACTGCTGACGACACCACCTGAGTTTTTCTCACTTCAACAGAATGCTGCTTGATAATATTGGTCCGGAAAGCCAATGGGGCTGATGGACTATTATTTGTTTATTCGTATGTGGAGGCAAACAAGGAGTTCCACATGTATAGTTGTGACACGTGCAATCCTCTAGAAATGTCTTATGCGTAGAGAATAAATTTTATGCAATTGTCATTTAGAGTAAACACGATTCCTTTTCAAGTATCTGCAGTGCCTATATATATAGCATAACTTTGATAAAAGAAAATCACATTTTGCATGACTTGACTGCACTGTCCACGTCATGAGATGAAAAATGTCTGTTCAAAAAAACCTCACAGATGATGCAGCGTGCATCATCCTCCTTTATAAATACAACATGTGGAAGGTGATAACCACATATTCCACTTGAGGTCCCTTCCAGTGACATCTTCTTATCCACCTCAGGGGGCAGCATTTTCTCACCAAACTCTGCTTTAGAGATGTCAGTCCCATGGGGCAGACGAACCCACATTGTTAATGAAAGAAAATGGAATTCAGCCGAAATCAAGTGCAAAATCCAATTTCAATGTCGAGGCGTAGTTTTTTTTTTGTGTGCGGCGATTTGATGACTGGATCGAGATCATAGTTGGGCTATACAAATATTTAAATCATCGAATACTCTACCGACTATCAGTTCTATTATTTGACTAATCGGATAATAAAATAGTTCGGGGGTGGAAGTCTCGCCACTGTTCCCACGTGTGACGTTGGACGGGAGGTTTCGATTAACTTATCTCCCGCCATATGACTTGATTCGAGGGGCCAACGTTTTTAAAGGGAGCCCAGAGTAACTGACCACAAAATCAGAAAGTATTTACATCATGGGACCTCCTTTGCCAGTACCAAAATATGATAAGAGGTTTTTCCCCTTTTTTTCTGGCAACAAAACAGGTGTTGAGATGTTAAAACACCAAACTGAAAACTTTTACAAGGAATCATGTCTGCATGAACCATAATGCTTGTGGTCAGAATGCAAACAAAAAACACTGATAATATATGCATTGTCCTTTTAGCGTCCTCTGGTCTAACACCGTTTGAGACGAGGCTCAAAAGAAAGCTGTCTCTGGTGCAGACCAATCAGTTTCAAGGACAATGCATTTATTATCAGAGTATGTTTTTTTTTGTTTGCATTCTGACCACAAGCATTGTGGTTAATGCAGACATGATTCCTTGTAAAAAGACTTCAGTTTGGTTATTTAACATCTTAACACCTGTTTTGTTGCCAGAAAAAAAGGGGAAAAACCTATTCTCAAAAAGTATTTGATTTGACAATTTGTCAATTGCAACTGACTTAATCGACTGATCATCCCGGCACCAATTGACGTCACGAAGTCGCCGCCCAATTTAGTCGCGCGCGATCGAAACCCACATTTGGACCCACTGACTCTTGAGCCCCCTTGCCACCTCCAGTCTTGTTGTCAATTACAACTGACTTAATCCACTGATCATCCCGGCACCAATTGACGTCACGAAGTCGCCGCCCAATTTAGTCACGCGCGATCGAAACCCACATTTTGACCCACTGACTCTTGAGCCCCCTTGCCACCTCCAGTCTTGTTGTCCATGCTGCTGCTCACAAAGATGACGACGATGACGACGACGACGATGACGACGACGGTGCCAACACTGACGGCTGCCCGTCTGTCACCGGTGTGCAGCACGTTCACATGGCGAGCATAGAGTCGCCCGGGTTCGTGGAGCTGCCAGCAACCACCGCATCTCTTCCGCCCTCATCCGAGATCTCCTTCTCATTCTCCTCGACCAACGCCTCGGGTCTCCTGCTTCACGCGGCCGGGGAGCAGTCGCCGAGAGTCGTCCGCAAGCGGAGGCAGAGCGGCGTGGTGAGTCCCCCCACCCCCACCCCCCCCCCCCCCACCGTGCCCCTCCGCATGCTCCGCCTCCGTCGTCGTGGGCCTGACTTGTTGATAAATACAAAGATCCTTGCGGGGATGCTGCCGCACGTCGAGCGAATTCAAACTGCGTAGCAGAGAGAAATGTGATGCGATGGCAAGCAGAATGGATTTGCAATCGAGAGGTCGTTGGTTCGATTCGACGTCAGGGCTTTGCGACCACATGGAGTGAGCACGACCCAAATAAAGTCCACTTCGAAGCAGGGAGCAGCGAAGTGAGCTTGTGTGCCGGAGCAACGTGAATTGCGTGGCATCGTGAGACTATAAGCAGATGGCAACAACAGCGGGGAATAACGTGGCTGATGTTGACGACGGTTGTCATTTAATGATGTCCATGCATCAGCTTCCACTGCCCATGCCTTGCACACACTCTTTGACAAAAACGCTCGCCGACTGCCCGCGTTCAGTTGCTCACTGTGTGCATATCCACGGATAACCACAAGATGACAGTGTTGGCAGGGAAGCCGGCTGAGTGCGTCTATTCTTTGGGTCTTTCGGTAAGGTCATGTAGATAGGTACAAATTAATACAAAGAATAAATATAAATACTCTTTGTGTCTTTCGGTAAAGTCACGTTTGAATTTCTGCAGTCACAAAAGCTTTAAGTCAAGGAATAAATATAAAATCAACAAAAAACTACGACGTTTCGATCACAACACAAGCGATCATCATCAGGAGGAAAGAGGGGGAAAGCTGCTGAATGCAGACTGTTTTATACCTCTCTACATGACTTTACCGAAAGACACAAACAATATGAATTCCTGCAGTCACGAAAGCTTTCGGTCAAGATTTAAGTGCGTCTAGTTTTGTGATATTTACACAACAGACCTTTCTGACCCCCCCGCCGCCTCCCGACTGCGGTTGCAGCCTTACTACGCCGTGTACCTCCTCGACGGGAACCTGGAGGTGCTGTTCAGCACCGGCGATGCCACGCGAAAGATCGTCAAGAAGTCGACGGGCGGTGCGTACAGCGATGGCAGGGAGCACGCGGTGGTTGTCAGCAGGCGGCAGCGGTGAGTGGCACCGGCGCGTGGCACCGGCATGGGACCGGCCGATCAATCGTGGATGAGACAACCGAGTACAAACTCGTTTTGCGTGACTGTGCAACAGTGTGGGTAAAATGATGGATACAAGCACAACTCTGTACTGTCTCCACATGTAGATCAACGTATTTCTCTCCTAGTTTGTTTTTTCCTTTTCTTCTGCCTTTCTAAGTTTCCAAGATCACACCTGGGGGCTCCGATAATTCCATCTGTTTACTGTGAATGCGTTTATCCCATGTATCCTGATTCTGTTTGACTCTGTGTTTTTTTAACCGTAATGTATGGCCATTGCCCTATTGGCTTTTCAGACCAGCAAGCAAACTCTGAACCGGTTTCAATCTTCTGGGGTCTCATCAGCAGACTCAAGCTTGTTAACCGATGTCATTGGCAAGAGCACTCGAACTAAACTATGGGGATCCGTTCACCACAAAGGCAATATTCTACACAAAACTCATTATGCGTTGCCAGGATACCATTGAGTTGAAGCACATGCAATCAGAACACCGTGCTGTTTCCACGTGCAAATCAAAACTTTATGATGCGAGTAGCCGTCGTAACATCAAGCCGTCAAACGTTGGACGAGGAGGAAGATCTCGCGGTTAAAAGACGTAGCTTCGGACAGAGAGAACTAAAGTGATGAGACAACTGCTAGCGGATTTTACTGAAGGAAACGGTTATGCCCCGACAGCCCAAAAGGACGAGGAAGATTGTAATAGTAGAGGGCATTTGGGAGCAATGATGCTGCCCAATGCCCGAGGAGCAGAAAGAGAGATGGCCCAGGACAGGGCAGCATGGAGAAGGTTGGCAAGGCCGGCAGAGACCCCCCACATGAGTGAGACAAACGCGTGGAAGAAGAAGAAGAAGATTTAGCAGCAACGATGCAGCGGTTCAGCGATTCCCAGCGATTGTTGTGCCGGCGATACACGCAGTCATTTGTGTGTCTACAAAGCAGTGCTTTATAATTTATGTAGAGGTTATGTGCAAGTGTTATGGTTATGCTGATGGAACAAACGACTGGAAACAAGCGAAACAAATATGCGAGGATAAATGATGCTTTAGACAGACATAACATATGAAATGGGTTTACAATGTATGCACAGGTTATGAAACTTACGTGCAAATAATGCCTTTACACTCATTAAACAATGACTCGGAACAAACCGGACGTAATTCATGAGATAGACAATCCAAACGCAGGCGTTATAAAACGGAGTAAAATTATAATTAATTATATCTCCGTGAGATGAATCTCTCAATGCCGAAGTGGTATGAGAACCGTTTAATGATTTTAGAACATGTAGCACGCAGTTGTCGTTCACAATTGCCGGCGTGCGAATACCCAGAGAAGTAGGAAGACAGCCAGACAAAAAAAAACAACAATTGCCCAAGCTCTGTCATCCTATACTGTGATATTTGGCCAACTCCATTCGTGAGTGTCTATACATGTGGCCGGAAACTGGTGCACCCAGATTATGATTAATTGTGATTATGATTAATTAATTGTCACCCAGATTAATATTAATATCAATCTGGGTGATTAATATTAATATTAATCTGGGTGATTATTATTAATCTGGGTGCAGTCGGGTGACAATCAATCCCCTGTGCGGACGTAAATGAATCAACTGGCTGTGCTGCCGTACCTCGCAAGCCAGGAGATGGCGACCTCTGTGCCCACGGGAGTTCCGTGAATTTGTGTGATCCGCACAAAACCTCATCATGGGACAAACCTGCAAGCTCGAGCGCAGCTGCAGCCTGCACAAGCTTGCCGCTGCCACCCCACTGACCACATTGGAGGCGGCAGCGTTCGTTCGCAGGCAGGCAGCGCTCCGTCTGTTCGTGCGGGCGTTGTTGGGTCATGGAAACCGCCTCTAGGTTTTCCACAGGGAATAGGTAAAAAGCAAGGGGGGAGACTGGGGGCGCGCAAAGGGTGCACCATTATTTTGCAAGACTCAACGCCGATGCAGTTCAATTCCGCGAGGGCTAGCTTTGCCTGTATTACTCTTACAGTCTAAGAGTATATATTAATAATATGGCTTGCCCATAATTATCGTAATTAGGATAATGTTAGAGGGTTGGCTGGGGGAAACACTAGCCATAATTTTTTTTTGTAACTTTCCAAATGCCCCCCGCGAGTGCAATTGCCTCCATTTCCAGCTAATGCTCTCTCAATACCCACCGTAATGTGCTGCATTACGCAAGCGAGAGTCGCGTTAAGGTTTTGTGGAGTGCGGCACAGTTGAATAACTGCGAGTCCATCCTCCCCATGGGTAATCAATTTGCACGCCCGCAAACACGCGTGTGTGCACGCACGCAAGCGCGGGACATGAGCACGCACCGGCTAACCCGAATGTGTTCCGCGTGGGCAGGGTGGTGCGCATGTCGGTGGACGACAGCTCATCCCGGGACGCAAATCTGGGCAGCGACGGAGAGATCACGGTGGCCCGGCTGTTCGTGGGAGGGACGTCGGCGGGATACAGCCCTCCCAGCAGTGTTCCAGTGCACACGTACACGGGCTGTGTGCAGAACATCATCGTCAATGGAGTGTGAGCAACCGCCCCCGGGTCACTCGGCCATGGGCGAGTGAAGGGGGGGGGGGAGGGTAGCTTTCACTAACGCGGGTCATCTATTTCACGTGTGGTACAATTCCTAGAATGTTTAGCTTTTGTTTAAAAGCCATGCCCGTGGTGTATAATGGTAAGCATGCTGGACTTGAAATCCAGATGTCACCAGTTCAATCTCCCAGCAAAGGGGTTGAAACAACGGTATTTTGTTAATGCCCCCACCCAGCAGTACATGGGTCCAGCCACCAAGCACAGTTAGTTGATCGGCAGGTCACGTTGGTGGGGAAAAAGTGTGGGCACTCCAACCTCTTCCAAGACGTTTGACCAGCGTGAAAGATGAGGCCAAATGCCCTCTGATGAGGCTCTCTCTCTAAGAGCTCCCACTCATAGGGGGAGGCCCTTCTTGCGGCAGTGGTGTGCATAAATAATTGAAAAAGCTGCGCATTTTAACCCAAACGGTCGCAATAAACGATATTTGGCTCCTGATGGAATTTAATCATGGGTTTCTTACGTTCACGCTGGTTTTTATCGTCGAGGGTGGGCAATGCACGGAATGTTTAATGTGCACTGTGTTTGCGTGTAATCGCCTCGGCATCCATTGTAAACATTATGATTACATTATTTTTCTTCTGAACATACACTTTTTTGGGGGGCAGTGGTGGGGCGGGCAGTGGTGGGGGGGGGGGGGGGGGGTGGGTTGCTCATTTACCCTTTAAAAGCTCTAAAAAGTAACACGGCAAATAATTTGACAAACGCCCCGAACGTGCATTGTTATGCATCGCTGTAATAGTGCAGACCTTTCCTGAGAACGTGATTAACTACGGAGGCGTGGAGCTCGAGAAAGGGTTGGTTGGGGGGTGGGGGGGGGGAGATAAGACAGGAGTGATGTAGCCTCGTTGCGTGGCTACATAAGCTCCCAGGGGGGAAAAGGCCACGATACTTTCTCTCCCGGTCAAAATGTGCCGCGGCCACTCGCGACAGCACGCAGCCGTGGCCAAAGCAGCAGCGGCGGCGCGATCATCGCAACTCCCGTTTCCTCCTCCCCCCCCCCCCTCCCCCCATCTTGGGCGTCACGCAGGCTGCAAGACTTTGCCCACTCTCTGAACTTCGACAACGTGGACATCGGGCGGTGTCGGACATCGGAGCCGCGGTGGAGGGCGACGATGCAGCCCACGGGGAGGAGGGCCGAGGGGGGCTCCGGGCGGGCGGTAGTGGTCCCTGAGCTGAACAGGCCCCAGCCCGGTAGAGGCTTACCCACACCTCCTCCTCATGCTGCTCCAAACAAGCCCGCCACCACCACAGCTCAAGTACGTCGACATCAGTTCATTGGTCGTGCACGCGCCGTGCGTTCCAAAAGTTTGTCCTGGAAAGCCAAAAAAACAACCGAGCGTGCTGTGACAAACGTCACTGCGAAAGGCGTGAAAGATGAGGATCCGATGTTTCTTTAAATCGACGTGGCTATCGGAACTTGGGAAAAAGAGGGAATTCCACAGTCGAGAAGTGTGAGCGACGAAGCAGAGAAAAGAATGACTGTTAGAAGTCACGAAAGCTTCAAATCAAGACAGAAAATAAGAGTTTCTGCTTGCAGTGTGGTGGTTGAACACAGTGTGGACGAGACACGACAGGGTTTCTGTAGTCCTAGTCAAGCTGTGAGCAACCTCCTGCAGCTATAGGGATGACAATAATACAGTGGTACCTCGGTATACGTCGTTAATTCGTTCCAGAAGGTACGACTTATACCGAAAATGACGTATACCAAACGAATTCTTCCCATAAGAAATAAAGGGAAAGGAGATAATCCGTTGCAGAGTATAAGAAATGATATTTTATATGGCATATTATACATAACATAATGTAGACACTACTTATTACTAAAATGATATTTACACAACATACATTAACATAAATGCATAAAGACATTAAAATAAATTGATCTCTTTTTTCACGTCAATATGATCCTAACCATTCTCTTTGTAGCTTGGCTTTTATCACTGACCTTCTCAGGACCCATCCTGAATGAATTCGCAAAAAGAATTCACGTTAAAATGACAAAAACCACACCACGTGAAAATTCACGGAGAGTTACGGCAAGGGTCGTGCACTGAACGAGATCTACAGGCAGACTGAGGAGCGGCGCTTTGTCTCAGTCGTGAACGGGGTCTTCGCGGGGACGCGGTGACTCATCCCGACCCTTACAAGTTCTAGCAAGCGCCTCGTATCCCAAGCAAGACAGATTGTATCCCAGGACATTTTTTTTCTCGTCAAAACACGACGTACACCAAATTCGACGTATTCCAAAGCGGTCGTATACCGAGGTATGACTGTATAGGCAATTGTCTCATTAGAAGCACACGTACAATGACTGTTAGAAGGTCACGTGACAATTAAGTTATTAGTTTGAGCGTCGATCGTTGAGCTCAACAAACTACTCTTGCATGGAGTGAACAGCTTCAAAGATCCCACTGAGCTTCACAACGTTAAGGGCAGTCTTTTTGTATGTCCTAATTCCCAAAGTAAAACTCTGAAGTGTTCTAATAAAGCGAATGAATGGCTGATTACCATGTAAGCAAAGTTAAAAGAAACCCTGTTGTTTTATGTTTAATGTGCCCTCTTTTAGGAAATTACTAAGTGGAACGTGTTTGTGTTTAGAAATTGAAGTTTATTTGTGCAGCCCTTGGAGCATGCTTCCACTCACTGTGCACGGCATGTGTCTCCAGACTTTGCGGTACCATTGCCTTGTCTGCAAAATATGAGTAAAATTATAAACGTATGGGTTATAATGTTATAAATTTAGTCTGTCCGCCTTCATTGTGGTTTATGTATTAAAGTCACACCCAAGTTATATACGCACATCTTCTGAGCACATTAAATCTGCATGAGCCAGCTAGAATATATTATTCTGCTATTCGTGGTATGGGAATAAACAATCAGCATTTGATTATAGTAATGCGTGGCAGTAACATTTTAATTAAAATTACCATACAAAATAGCAAGCTTTGTTTTGCAGCGTTTCATGTTTAATATGAACACTAATTAGAAAGCTAATAACCAAAAAATACTTTAACATAAATGCTGATGCAATATTCAATAAATCAAGCACTCCAATGCATCAATAGCATTTGAGAGATAAGTACTATTATGTAAATAGATTGGAGTGGTAATGCATTAGTGAGCTACACTATGAATATATGAATCGACCTAATCTGAGTTTGCTTCCCAGCCACAGCTAACATCGGTGGCAAATGATATCTGAATTGGTAATGGCCCACCCTCCCTTCACAAAACCACACTAGCCAGCGTGGTGAAGTACTGCATAGCCCGACATCTCCATGACCGACACAATGTAGTTTTCAGCCAGTAATTCAATGAAAAACGGCCGTAAATTATGACTGTTATTTTACTGTGAAATAACAAATGAATTTAAAAAAATTATACTTTCCATGTGCTATGAAGAAGGGTCATTGCGCAAAGAATCGCTTTTGGTATATATATTTCCCATGTAAGAGGCAGCATCACCAAATAATGAATTTACTTATTAATGGAAATAGCCAAACATTTAAATGTGGGATCCAAGTACAGCATCGGAATTGATAAAGGTGTCGCGAGACCCGGCGAGGCTTTGCTGTGGTAATCAAGGTAATTTCTATCGATGCATGGGCTTCTCTTCCAGATGCCAGTGCGGTGCGCTGTCGAAGCTGCGGCTTCTCTCGAAGCCAACAGTCTGCAATTCGGCCTGAAGAAAGACAGCCATGCCGTTCTGACCTTCGACAGGGACACAGTGAAACGCAGGTGAGCCCCTTTGTCTCCACCCAACAGCCCTGTGTGTACAATGGGGTTGTGTTGTTGGTGCACCACAAAGCCCTAAATCATTACATTCGTGTAACAGCAATTTTTCCTGCCACCTTTCAAAAAACTAAAGTAGGCTCCAGAGAAAACCTGCACAACTTTTCTTCGCAGACCATCGGATTTTAACGTCGCATTACGATTTTCATGCACCCACCAGATCAGTCTCGGAAACGAGGTGTGACAACGTGCGCGCCGATAATTTGCGTATTTTCGTGTTTTCGTACAAATGTAGCCTCTCCCTTTCCACCTATAGTGGAGGCCGCCGTGGGAAAGGCTTGGCTCTGTTTGGGGTGCGCGACCGCGCGCGTGCAGGCTTGTGCTGCAGCTGAGCGTGCGGACAGTGGCGAGCGATGGACTGCTGCTCTACATGGGGAGCGCGAACAACCTCGCAGCGTTGCAGCTGATTGGTGGACGCCCGCAGTTCACCTTTGACTTGGGCAAAGGGGTCATTAAGGTTACGGCGGCACAACTAATCAACGACGGAATTTGGCATACGGTCAGTGCTGCAAAAAAAAAATGTGTGTGTTTTTTTTGTATTAACACACGCTTGTAAAATTACCCCTGCTTTTAACGTTAAAGAGAAAAATGCACGAATTAATTTCCTTCAGCGAGCGGTTTCAAGTGTTTTTGTTGAAATGTTATGAGGGCTTGAGAAGTCAAATTGCAAGAGTCTTACATTCTGTTTGAGCTTCAATAATGGAGGTTATTGATCGATGTGGCTGAGCGTGTAATGTATAAACTGATCGTAGATTATTTTGGAAAAGTAAATAAATTCCCCTTTTATCATTTATACAGAAATTTCCACTCAAAAATATATCCCCCCACAAGATTAATCTTGAAAATGGGATCATTGCAGTTTCTCAATAGTGCTTTAAGGGGATTATTTTTTTAAAATAAATAACACCAACAGTTTTTTGTAGTTATTTTTTTTTTAAAAAATAATATATATACACACACATATATCAAGTAACTGAGCTCTGGGTTTGCAAATATCACACATGACACGTGTGAATAAACAGTAAATAAATGTAGATTGAAAACTCACTTCTTTAGAACTGCTTCTTGCGCTTAGTTTGTGTTGTCCTTCACTCGGCACCTCCAATTAGCATGGTTGCCTACGTACGGTGTGAAATACGTTCAAAATACATATATACGTACAAACAAATAAAACTCGCACGTAGGTTTGGCATCTAAAAGGGGACACGGCAGAGTGTGGGCCTCGGGTGCAGCTGCTTCCAGCCGCAAGAACGATAGCTACACAGGAGGCCACTGACGACGATGATCACGATGTAACAACGAATGAGGCGATTTGCTGAACCGTGGCTCTGCTCTTGCCTGTGTGCTTGTGTGTGCGTGCTTGTTGGTGGGGAGCGGTGGCGCAGTGGTTAGCGCACTGCGCTACTAACCAGGCGTCCCGTGTCATATTCCCACTCACGGTCAACACCAGTGATGGCTAGCTGAACTGGTCCTGGGCCCTCCCCAAGCTCGGCTCGGCCTCAAATGAGTACCTGGTGTGATGTGCAAACATCGCCACGAGGGAGACAAAGGCTGCCGGGCGTGGTGCTGGCCACCCACGCCCTCGTGTGCCGCGTCGGCCTTCATAGGCGCTCGCTTAACAGCAATTGCCCCCAAAAGTCTGCTAAGGCTGCACGGGGCGACCTTTGTCTTTGTGCGTACAGCTGAGGGTCGAGCGCGGAAAGCGGAAGGTGGATCTGAGCGTGGACACCCGGCAGCGCGCCACCACCAAGCTACCCAGCGGCAGCTCCAACCTGGAAGTGGAGAGGAGGCTTTACCTGGGCGGGGCTCCCGCTGGCTCCCCCGGCATCAAGCGACTGGGCAACGTACGTTTGGCCATCGGCGCGGGATTGAAGCAGACGTGGTGGTGGTGGTGGTGGGCAGTGAAGCTCGCGCCTTGAAAAGGAAGGAGCCTTCTTCTTTGGCAGGCCATGCACAACGTGCTCCGTGATCAAACCTCCTAAGAAGAAAAGGGATATCCCTTTCAATATTTTGCCGCAAGTGTAAAATTTGCCCTGTTGAATATCGGACATTTTGAGCAAAGCGAAACAATGCCCTCTAGACCAAAAGGTGGGAGATGCACAATCGATGCGTGTATCATGAGTGCAAGAATATATTTGAATCAATTCGTTATTACATATCGACTCATCACGCAAGTCCAAATCCTGGATTTGGTTGACTCGGCAACATTTTATCGACCGCGGATGAATGATGAGTACCATTTTGTGGAAAAGTCAATGGTGGTTGTCCTCAAGGAAGTGGAATTTCCACCACTGGCTGAGGAATGTAAACAGCAGATGAGCACCACCTCAATTCTTCATTTAAGCAAGAAATAACTTTTGGCCTTTTTTTAAATTACGAGCATAAGAATTTGAATCGATGAATCGACGCATTTTTTACACGCACACGAAATGTAAGAATGACACTCTTTGCACGAACGTGTTTATTGCCCATCAGGTCACACACAGCTTGGCTGGATGCATCGGAGACTTCTCACTCAACGGTGCCAAGCACAGCCTGAGTCCAGCCACGTTTTTGCTGAACCATGTGGAGGGCTGCTATCAAAACGTGGAGCCTGGGTTTTACTTTCAGGGAACGGGATATGCCATGCTAGGTACGTTCGCCGATGTAAACATTTGCAATGGCGCGTGCGTTTTCCCCTTCCCTTGTGGACCTGTGCCATGCTCGCGTGCTGTCGCAGCAGGCACGCAGCTCCCATAAATAAGTCTGCAGTTTTAAATGCTCAAATTTTGTGTGTGCGTCTGCCTGTACAAGCATGTGTGTACGGGTGATTTGGTAATAACCATGGAAATAACATGAAGAGGGGGGGGGGAAATAAATCGAAATCTCGTTTAATCTATGAACAGCCGTGACATCGATTCGAGATGCATTGTAAGGCTGCCTGTCCAGTGAGAGTGTTGTGGAATGCGTGAGACGAGAGTGGGTCAGTGGGGGAAGAGAGCGAGGCACTCTGCAGTGTGCTAGGTGTGGGGAAAGTGGAGTGAGGAGTGTGGGTAACTAGTGGGGATTAAGTGAAGTTGTTTTTGCAAGTACAGGAGCTGAGACGGCAGTGAGTGAAGTGCTAAGCAGGGGATGGGGTGAGCAGCAACGAAGGTAAGGGCGCAGCCCTGCAATTGCTTGATCAAGCCACTCCTGGCGGAAGGGCCTCAACTAGTGGGGGGGGGGGGCTCTTGAGAGCTCTGCTACAGGGTATTTTTGGCCTACTCTTCCACGCTGGCAAGACATCTTGGAAGGGGCGGGAGTGACGCACACTTTACGTGACCTACTAATCGATGATGATAACCGTGGTGTAACCATTACACCGCGGCAGCATCGCTGAATATCGGTGCGTGGGTGAAATAACTCGACCGTGTTGGGATATTTAAGAACATTTCTAAGTAAAAAAAAAAATAATTCCATAGAGCTATGCAACAGGAGACAAATAGAACACAAGTTTGTCACAAAAGTATGCAACAATGAGTGCTGACCTTCGCTTTTGCACCCAGCGGCGGGAGGGTACCGCGTGGGCACGGACCTGGAGATTTCGCTGGAGTTCCGGACGACCCAGCTGGATGGGGTGCTCCTGGCCATCAGCAGCCCACGCATGGATGCCGTCGGCATCGAGCTGGTTGCTGGGAAGGTGAAACCACTTTCTTCCCTGCATTTGCGCGCTCTTCTCGTGTTTCCTTCCTTATTTATCATTTCGGTGACCCAGGTGACTCTTGCAAATGAGACAATCCCCAGTCTCTTTTGAGTCCTCGCCTGGTTAAACAAAATAAATAACAGCACACAATTCTCCCGCCCCTACGTCAACCCTTCGGCATCTGTGCTGAACACCACGGCAGAAGAAGTGCAGATGATCAATCCTGCCTGTGAGAACACCAGGCAATTATTCGCAGAGGTTGTAAATGATGATAAATTCCAATAGGCGGCATTGTCCAAGTGAGACGTGTTTTCCTAATAGCGTTATCGTTCAGAGGCATGCCATTTAGCGGTCCTACTTGGGGTGACAAAGCACGTGAAAAATGAGTTTCTTCGCAACAACAACAGCAACAACAAAGAGTCGTCCTTACCTAACGACGGAATTATGCTTACACTTCATCTCTGTTTTACCAATCCTTGAAATAAATGTACCGACAAGCATAATTAAATGCTTTGACCATCAGCCACTTCTTCTTGATTCTTTCGGTAAAGTCACGTAGAATGAGAATAAAACAGACCTGTCTCTTCACCTGAAGAAGGCTACTTGTGTTGTGGCCGAAACGTCGTGAGAATTTTATTGTCTTATTTTGTTTTATTGTTTTATTCTCATTCTACGTGACTTTACCGAAAGAACCAAGAAGATGAATCCTTGCAGTCACGAAAGCTTTAAATCTAACCATCAGCCACTTGTTCATTTACTCCTGAAATAAAGGCATCCACTGACCATTTGGTCATTGGGGTTGTTTGATCTTACTTCACCATGCTGGTCACTGTGGGTTGGTGGAGGAGGGGGGGGGGATGCACAGGACTAGTGCAGCTATCACCCACCACTGATGTTAGCCATAGCCAGCAGTTGAACTTAGGTCACCAGGTTCATTACACAGGGGGCAGTGGCGCAATATGCAAGCGCACTGCACTAGCGCACACTGCTATTAATTCTGTAATACATTTGGGTGCATGCAGACTTTTATGCTTCAAAATGTTTTGTCTGCCTCTTGGTAGATATTGCAATGAAAAGTGACGGCTTAATTTTCATGAGAGAGCAAGTTCTGTCTGTTTCATGCATTATGTATCACTGTTGTCAGATGTGCGTAACTGAGAGTAGAGAGTTTACTCAGTCTAGCATTCACTCACTGCCACAATAGATGTGTTCTACTTATTATTAATATTCTAATCAACCGTATGAGGGCTCTGGACCCCACTTGTCTGCTGGCCTAGCTTGATAGGAGGTACGACAGCTTGGATATATACACAGTCACGATGATAGAATGTTTTATATTTGATGGATTAATAGTGATGTTTAAACACTACATAAATCCAAATTATGTTAAAATACCCGAGGTAATTCATTTAACAGCGCACTGCACGATGAACTTAATGGCCAAAATTCAATTCCCAGCCACATCGGTGATGAGTTATATCTGAACCAATCCTGCAATTTCCCCACCGATTTGCCATCCTGCATTGCACAACGTGGTGAAGAATGGTTAAACAACTCCTATGGCCGTCATGGTGTGACGAAGCCTTCATCCGCAGTGGAGCGACAAAGCGGCTTGAAATTATGATCATACGTCACAGACGAGCATTGCTCTCATGCCCAGACGCGGATTACACTTGTTGAGTTATCATATGAAAGAATGTGTACATGGAACAAGCATTCGGCAGGGGAGGTGTTTGTTGACGTATTATTACTGTATATGCAGTGCACTTAATGTGTACACGTGTATATAAGCGTCACTTAAATAACGGCAGTATGCAGCACATATGCTTTCTTTTGAAATTTTTTAACATATCATTTCCAGCCAAACCACTTTTTAGAGTCGAGAAAAAGAATGAACAATCCAGTCCAAGTTTAATTAGCTCTAAGTCACCGCTGTGTGTGATCAGCCCTGTGGCCTTGTGATGAATGTGCCAGGCTTAGTTCAGTGGATTGGGTGTTGGGATTGTGGGGGTGGGGTTGGTGGTTGGTTGTGCTGGCGATGTGGGGTGTAGTGGGCTTCTATTTCAATGCCTGGCATTTATCCAGGCACTTTAAATAATTATCTGCCAAGCATCCGTCCAAATTGGGCAGGCCACCTGCTCTGGCCACTGCCTTGGCAAAATAAGTTTAAACGCTCCAGGCTTTGTTGCTGTTTGGAAAAAAAAAGCGTCGAATGAAGTGAATGTTTTCTCGTGCGCAATTTTTTTGATAAAGGACACGTAAAATAATTACACGAGGAATGCCTGCCACCTCGTTCGCACAAAGCCACACGAGGCGCGAATGTGAAAATGTGCAATTTGATTATCCCGTCCTCCAGGTGCTATTCCACGCAGACAACGGAGCCGGCCGCTTCTCAGCTGAGCTCTCTCCGCTGGCATTAACGGAGGCAGGGTCCGCTGGCACTGGTGCTGGCCACTTGTGCGATGGCCACTGGCACCGTTTGGAGGCCAGCAAGCTCAAGAACCGCCTGGTGCTGAAGGTGGATGGAGCCGCAACAGAGGCCGCCAGTCCACACCAATCCAACTCGGCCGACACGAATGACCCCGTCTACGTTGGCGGCTTCCGAGGTACGTGACTCGGCGGTGCTTTGGGGGGGGGGGGGGGGTGGGCACAGGTGGTCCACCACCATGGGCCCAGATTTTTTTTTGTTTGTTTGGAGATTTCTGTTTTCTCTTTTAATAGTTAATGGGTCACAGGTGTTGTTATTTCAACTGAGTGCACACGTCATGTAAAAAAAAAATGTCTGCTTCCACGATAACTACCTGGAAAATACAACGATCTGCAATGTTGAAACGTTTGAGTTTGTATTGGCTGCTGCGCCTTTTGAATGCCTGACCCCAGGTCAATAGAACCATGAGTGAACGATTTTGTATGGATAGCAAAATTTGCGCTCACTGCATGCCACCCACACATCGTAAATGAAAATTAATCTGTGAAGTTTCAGCCCTGAAATGTCTTGCTCATGCCACTGCTGAGACAGCCTCCTCCAGAAAACTGAAGATAGAACCCACTGCGTTCTAATTCATGCATCCGCACATTCTAGCCTGTGATTCTACACTGCTCCAAAAGCATTGATTGCATAAATTTAACGTCAAATGACAACACACTTTACATGTGTTTCGCGTAAACAATTCCAGTTTGTTTGGTTTACTTACATGTGCCTTGATATCTTGTCTAATGCAGAGGGAGTGAAGCAGCATGCACTTACCACCCAAGTGCCATTCCGGGGCTGCATTCGCAACCTTCGCTTCATGAAGAGCCACCAAATCCAGCCGCAAATTCACCTGGGAGAAGCCTCGGACATGATGGGCGTTCTGCCTCATTCCTGTCCGGCTCAAAGCTAGGGCAAGTGGACTGGCGGTGGGGCATGTATGCTAGCCCAGCTATGTTGTTTTTTTAACAATCCATTTTATTTAAAAACAAGTTCAAAATTAAGCTTGATGGTTGTTTCTGGGACAACTCGTCGAAAAAATGGATTGGATATATTTAATAACGCCTGAAAAACCAACCGTTTCCTAAATTATCTCACTCAATTTTGATTTTGCTCTTAATAGACACCCACCTCTAATGCATCATGTAGCATAGAATAAAATAACGTTTTGGTGCTCTAAAACAATCCCATAATAAACAAAATAACGTTTTAATTGTTTTATACAGAGGGTTCATTTACCCTGCTTACGGGTGATGTATTTACAATTGTACTGGAATATTATGGATTTTTTTTTTATAGGACAAGAGGTTATTTTTTGTTTTGCAATGCAGTAGCATTAATTAATACACATGCACAGGAATGTAGAACCTCACAGCTCGAATAGTTATAGAAAATAATCATCTACTCGGCCTCATTTTCTCAGCAGCAGTGAAATCTGAGAGCCATTCCATACTGCCTCTTTTGTGTTCTTTTAACCTTTTTAATAATAAATTGTAACAAAAAAAACATGACAGTATTCTGCAATCACACGTGTCCACAGAATGAACTGACACTTGTCTTACAGCACCTGCAGCCTCCTATAGCAATTTGCTGTTACACTGCTCATGTTATTTATTGGTCAACCTTCTTATCAGTATTGGCTGAATTTCACATTCAGATCTGGCGTCTCCAATTGAAATGGCACCATAGTATCCTGCAGCAAAGGCGCGACCTCAATTCAGTGCTCAAAGATTATGCGTCTGGATGGAATCTGTCATCAGGAGGTGTTATAAGTCTCATCTTTCACATTTCGGGTAGAACAACTTCATCCCACCATACTCAAGCTGCCAATTGGAAGACTATATTACACTGTTATTTAAAGTCAGATAGAGGTTCCTGCACAATGAGATATTGTTTTGGAAGTGGACGGTCCAGTGTTCTACGATCACAGAAGCTGTCCCATAGTAGCACCATTGCTATTATTATGAAGTGATGCAGCTAACAGTATCACATGCAATGTCATGGCATTTGCGCTAAAGTTTCTAAACTGTTGTAATGGTACATTATGTAACATTGGAATCAAATTAACTTGTTATAAAATAAGCAATCCTGCAAAAAAATATTTCACACATTTAAATAATTTAACCAATTGTAATAATAAAAATATTTTCACCAAAGCTCGTGTTCAAATTGCACGTTGCATTTATCGTGCTCCCAATTCCAATGTTGTGCTTGGCAGTACGGCTGCCAGCAGTCACAATTTTTTAATCAAACTGGAGGCGAAGATGCAACCCTGCAATTTCTGAAGCTACTGCTGATGAAAAGGCCCGTGCTAGGCGGAGCTCGAGAGCTCCTCCGAGGGCATTTTGCCTACTCTTCCACACCGACCAGACATCTTGGAAGAGGTGGGAGTGCCCACATACTTTAAACCCACCTCACAAGATCTGCCGTATCTGTAGCGACAACATTGTGCGTTTGCTTGAGAACATTGCGAGTTGAATGATCAAAATAAGAACGCATCACGGATGAACAGCGATTCACAATTTAATGTTCCGTACTTTATCTTCGTGCACACATTAACAAGTGTATGGTGTCTTCTTTTAATACAATCTATAGATGCTTCCATACGTTTTGCTATTTTATTGGCTCTGAAACAGGTGACAAGTTAGGAAATGTTTGCAAAAAGACAACACCTTCGTGTGGATATACTATCACAGCACAATGTCTAAGACCCATGGGTGGACAATACAATAATGGGACATTCAACAGGCCGATCTGAACGTGGTGTGTATGGTGCTAATATATTGATTTGGTCCATGTGGAGAAGACTAAACCTACAATGCATATCCTTCATGTGCAAGTTTTGTGTGGGAAGTTTAAACTCTGCACACGTGTGCCATTTTTTATGTTGAGCCAATTTTTTTTATATATATTCGAGCTACGAGCCATACCGATGTTTTTTTTAGTGGATTGAAATTGCCACATTTTAATTGTGCATTACAACTCGAATGTTTAATGTTTATGAGAAAGGTGCTATTTCTTAACTAGTTTATCAGTGCTTTTAACGTGCAAAATAATCAGGACTTGAACGCAATATTCTGTGAAAACTTCATTTTTAGGTTCATTGTTAAACAGTGTTTTACAAACAAATGGAACTGTTACACGTCATATCTCCTGTGTGTGTGCGTTATGGGGTTTGTTTTTTTACTTTTAGTTACCAAGTTTCATATTTAGTCAATAAACACCATCTTGTCACGAATTAAACGCACGAATGATTTTGTTACGCGCAGACCCGTTACATATGGCGTACATGCCTTCACTGTTTCACATTACACTTAAATTTTTTTGTTTTTCTTTTTACAAAATCTTCCCCAAATAAAAGATGACTACACACCTACAATCTAACATGGTTACGTGTTTAAAATAGCTTAATTTACTGCACTGAGCCGCGTATCATATAAACTACTGTTACACAACTATTACGCTTTTTCTTTTTCAAAACCGACAAAAGCCAACAACACATTGTCAGTTAGTGGTTGTGTTGCGGCATATGCCATCACAATGTTAACTCCACTTGCCTGTTCCTGTAGAACCAGACCTCCTGTAATGGTAGTGCACTCTTCAAATTGAAGCCAGCTCTTGGTGGTATTTTTCCGAGAACATTAGCATGGGTCTTAATGCAATGCCCTTGGCACACATAAGACCAAGTCAGTCGTTACTATGCGCGGGGGTGGGGTGGAGGCGGTGCAGTGCTTGGCACACTGCGCTGAGAACACAGAAAGCAGAGTTCAATTCCCGGCCCTGGCCACCATCAGTGCTGAACGATATCTGAGCCGGTACCTCCCACCCCCTCTCTCGACCTTCAAAACCCCCGACTACCAATACCGTGTTGGTGGGGGGGGGGGGCCTTCATCCAGCAGTGGACTGATAAGTGAAGTTTTTCCACACACAGCTGTGCCCAACTGCAGAGGAGCACTTATGATCGGCGTATGGATGCGATGTTTTTTTACCTTCACACGTTGAGTGCTTAATTCCCTTCGTATTTCAAGAAAAAGTAGTGTTCGCATGACCACCCACACCACCTCCCACAATGATTAACGGATCACGATTGCATTGGTACTGTTGAGTGTCGACCCAAACAGCTTTAACTGGCAGTGGTTATCTTCAACAGATTTCCTTTTTTTTTTCAGTTACTTCCACAGCAAATTCTTAAAAATAATCATACTGGTTTGGTACAATACTTAGATGCATATAAAAGAAATCCTTTGGCAAGACATGCACTTCATAATACGCTCATTGTACTTCCACGCGAGTACAATTCAAAACAGGAAATGTCCATTGTCTTCGTGTATCCTTGATAGCTTGGATATCCGTCTTATTGTATGTACAGAAGTGGTATCACTGCTCATGATTTGTTTTCGGTTGCATCCTTTGGAGCATTTCTCTTCCGGCCATGTGTAGGGGTTGGCACTCCCCATTCGTTCAAAACATATTTCCTCCGAGTCCCAGTACCTGCAAGCCTTGAAGTGCACTATCCTCATTTTTATATGAAGTCACTTACTTCCAAAACATTCCGCTTGTTCCAACACATGATGAGGTGAAGTGTAACTCCTTAAAACATGTAACCTGTCAGTGCTGTGCGCGGAGCTATAAAGGTTCAAATGCTTTGTCACAGAGCAAATTAAATCAACAAATGATGAGTTAAACTACATTTAAATAATAGTGATTGTCGTAGTAACTTGTAGTGTTCTTCCCTTGCAGTGCTTAAAAAAAAACATTTTAAAAATGCATAAACCACCGTTGATCTTTGTCAATGCTTTTGAAAGACGTACAACTTTACCGCAGCACTTAGCAAAAAAAACCAGGAACATATTCACGAGTGTCTGTATTTTTTTTCATATATATATCGCGGGCCAATGTTTGCTTCAGCACGGCGGTTGTGCGTAGCAGCGCCTGCGCCCTCCGTGGCCCTCCGTGCCTCCTGAGCTTTTGCCTGAGGCGCGAGGCCCCCCATGAGCAGTCCGAGGTAAACGAGCGGCCGCCAGGTCAACAGACGGCATTTGGCGCGGGCAGCCCCCGCGGCTTGATGACCCACTCGGCATGCGGGTTCACACGATACAGCGCCAGCATGCAGGTCTGGTTGTCCAAACGGCGCTCCCCTGCGTGGCCAGCACAGTTGGAAATGATGACACCGATGGGGAAAGAAGGGGGAGGTGGTGGGGCGGGGGAGGGAAGAGGATGCATTTTACTGTAGATCCCACACAGGCTCTGTTGCAGACAGCCCCGCTTCACAATTCATTTGTGCACGCACACCAAAACAAACTCTTTTGCTCTTTACTTGGCAGGTAAAGGTGCAGCCCTGCAATTTCTTTCTCACGCCACCGCTAGCGGAATGGCCTCGGCGAGACAGAGACCTTAGGGGTCCCCTCCAGACGGTATTTGGGCTGTTCTTCCACGCTGGCCGAACGTCCTTGGAAGAGATGGGAGAGTGCCCAAACTTTTCCCCACCACAGGCAACCTGGCGATCGACTTGTGTACGCATTTATACTGCCAGATGGGACAGGCGAGCGTGCTTCAAGAAACTTGCTCACTACATCAACTGCAACGCAGCGAGACCAAATTGGCGACCTCCATATCGCAAACCCAACGTGCTAACCATTACAACACAACAGCGTCGTTGCTATGACTAATTAAGAGTGCAGTTTGCGTGTAATGTGGATTATGTGTACATGTTGTGAATGTACACTTCAGAGTAAATTCTATTATGAGCTTATCTAGTAAACACGTGACGTCAAATATGCGCGGCATCCATAAAGGTATCCTTAATTAGTAAAGAGTTTCAGTGAAAGAGCAATTTGAATCGCACAATGTGAGCAACACGTTTCTTATATGCTGCATACAAAAAAGATAAAACGCGTGCCAAAGAACTGAAAAATGTGCGTGAACAAATCTGGCTGTCGGCTGATGATGCTAGTTGTAATTACTGGCGAAACGTCGTACTCGAATTGTAAATGTTGTGCGTTTACTCTCCAACACACCGGTGTAGTTGAACTAGAATTGGCATGTTCTGTTTTCCTGACAAACCTTACTAATTGGGTGTGTCAGGTGGCGCCGGGTTTAACAACACTTTTATAATAATAATTGTTTTTTTACCCTTTTATCTGGCAACAAAACTGACACCTTTTTTTACAAGGAGTCATGTTTGCATTGACCACAATACCTGCGGTCGGAATGCAAACAAAAAACATAACTCTGATAATCTATTGGCACTGTCCTTGAAATTGATTGGTCCACACCCGAGACAGCTTTCCTTAGAGCCTAGTCTCACGTGGTGCCTAGTCTCACGTGGTGCCTAGTCTCACGTGGTGCCTAGTCTCACGTGGTGCCTAGTCTCACGTGGTGCCTAGTCTCACGTGGTGCCTAGTCTCACGTGGTGCCTAGTCTCACGTGGTGCCTAGTCTCACGTGGTGCCTAGTCTCACATGGTGTCTAGTCTCACGTGGTGCCTAGTCTCACGCGGTGCCTAGTCTCACGCGGTGCCTAGTCTCACGCGGTGCCTAGTCTCACGTGGTGCCTAGTCTCACGTGGTGCCTAGTCTCACGTGGTGCCTAGTCTCACACGGTGCCTAGTCTCACGTGGTGCCTAGTCTCACGTGGTGCCTAGTCTCACACGGTGCCTAGTCTCACGTGGTGTCTAGTCTCACACGGTGTCTAGTCTCACGCGGTGCCTAGTCTCACGTGGTGCCTAGTCTCACATGGTGCCTAGTCTCACACGGTGCCTAGTCTCACGTGGTGTTGGACCAGCTGACGCCAAAAGTCTCTAAGGAAAGCTGTCTCGGGTGTGGACCAATCAATTTCAAGGACAGTGCCAATACATTATCATAGTTATGTTTTTTGTTTGCATTCCGACCGCAGGTATTGTGGTCAATGCCAACATGACTCCTTGTAAAAAATGGTGTCAGTTTAATTGCCAGATAAAAGGGTAAAAAAACAATGATCATATTTTGCTACTGGCAAAGGAGGTTCCAATGGTGTAAACATTTATATTTACGCGATCTAACCCAAAAAAAAACCTCTTTATAGTGTGCATGAAAATTGCACAATTAGAGCATGTAAAACCATCTAAGCACAACACCTAGGACGCTTCATAATCTCTTAAGGTGTGTTGCCAGTGCCACAGCAGGCGTGGAGGGTTCAAGGGATGAAAGTCGCGCAATAAAATATTCATAGAACCGTGTGCGTCTGTGTTTTTAGTTGTATCAACCTAGCTCGAACTGCTGCCTAAGTTATAATTCTTCAATAATGCATCACATCTTCATGGACGCCGTAAGAATCATCCCTAATAGAGGTTTTTGGATTAGACCGCGTAAATATGTCAATGTGTCGTTAAAACCCGCCACAGCCAACTAGTAAGGGTTGTTACGTAAACAGAACGTGGCCAATTCGTCACGAGTACAGCAGTAACTGGTGTATTGGAGAGCCAAGCCACAACATTTACAATCTGAGTACGACGTTTTGCCAGTAATCGCAACTAGCTTCATCAGGCGACAGCCAGATTTGACACTTTTTTTTTCAACGACACATTTATATATTTGCGCGATCTAACCCAAAAACCTCTATTATGGATGATATTGGTCGCGAAAGCCTGGCACGTGTTAAGCGTCAAAAATCATGCTACGCCGTGGAGGGTGCGATGAGGTTCACCTATGTTTCCACCAACTTCGTACAGACGATGCTCTTCTATGTCCGACTCTTGCGGGGCTCCATTACTGACACCGTGGGACACACACACACGCGCCATTACCATTGGTTTATCGCGGGGGGGAAAGCCACAAGGGCAGATAAGAAGACTCATTTGGTGAATTATTATCATTGTGGGAATAGATGAAGTTCGGTTCCTTCTAACAAAAATATTGTGCTCAAGTCAAGTCGATAAAATGGTTGTGAATTTACAATTGGTTTGGAATCTTAACTTAAAAAAGACATAATTATGATTTATCAATGTTATTTGCCGTACAATTGTCGCAAAATACTGCCGACCTTCACTTCAAAATAAGTAGAGCAGAAAATAGTCTATAACAGAGGTTTTTGTGTTAGATCGCGTAAATATATAAATGTGTCGTTAAAGCCCGCCACCACCCGACACAGCCAACTAGTAAGGGTTGTCACGTAAACAGAACGTGGCCAATTCGTCACTAGTACAGCAACACCGGTGTGTTGGAGAGCCAAGCCACAACATTTACAAACCGAGTACGACACAACATTTATATATTTACGCGATCTAACCCAAAAACCTCTATTATGGATGCTATTGGTCGCGAAAGCCTAAGTGTTAAACAGAAAATAGTCTGTTCAGAGTATGACCAGACAATCGAGTCATAATCGAGACTCTTGGCCACCAAGCCTACATTTGAATTTGCACGGGTAAAAAAACACGGTAGTTAAAAAGAAAACTGTTTGAGATTTTGCTTCACTTGTACTTAAAATGTAAACTTTGTATATGTACGTGTTCATCCTTGCGCATGTGTATGGACATGTCATGAACATGTTCAATATTTAAAGAGTCAGCCCATTGGACTTCTGGACCTATGTAATTCAGCAGGACCAGTTTGACCTTCAGGGTCCTTGCAGCATTTTCTTTGTGCACAAAGTTTGTCCATCGAAGCACTATCTACACTCATGCCTGTTGGGCTTTTGAGGTCTAATGGATTTGCACGCACTATAGGCGATTTGGTCACAGTAGGTAGATATAAATACATATGTATGCATGTCTCCTGGCCAAACGCAATTTCAGCGGAGCCAGGAGACTGAACCCACGGCCCTCGGGGTTCCTCCAGAAACAGAAAAAAAAAAAAAGCCACTGCGAGTGGCCACGTGGAACACGTGTGCCTGCGTAACTGCATATGAAACAAAACTCCCACGCAGCTGACCCCACCGTTGGGCTGTGGTCGCACCTGGCATGTGACAGGTTGCTTTGGAAGCGTTCCACTATGTCACCCGCCGTAATCTGCTCGGTCAGTTGTATCGCCATGGAGACCTTGAGCAACCGCGGTGCCTGAACGCGGATGATGCCCTCGGGCACCTCCGAGTGGATTGTCTGCCGGTGACGATACGAAAGGAGACACACACACACACAAAAAGGTGAGCGCCGTGCTGTAAAACTTAACGAGACCCAATTGGGGGGCATCAAAAATATTACCTTGTTATCGTGGCCATTTGGTGAGATTTTGTTTTATCTTTCTGAATACGTATTTATCGTTCTGTGAGATTACAATGTTAACAACGTGAAAGTGTAGATTTGAAGTTTTCGTGACTGCAGGGATCCATACTCTTTGGTGCTTTCGGTAAAGTCACGTAGGTATAAAATAAAATAAATAAAATCACGTTTCGATCGCAACACAAGCAATCATCATCAGGTGGAAAAAACCACAGCAACAATTTTTTTTGCTGTGGTTTTCCCACCTGATGATGATTGCTTGTGTTGCGATCGAAACGTCGTGATTTAGTTTATTTTATTTTATACCTACATGACTTCACCGAAAGAACCAAAGAGAATGTGAAAGTGGTTTGTTGTGTTCGCTTCCACGACGTGAATTCTGTCTCCCACATTTGACTTGGAAGCCGGCGACACGATAGTAAATATGTATGCCGCTCCATCAACACCCCCCAACAGCAAACAACTTGAGCTCGACAACTCAACACCGACGACAATCCAGTGGAGATGAAGATTGGCAGAAGTATGCATGTTGAGCATCTTTCGCACCGTACGTAGCCAACCGTGCTAATCAGGTGTGGGGGGGAAAGACAACAAACTAAACACAAAAAGCAGTTCTAAAGAAATTAGTTTTCAATCTAGATTTAAAAGTGCATGGCTCCAGTGGCTTCCTAATATCGGAAGGAAGAGCGTTCCAGACGGCCGCAGTAGCGCATCTGAAAGCGCGCGACGCGGCGACCGTGTTTGTTCGATGGCAAGCCAGAAGCCGCTGCTGCGAGAGTGACCGGAGTTCGCATGATGTCTCACGCCCCTCGACGAGATCGGCAAGGCAGCGTGGCTCATTCGTGGCAAGCGCTTTGCGTGCAATGAGCACGACCTTAGAATGTTGTCGTTTGGCAACCGGAAGCCAATGCACCTCGGCGAGCAATGGGCGGACACGGTCGGATCTTTTTACCTCTCGAGGTTGACGGTCTTGTGGCTGCCTCTCCTTTTCACTGCTCCCCTTCTTCAGCAGCTTCCTCATGCTCTTCTCCCGCACCGGCTTCCGTTTCTGGGCTTCGTACACATCGCGAATTTGCCGCAACAGGAACGCAGGCACCTGGCGGACACGGGTGAGAAGATCGTCGACGCCACGGTCAGTGAAAACTTTCATGGACATCTTCACCGTTCCCTCCGATTCCACCACTGCTACGACATTATACACCCATCTCTGTCTCGCTGATCTTGCCGTTTCCCTCCTTTGCAGCTTATTTGACAATTTTTCATCCCTTTACCAAACAACTGATGGATGAAGGCCTCCCTACGATCAGTGCACATTGGTTAAGGTGTTGCTTAAGCCCGCTTCAGATATTAATCACCAGCGATGTTAACTGGTCAGGAATCTAACTTGGGTCACCAGGTTCATAGAAAAAAATTCTACGTCAACTGCGCAAACCATTTATTTTACTCGACTGGCTCAGGATATGCGCACCGCCCCTGTGCTCATTTGAGCAGGAAATTATTTTTTTTTGGAGAATTGTGAGATATTCATCTTCTCATCCCCCCCCCCCCCCCTACTCACCCCACCCAACGATATGACCACCGGTGCCTGTTTGCGACTCAGAAGGTGGCCAGCTCCACTCACGGTCCACAGCAGGTCCTGGTGCTTGATGAGGAGCCTCGTGACGCCCACGATGCCGGCGCCGGCCTGCATCACGTGCCGCTGGTCCGAGGTCTGCCCCCCTCTCTGATGCCCCCGCGGCAGGAACAGATTTGGTGCCATCACCATGGCGACGTTGCGCAGGCTCATTCGGTTTTCACGCTCGTTCTCGCACACTCGCCTCAGGAACTCCAGGAGGGCCTGAAATGGCACGAGACGGACGGCGGCGCTCTCAGATTGGTAAAGATTATTATTATTTTTTTTAAAGGTAAATGTGAAAATGCTTTTTTTGTAACGCTAGAGGGAGCTCTGGAGAGGGCCTCTAGAGACGGTGTTCTTCAATGCAAGACCCGCGGGCCACTGGCAGACCCTGGTGGCCTTTAGTGCGGTCCCCCGGCAATACACAACACGTGACAACACCACTCACACACCCCCCCCCCCCCGCCCCATCATCGTGCTATCAGACCCCGACGGTTTTAAATGTTTGGCGGCTCCTCACGCAGATGTCTTAACGGCAAAAGTGGGCCCCCCTACTCTGAAAATGAGTGAAGAACGCTGCTCGACAGAGCATTTTTCTGACTTCTCGATACTGGCCAGACATCTTATACTCCTGGATGGCCCAAGGCAGGAGGATCTAAGAAACTTGCCCATTTGTTCACACTGCTGTGCCAGAAAGATCAAATGTGTGACCTCTGGATAACTCCAGTGTCCAGTGTGCTAACCAGTACATCACAGCAGTATCCATGTCGACGAATTAATTATCTTTATTCTTTAAATTGATACAGGAATGCCTCGACGGGTCTCGGGAAAACTTTTCTCAAGATGTTGCATAGACCTCTACCCACCGGCCACCCCGTTTCCCCTTCCGACGCTCCCACTGCCCGCAGTCCCTACCCACGCATATACACAGTTCCTACTGCGTGAGTGGGGAAGTGAGAGCCCAACCTTCTCTCCCTCCCTAGAACCCAGGAGCACCGAGTTCGGAATTCGGTCTACGGAATTTCTGTACCCCCCCCCCCCTGCCGCCCGCCCGCTCCCTTGTTACGGTTCGTGCCTTTTACCAGGCTCAGATAAAAAAAAAAATGTTTTAAGGATATTGCTTAGACATTTTATCTGATTTAAAAAAATAATACGATTACACGTAAGAGGAAACTAAAGTGCTCTGAGAAAACCCACGCACATACATACTAGGTGCCACAATTGTACGTTCACTCAAAATATTTCTTATTCCACAACTCGAAGAATCGTGTCGCCTTCCCCCTCTGTGACGGCACAGTGAGGTTATACGAGCTGGAGGGATGTTATCGTTGGATTCGACTGTTAAAATATACATCGTGCAAAAACATTGTCTATAAAATGATGCAATAAAATGTTTTATTTTTTCAGAAACTTAAACATTTTCGATAAAAGTCTGAGCAACGTGAGCTTCGTCATTGGCACTTCAGCTGTTCCTTACAAAAACAAGCCCAGCATACACGACTGTTCTGCAGAGTTCCTGCTATTGTGTTACAAGCAGCCTTATTTAAATCCCTGCTTGCAAGCTATGCGCTAAGGACTCATGTGCCTGCGTTTTATCATCAACACATTAGCGGTAATGCATGCTCTTGGTTTTTTAATACTCTCCAGAAAATGTCCTTTAATGCTCCACCTTGGTGCCATTCACTGTCAGCAAGGTGTCCAAACCTTTTGCATCGAGGAGTGGCTTGACACACACGCAGGGACCCCATGGGTCACGGACAGACAATACAAACATACAAAGGTACGGACGCGGGATGTGTTCAAAAGAGCGACGTGAGAAATGTAGGCGATTTTTGTTGTTGTTATGTGGTGAGAGGAGAAATGAGACTGGGAAGGCAGAGAAGATGAATAGATATAGCAGCACCTGGGTATGACACTTAAGCCGGCAACTGCTTGCAGTCCTCAGGTGTGCGTCCCCACCACCGATCTTCCCCACACACTCCCCCCCCCCCCACCCCCCCCCAAAAAAAATGTCACGATCGCAGAGCCGACACATGTCCCTTGATGGTTCACTTAATTATCTCGCGTAGTTTTTCGTGAAATTATTCACTTCATTAATTGCATTTCAATGCTGTCGCGGGCCGTTTTTTTAGTATTATTGCAAATTCGAGTGACGCTTTGATGGGGGGGGGGGGGGGCCCGAATTCACCGAGGAGTTTGGCGGGAGCCACATTTGGCCTGTAGTTTTGACAGGCCCTGCTTGTCGACCGTATTGGTCCTTCACAGCGTTCAGAGTGCTTGTTATGCTTAAGACGTGAAGCGCGCGACTTTGTTTAGAAAAGTGTACAGTTACCGTGGCTTGGAAAGTCTACCCCCCGCAAAACATCTTAAAGCATGCCGTGAGGCTTTGAGGATGTTTTTGATACATGTAAGGAAGGTTAATTGTGCCGGCTACCGTGTGGTGTGGTGGTTTTCCTTGCGAGAGATGGTGCAGTCGGGAATTATCTTTCCTTCCGGCCGATACTAGAGTTTAAAATAATTGGGCACCCGTTTTTCCGCTCGCCCCACAATTGCAACACGGGTGGTCTCCGTGGCACACATTTAAAGTCATCCTGCATCAGGCTGCTATAACTTGCAATTCATTTCTTTAATTATCAAAATGTGTCCCGCAATTGCTTGTTAACCCACCACAAATCCCCGCTAAGGGGAGCTCTAGAAAGGTCCTCTCGAGGGCATTTGACTTTCTCCACACTCACTGGTCAGATGCCTTTGACGAGGTGCCCACATTGTACCCCAGCACGCACAACCTGCCGATGGCCTCATTGTGATGCACCCATTCACATTGCTAAGTGGAAATACACAGGTGGGGGTGGGGGGGGAGGATTTAAGCCGTATATGTCCATTATCTGGTAATAACATTTGAACAAATAGATGGCTTTTGAATTAAAGCTTTCGTGACTGCAGGGATTCATATTCTTGGTTCTTTCGGTAAAGTCACGTAGAAGGGAAACAAAAAAATAATAAAAAAATTTAACAATAAAATTATCACGACGTTTCGACTGCAACACAAACAAGCAGTCATCATCAGGTGTGAAAACCACAGCAAGAAAATTTGCAAAAAAGATGTGATTCCAGACATACAGTACCCTGGCGTCTACAAACTAAGTTGCCTCTGTGGTAGTAGTTACATTGGAGAAACCAAACGACTTATCTCGGACCGCATCCGTGAACACAAAGCAGACCTAAAACACGGTAGGACCAACACCTCGGCCGTGGCAGATCACTGTTATAAATCAGTAGGCGCACATGACATTGATTTCTCCAAGACAGAGGTTCTCTGCAAGCCATCTGGCTACCATGAGAGGTTCGTTCATGAGGCTATCCACATATACAAACACACAGACAATTTCAACCAAGAAGATGGATTCTGGCTTAGCAATCATTGGAAGGATTTGATAAACCATTTCGGGTCTTAATTGATTGTCCACGCTTACGGTGGCTTTCAGACCGCATCCATTATTTTCGTCTCCCCCCTCCTCTTTTCCGAACATAGATGGACTCGTCCACCTGAATAACTGCCAAATCGCTCTCCGTGGTGCTAACTTTAAAAAAAACGCCACTTTTTTTCAAATTTTCTTGCTGTGGTTTTCACACCTGATGATGATTGCTTGTGTTGCAGTCGAAACATCGTGAGAATTTTATTGTTTTATATTTTTATTATTTTATTGTTTCCCTTCTACATGACTTTACCGAAAGAACCAAGAATATAAATAGATGGCTGTTAAATATTTTGGATTGGCACAACTGCAATGTACATTGCGGGAAGGCACCGACTTCGCCAGACATGTGAACGTCAATCCGGCAGACGAAACAGCCGAGGAGTTCCCCAGTAACTGTGGCTACCAAGTGTTGCTAATAAGCCTTCACGTAAAATTATTTCTCTTTTTTTGGAAACTGTTAAGCTGCTTTGCCTTGAGCGTATCGCGGTTTGCGTCTGGCAGTAGCAACACCAACAGGTTCAGAGCTTGGAGTTGATGTTTGAGCAGCGTAATGCCTGTTGGTGGTGGGGGGGGATGAGAGAAGAGAGGGAGTGGGAGCTTTGTTACATTCGCTGTAAATCACGGGTGGCATTCTTGGTAAAGCAAGCCGCCAGTTTCAAAGAATCGCACACATCTATGTTAAACATATATATGGCAATAAAATCAATAATAATTTTCAGCGCTTTGTTAATCCACTGCTTGATGAAGACCTCCCACCCTGTGCCATGTGGGGTCATGTGGGAGGTTTTGACCATACTTCATCTTCTTTGGCAGTTTGGGTGGGTTAGTGAAGGGGAGTGGTGGTGCAGCGGTTAACGTACTGCTCTTTGACCCGGTGACCTGAGTTTTCTCCCCGGCCATGACTTGTATGTACAGTATGTATGTTGATCTTCTTTTGCACCGTATGTTAGCCAACCATGCTAATCGGAGGTGTGGGGTTAGGACAACAAACTAAAATGTGAACTGGTCCCAGGCCATCCCATCACCTACCGACACTGTCCATGATGAAGTATGGTCAAATAACCCCACGACTGACACTCCGGTGGGGAGGCCTCGATCAAACAGTGGGTTGATAAACGGCTATAACAATGCGCACACCGTTTTGAAAATGAAATGTACGTAAATACAAAAATACATAATTCCACAAGTACCTCAAACTATGATATAACAATAAAAAATGCACGACGACAAATATATTCGCGTAACATTTATTTTAACACTGGCATGCATTCTGAGAATTTAAAATGCTGATGTATAAATGTACGTAGAAGTTCTTTCACACCGTACGTAGCCAACCGCACTAATTGGAGGTGCGGGGGGGGGGGGAAGGACAATAAACTAAAACGATTACCAATTCCACACCATGCAGGAAAGTAATGTGGTGTTTTCTGAAGAATAATTATCACCGCAACAATTTCGCGGCCAACTTCCCACAGCCTTGCGAACCACCGAGAGCCACGCGACCACAGGGTCGCGAACCACACGGCCTTTTAGAATAGACTCATCCACTTAAAATAAATATTTCGTTCAGTCGGGTAATGCTTGTGTGTGTGTTGGCAGCGGTAGTGGCGGTGAGTGCATTGCGCTATGAACCCGGCAATTCCTGCCGACGGCCAACACCGGTGACGATTATCCGAACCGGTTCTGGGCCTGCCCTCGGTCGACTCAGTCTCAAATTAGTCCACTATGGAGACAAAGGCGGGCCGGGCGTGGTTCTGGCCACCAACCCCCATGTGTTGCGCCGGCCCTTCATTGGTGCCACTCGCTAACAGCACTTGCCCCAACAGTCTGTTAAGGGGTGTCTTTGTCCTCTGTGTGTGTGTGTGTGTGGGGGCACGGTGTGCGTGCATCGGGCAGGGCATCGCGGCTCACTCTGCACGCAGGCGAAGGCCGGCTGGTGCTGCTCGGTGAGGAGCGGCGAGGGCAACTCTCGCACGTACAGCTTGAGCAGGGCAGCCGCGTCGTGAGGCCGCAGCGACCCCCAGTCGAGTCGCCCGCTCTCCGGGCTCCACTCCTCGAGCTCGCGCCGCAGCTCCTGGCCCACCCCAGCACGGCCACGGCACAAGCAAGCAGCGGGGCGAGCGATTCCATCTCTTTCAACTGCACGCAGCACCTACATTATCAACCCTTCGTCCCGTTCCGAGACGTCTGCAAAGTTGCGTGGTGGGTCCCGTTCACCGCCGAATCTCGAAACGCGTAAGCGGTTCAGCGTACGTTTTTTTTTAGAGGCATTATTTAGAGAGACGACGTACTCACCGCAGAGAACCATAGCGACACAACCACACTCCAAGATAGCTGGTGCTAAACTGTACAACAGACCCTCGCGGATGGCCTTGTGGGTGCCTCAGTACCGATAAAGTTATTTTATTTCATTTCATATTATTTGGGTCTTTCGGTAAAGTCACGTAGATAGGTTCAAAGAAAATAACAAACCTATTTGCGCGACCTTACCGAAAGACCCAAAGAACATGAATTCCTGCAGTCACGAAAGCTTTAAGTCAAGATTGATTTCATTTTAGTTTTTCTTCCGGAACGGACACGCACATCATCGCAGTGGGTTAAGTCATCGCCTAACGTGTTTTCACGCAACGCGTTTTGCGCTATAACGCCATTCTTCTCTTTGGCAACACTTATCGTACGAGGCTGAACGCACCCGTTGTTATAACGCCGTTTATGAGCGGTCGACTATGAACGACTTTTCATTGAGCCAAGTGCTCTGAACCCTGAACTCCCCCACCCACCCTAAATGTCTGTGAGTAATCTTCGTGCAAATCACTGCTGCCACCAAGCCACTGTGACCAGACATAAAACTTGTGACCAGACCTAAATACTGCTAATATCATCACACAAACATCAGAGTTCTATGGGAGTTAAAAATGGTTAGTATTTACCCATTACACAAGCACGGGGCATCGCTCTTCTCCATCTGTGACTCGGAGGCATTCGTAGAAATCCTACACTGTTACGGCAAAGGCCTCTATGGGAGTAATGGTGTTATTTTTATATATATACTTATTAAATTACTGAGAACTTTACATATTGTCACAAAAAAATGAAATCTAAATATATTTCAAAGTGCTGATATCAAATATCAATATGCCAGTGAGATAGCAAAGGATAAACCAACACGTGCAAAAATCAATGACGTGAAAATTATCCTTCAGAGGGCCCAGTTTCACAACGTCGTAAAACAGAGCCACGTGAGCAAAATGTCTCATTGCAGGCCTCCAAACAGGTGAACTTGGACACCCATGAGGATGGAGGACCAAAGTTTCAGCTCCTACTTGATATTTGTTTCTTTTAAGGTCTCCGATAGGGCTTCCAATTGTACTGCGTGCTGTTCGACATGATGTCGGACATTTCCCTCCACGTACTGGAAGCTTGTTCAGGAACTGACCACATATGCACAAGTGAGTGATGAGCTTGTACGCTTAAAGTGATGAATATATATTCTCGGTTCTTTCGGCAAAGTCACGTAGATAGAAAAATAATAATAAAAACAAAGTGAATAAAATAATGTTTTATCTACGTGACTTTACCGAAAGAACCAAGAATATGAATACCTGCAGTCATGAAAGTTTTAAGTAAAAATGTAAAAGTGATTAAGTTAATAAGTCACATCAGCTGGCCGACATCAATCAACATCGGCAGCAACCAGCAACCCTGTATAATCGAGAAAGTAAGCTGCTCCATTCCATTTAAACTAACTCAACTCTGTTTGATTTGTACTAGGTGCCTCTGTGAATGTGTATGCTTTGACTTTAACATAGCCATTTCTGTGACCAGTCACAAGCTAATCACTCAGCGATTTCAATGCTAAATTCTATGCTAATTCCTTTGTCAAGGGGTGCCTCTGTGGATGTGTATGCTTTGACTTTAACATAGCCATTTCTGTGACCAGTCACAAGCTAATCACTCAGCTATTTCAATGCTAAATTCTATGCTAATTCCTTTGTCAAGGCGCACTGTTTCTTCTCACACAGCTTAAAGGTCGCGGTCTGAGCTTGGCTGTGTTCGCTCCAGCGCTGTCCTCCAGACAGTCTTGTCCCTTCACCTGATCAAGGCCGCTTGTGTTGTGGCCGAAACGTCGTGAGAATTTTATTGTGTTATTTTATTTTATCAATTTATTATTTGATTCTCATTCTACGTGACTTTACCAAAAGAACCAAAAAGGATAACTCAAATCTTTCTATTTTATCTTGACGTAAAGCTTTCGTGACTGCAGGAATTCATATTCTACGACGTTTCGATCACACCACATCAGGTGATGACAACCGTTTCGATTTAGAGCAGCCAAATACTCTAAACGCATGTTTCTAAATGTGGAGGCAAAACCGGAGGACCTGGAGAAAAATCCACATGACCACGGGGAGAACAGGCAAACTCCAAATATACAGGTGTAAGGGTCAGAATCGAACCCACGACGTCCTGTATACCAGGCGAGGTAGCTAACATCTCGCCACCGTGGTGCCCCATGTCGTTCTAAGTGACGCTGCCAGCATGCGGAGCGAAACGTCGGGCCTCGTGCCGGACAGCATGCGGTACAACCTGAAAGCACATCGCAGACAGGCTCAGCTCAGCTGAGCTTGGCTGCTTCCACCATAATACTGCAGAACAGTTTCACCTCTGAATTACTGCACTCCACGCCAGTCAGGACCTTGTATCTCTTCGGCCTCGTTGTTTGGTACAAAATGGGTTCCAAGCATGAAATAAATGATGCAAAGAAGGCTCTCTATAAATATTGATTTAAAGCTTTCGTGACTGCAGGGATTCATATTCTTGGTTCTTTCGGTAAAGTCACATAGATGGGAAACAATAAAATAATAAAAATATAAAACAATAAAATTCTCAACGACGTTTCGACTGCAACACAAGCAATCATCACACCTGATGATTGCTTGTGTTGCAGTCGAAACGTCGTGAGAATTTTATTGTTTAAAATTTGTATTATTTTATTGTTTCACTTCTACGTGACTTTAGCGAAAGAACCAAGAATAAGGCTCTCTATATTCTTCCGTGCCCTGCATTTACACTGAAACGTTTATGATAACTGCTGATGCTTATAACTACCGTGGGTGCTTTCACATTGCGCGAGATAGTTGTCATAGCAACAAGTTATGCAGGGAAGAGATGTTTTACGGCATGGATTAGGAAGCATCGGGTACCTGTGAATCTGCTTGAAGTAGCAATCCTAGGGGCTGAAGAATAACATTCAGCTTGTGTTAGAAATCTCCCATCTTTCCAAATCCTCACTCGTCTGAACACAATTGTAAATGTCATTGGTAAACCTTGGTGTCGTGGACAGGCAAAAAGGCGATTCCAAAAAATATGACATCCTTACCCCCCGAGAGGCGGGTGCTATGGAAGGTGTTAGATTGAGTAATATGTGGAGGGCAGTAGGTAAAGAGACATGCTGGAATTTTCCAAGGGGCTAAAGCAGCTTTCATCAGAGTGCAGTAATGTTGAGAGCGGTACTCTAAAATGATCTGACCCTGACGGAAGAAGGTGTACTGCACCGCGGACAATTCAATCCCAAAGACCACTCCAATGTCCCACGGGTCATATTTTCAAATGAACACATTAGCATTCAGCCACCTACATTTTATTTTTAAATCCCATATGAATTATGAGTTCCTATCACCGTGTAGAAATAGTAAATTCAGATTAAGATCTAACTAGACATTTGAAACTTCATTCCTGACCTGGCCACAAACATATTCCAACAGTATACTTTATCTGGCTGTTGGCTGATGAAGCTAGATGTAATTACTGGCAAAACGTCGTAGTCACATTGTAAATGTTGTGGCTTTGCTCTCCCAACACACCGGTGTGCTGTACTAGTAACGAATTGGCACGTTCTGTTTACATGACAACCCTTACTAGTAGGCCGTGCCGGGTGGCGGTGGGTTTAAAGACACATTTATATATTTACACGATCTAACCCAAAAAAACCTGTATTATGGAGTGCACTTTATATTGCTGGCGTGGTGAGCACATTGGAACTTTGATTTAAAGGTCGCCAGTTTGATTTGATCTCCCAGCTCAGACAGCATGGAACAGTAGGCCAAATACCAACAGTGATTTGAGTAGGTTATTGCAGGGCCGCCACCTTTTAACCCCTATCTTTTTACAATTCATTTCAACCGATGTTTTCGTTCATAGTAAAACTACACGTCAGTGGATGGCTTTCGAAACGAATTTAATCCTACAGAGTTCCTCACCGTTGAATTGACGTTTTAGAGTGATTTGTTGTTGTTGGTCTCTTCAAAGAGCCTCTTCTGCCAAACTTGTGACGCCAATGGTAGAAGCATAATCCATCGTGCTTGGTGTGTATTCAACTTAAATTTTGATTTAAAGCTTTCGTGACTGCAGGGATTCATATTTTTGGTTCTTTCGGTAAAGTCACGTAGAAGGGAAACAATAAAATAATAAAAATATAAAACAATAAAATTCTCACGAAGTTTCGACTGCAACACAAGCAATCATGTTCTTGTTGTGGTTTTCACACCTGATGATGATTGCTTGTGTTGCAGTCGAAACGTCGTGAGAATTTTATTGTTTTATATTTTTATTATTTTATTGTTTCCCTTCTACGTGACTTTACCGAAAGAACCAAAAATATTCAACTTAAGTCAAGGGCAAAGCAGAGGGCAGTGGTATTCACATTCTCACAAGGGTGTCGCAGCACATGTGATGGGTGCATAGATGATGTGCTTACAGTGTGCAACAACATTGCCAAAGGATGTTTGGGTAAATGTGCCCACGGAGGAATGTGACTCTTGGGCTAATGTTTACACGCCGAGATGATGCTATCACCAGAACCAATTGCATACATAACTGCACATAGTGTGTGTTACCTGCTTGTCGATGAAAATGTTAATGGGTTCATTTTGGTAGCTTTGTTGTTGTTGCTGCTGTTACACGGAAATTATACGTAGGTTACTCTTACGTGACTTTACCGAATAGAACCAAAGAGTATGGATCCTTGCAGTCTAGATACGTATGTTATTATGGGATGAAGTGAAAATTAAATAC